TCAGTAGAAGAGAATCGGTTTTTCGTTATCAAATGTTAGTCATGGATAGAATTAATGAACGTTGCTAATGATGATTTACTTGGTGATCAGGAACTGTATACATATATAGGGGAACCTTGCGGAATCGCCGTCCTTAATCTTTTGTCCTTTGTTCTTTGTAAACGCTCAAGAGAAGTACTCGTGTAAAACATTTATTTTCAGTTCAATTTATTGTTCTTGTTCTAATACATTAAAGTTAAAGTAAATTGTTATTAAAAGTTTAGTTCATTTTAAATAGTTAAAAATTAGTTTTCTTTTCTTTAAAATAATTCACGTGAGCAGAGTACTTTAGCGCTCCACGGGCGGCTTACCCACGTTCCTTGGATTTAAAAATCCCTAGAATTACGAAGAAACGCGCAACAGTATCAGTCCCCGATGTTCCTTGTCAGTCTCGATACGTCTCATCGACTTTCTTCGTCACACGGTCTGAATTAGTGTGTAGAACCGAAAATGCGTGTGAAATTAGGTGTCTCCCTTTCATTCTGACCAATCAGATTTGCGGCCTTCTCATGGGATTTCTGTTCATCGGTGCACAGCAGTGATGCCAGAACCGTGGGACGTGGGACAAATCTTTACCCTCTCCACGACGTCCCACGACGTCCCAGTGACTCCCCTACCGCAGTTGTTTCATCTAACACAAGCGCGTTGTCCCACGTGTCCGTGTGAGCTCTCTGCGGGTTTGGCAGAGTTCGGCTGCTCTCGTCATTTCTACGTTATCGGCTCGATGCTCAAGCCGCTAAAGCACGTGGCAGCAGCATCGACGAATCGACAAAATAATATAATTTTGTGCATGGCAATATGGCTGAATTAAGAAACCAGGAGAATCAGTTCGAATCCCGATTTTACGGTTTCAGTTCTGATTCTTAATACATTAACGTTTTTCTAATACATAAAAATACATTTTTGATACATTAATACTATGAAATACATTAACTTGGAAAGCAGTTAAAAAAAAGAGTTGAACTGCATCTTTCTTTGATATTTTTTTTAATATTTAAGTTTTATATATATACATATGTATGTACGTACATATGATAAAAGTACGTGATACAGAAGTAATTTCTTCAATTAGATATTACTGTTATTCTAACTATTACAATACGTAAATTCGAAGACATACGAGGAAAATTGGTTAGGTTAAATTGTAAGGATATAAAGAAATTTCAATCTTTAACGGTTTGTCAGTTTTATTTCTTATTCCTTACAACTATTATAATTTTATTCTGTGAATGGTCATTACAATGAAAGATGGATTAGATACAATTTGATTCCTCATTTAATTTGTTATATACATATCAGGTTTCTTGCAACTATTGTACCTGGTCCACGCTTACACGATATTGCATATTTTACTTTCCTATAATACAACAAGGAAACAAAACTATAATATAGTGATTACCATAATACAATAGAAAATGTTAAGCTTGGTATAAACCTTGTTTTTTTTGTGTACTTAATCTGCAGTTACGCTTCGTTGCTTTATAATGACAGATTTTTCTTTTAAATGAAACTTCCACTAGCGTATTGATGAAATTTTTCGATTAAAACAAGATGAAACACGACATAATTTGAATTATAGTTACTTTATATATTTGCATTAGGTTTTAAATAAATAAGTAAATATAATGCAAATTATGTCGTGTTTGGTCTTATTTTAATCAGAAGAACCTTCCAATTACATTGGTAAAAGTTTCATTTAGCAAAAATGAAAAATAAAAAAGTTATGGTTAAATTAATATTGTCTCACTCAAATGTTTTTTCTCGGGCCCTTTAATTCTCGGACCTCTTTCTCTTTCGCTATTTGTCTTTTTCTACGTTCGCCAGCATTCAAGAACTCGCTCGAGCTGTGTTGTTCTGCCAGCCTCGCACACTTTTAGGAGAATCGGGAAAATCCAGCATAATAACACGTTCTATGCTGAAAGAATATACTAACTTATCTGTTTAATAAAATTTTAATAAATCTGGCAATAGATTTATTTTCTGACTGTTTTTCTTAAGTAATCAGAATTTCACCATTCTCCTGTACAGATCGTGTGTAGCAGTTTGTAGCAAACTCAACATATTTTCGATATTATGTAGAATACACAACCGATCGACAAATATTAAAAATCCAGGATATTTTGTGCCGCTTTTTGTATGTCAAGGGCCATCGAAATGAAATAAATGACCAACAATGAATAGTATAATATATGTGATCGCTGTTCATCTATTTCCTTTCTACGATGTACAGGATTGCCTCGAAATAAGCAAGTGGCTCGAGACCTAACAGTTGCTTATTTCGAAGCAGAGACCACTTGCTTATTTCGAGGCAATCCTGTATTTCTTCCGCAAGAGACGGTTTCCTAACAATTTACAGTACAGTAAAATCTGGATATACATATGCAAGAGAGATGGGATCCAAGCGAGGTGTCGAATCTCGGGTTACGTGCGACGCCAGCCAAGCGTGAACGTAGAAAGCGACAGGCAGTGGAGGAGAGAGAGAGGTCAAATGATCAAACGAAAGAGCCGAAACATATCGGTGTGACTAATACTAATTCAGTTATAAAACATTTTTATTTTTGACTTTTTTTAAATGAAATTTTTACTGGCGTATTGGCCAGATTTATCTGATTAAAATGATACCAAACACGATATAGTTTGAATTGTAATTACTTGCTAAAATTGATGTTAAAAGTAGACGAAAAGTCAGAGAGATCGAATCAAAACATTGCATATGCATATCCGAGCGAGGTGTCGAAGTTTGATCGGACGTCTTGCATTATATGTACCCAGATTTTACTGTACTGTAAATTGTTAGGAAACCGTCTCTTGTGGAAGAAATACATCGTAGAAAGGAAATAGATGAACAGCGATCACCTTTATTATAATATTCATTGTTGATCATTTATTTCATTTCGATGGCCCTTGACATATAAAAAACGGCACAAAATATCCTGGATTTTTAATATTTTTCGATCGGTTGTGTATTAGACATAATATCGAAAACATGTTGAGTTTGCTACAAACTGCTACACCCGATCCGTACAGGAGACTGGTAAAATGCTGATTACTTAAGAAAAGCAGCCCGAAAATAAATCTGTTGTCAGATTTATTAAAATTTTTTTAGACAGATAACTTAGTATATTCTTTCAGCATAGAATGTGTTATTATGCTGGATTTTCCCGATTCTCCTGAAAGTGTGCGAGGCTGGCAGAACGACACAGCTCGAGCGAGTTCTTGAATGCTGGCGAACGTAGAAAAAGACAAATAGCGAAAGAGAAAGAGGTCCGAGAATTAAAGGGCACGAAAAGAAACATTTGAGTGAGACAATATTAATTTAACCATAACTATTTTTATTTTTCATTTTTGCTAAATGAAAATTTTACCAATGTAATTGTAAGGTTCTTCTGATTAAAATAAGACCTAACACGACATAATTTGCAATATATCTACTTATTTATTTAAAACCTAATGCAAATATATAAAGTAAGTATAATTCAAATTATGTCGTGTTTGATCTTGTTTTAATCGAAAAATTTCATCAATACGCTAGTGGAAGTTTCATTCAAAAGAAAAATCAGTCATTAGTCATTATAAAGCAACGAAGCGAAAGTGCAGCATAACTACACAGAAAACACATAAGGTTTATAGCAAGCTTAACATTTTCTATTGTATTATGGTAATCACTATATTATAGTTTTGTTTCCTTGTTGTATTATAGGAAAGTAAAATATGCAATATCGTATAAGCGTGGACCAGTTGCAATAGTTGCAAGAAACCTGATATGTATATAACAAATTAAATGAGGAATCAAGTTGTATCTAATATATCTTTCATTGTAATGACCATTCAGAGAATAAAATTATAATAGTTGTAAGGAATAAGAAATAAAACTAACAAACCGTTAAAGATTGAAATTTCTTTATATCCTTACAATTGAACCAACCAATTTTCCTCGTATGTCTTCGGATTTACGTATTGTAATAGTTAGAATAACAGTAATATCTAATTGAAGAAATTACATCTGTATCACGTACTTTTATCATATGGACGTACATACATGTGTATATATATAAAACTTAAATATTAAAAAAAATATCAAAGAAAGATGCAGTTCAACTCCTTCTTTTAACTGCTTCCCAGGTTAATGTATTTCATAGTATTAATGTATTAAAAATGTATTTTTATGTATTAAAAAAACGTTAATGCATTAAGAATCAGAACTGAAACCGTAGAATCGGGATTCGAACTGAATCTCCTGGTTTCTCACTTCTACCATATTGCCATGGACGAAATTATATTATTTTGTCGATTCGTCGATACTGCTGCCACGTGCTTTAGCGGTTTGAGCATCGAGCCGATAACGTAGAAATGACGAAAGCAGCCGAACTCTGCCAAACCCGCAGAGCTCACACGGACACGTGGGACAACGCGCTTGTGTTAGATGAAACAACTGCGGTAGGGGAATCACTGGGACGTCGTGGGACGTCGTGGAGAGGGTAAAAATTTGTCCCACGTCCCACGGTTCTGGCATCACTGGTGCACAGTACTAATGTTACATAAAGCAAATAATATTAAAGACAGTACTGGACAGTAATAATTAGCAATTATTCCATGATTTATAAATCATCTAAATAGAATTATATGTGATATTTCATAGAAATACAAAATCAGTCAAGGTAATGTATACATATAGCGTATGTAACATAATTATACGCAAAAAGTAATTGCGCAACAACTTTTCTTTTTTATTTTTTATTTTTATGATTGGGTAAAGATATAAAAATAATTTCCTTTTAGAAAATGAATATTTTATCAAATTTACTTCTCTAATAATTAATTTAAAGTATTATTATTATATGATTTGATATTTGGTTATATTAAAAGTAAAAGTTTGATGGTAATGAAACAATGGCACTGTTCATGATTGTACATTGCTGCTTGCAATTTATATCACCTTTAAAACAATTTATCTTTTTCAGAGAAATGAATGGTAATGACAGTTATATAACATGCCCATTTAATGAGGCACATCAAATATTAAGAGCTCAGTTTCAGACCCATTTAATCACATGCATTACAAATTATCCAAATCAATTGCAACATGTATGCCCTTTTGATGCAACACATCAGTTGGTTCCAGAAGAGTTTGAGGTAATTTAATTGTAACATTTGTACAGTTATTACAAACCTATACAAGTGATTCGTTTTGTATTTTAATACTGCTATTGTTTATTATTATAGCATCATCTTACAGTATGTCCAAGTAAAGGAAATGTGCAGTATTATCAAAACATATTGGGACCAGAACAAACACATGATGTATAGACTATTATGAATGATATAGAGGATTGGTCCTTCTGATTATGAGGATGACTAATAAGACTTCAGTATTTCTTTTATGACAGTAATGATAAGATATCGTTAAAAGATCAGCTGCAAAATCGTCATACGATTTTGACAAACATTTTCTTTTATGGTTTTGTTATTAGATAAAATGATAAGATATCGTTAAAAAATCAGCTGCAAAATCGTCATAGGATTTTGACAAACATTTTCTTTTATGGTTTTGTTATTAGATAAAATGATAAGATATCGTTAAAAAATCAGCTGCAAAATCGTCATAGGATTTTGACAAACGTTTTTTTTATGGTTTTGTTATTAGATAAAAATACTTATTTTGTTTTATGATACTTGATTATTGATAAATTGCAGCTAAATGAAGTATGCATATAATACAAAAAAATATAATTCTTTTCCAGTAATTATATAAGACACATCTGGGTAATTAGTATAGTATCTTTAAGACTATAAGTTCATAGAGGATTTCAGGTCACTATTTTATGATCTTATTTTTATATTAACAATTTCATGTGAGCACATATGTAAAAATTTATAATAAAATTAAATGCCACACAATCCATGATATTTTTCTATTCACATTAGATGTTAAAGTTTTACTAAAATATTTAAATCAAATGTTCATAATGATTTAAATAAAAAACATTTAAAATAAAGACTTCTTCCGTGCCAAAAAAATATTAGAAACCAAATTATTTATAAAAGATTGGTCAATATATTTTTGTTTATTACTGTTATCTATAATTTAAAGTATCATTTGCAATAAACAATTATATTAAAATATATATAAACAAAGATCTACTTTACATACATACATACAATCCTTGGTATCAAAGCAATCTTCTGTTACCGTCAACGCCTGACTGTGTGTGTAGTGCGAAGTGTTTCACATTTTTATATTAGGATAGAGCAGGTGGCGCTCGTTTTTGAGGCACAATTCACGACCCTTTGAGAACAAATGATGTTCAGCCCATGCCAGTTCTTATTTGTATGTATGTACTCTGAGTTGCATTGAACTTGTCGCAGTGAAGTTGGCTACAAATTTACTAACACATTCACGCCGCGTCGGTGAGTCGATCTCGTCCATCGTCTCACCAACGCAGCGTGGATGTGTTAGTGAATTTGTAGCCAACTTCACTGCGACAAGTTCAATGCAACTCAGTGTACATATATGCTGTAAATAGTTACTGGCAAAAACACGTGTAGTATTTTGCGACATGTATTAAGAAATAATTGTTTACAAAGTATAATATTTTTATTATTTTAAAAAGGAGTAGTTTCTAAAATACACATCACAATGCCTGTAATAAACAGAATAGTGTGAGTATTGTCAGCCTGTACCTAAGTGGCATACATTGGTTATGTTAAAAGATTAGATTTTTATAAAATTTAAAATATTATTGATATATTGCAGAAAACCAACTACCCATAGAGGTAAAAGAGCTATTTTAAAGAAAGAACCGAAATTGATAGAAGGTGCTAAACAAACTCTGTGTTACAAAGGTAAAAACAGTTCTGCGATAGTACTGGACTTTATGAAAGATCTGGTAAGTTAAATTAAAAGAAATTAGTAATAAAATGTGTTTTAAATTAATGTCTGACAAAATAAATATTTTGGTTTAGTATACTCTGAAGAAACCAGATGCATCATTATTGCAAAAGAAGAATGATGTACTACCATTTGAAGATGTAACACTACTCGAAAAATTTGCTATGAAGTATAACGCTCCTCTCTTCATGTTTGCTTTACATAATAAAAAACGTCCTCACAATCTTGTATTGGGAAGAATGTACGAGCATACATTATTAGACATGGCAGAATTTGGTGTAGAAAATTATAAAGGTTTAAAAGACTTTAAAATTCCAAAAGTTTCAGAGGGAATTAAACCTTTGTTAGTTTTTAATGGAGAACTTTTTGAAAATAATCATGAACTTAATAGAATTAAAAACCTCCTTGTGGATATGTTTCAAAGAGAGCCAGTTGAAAAGATTAGATTACAAGGTCTTGAGCATGTTCTCAGTTTCACAGCTGTTGAGAATAAAATAATGTTAAGAAGTTATAGGATACTTTTGAAAAAGTCTGACTGTAGAACACCAAGGATCGAATTGGAAGAAATAGGACCAAGGGCAGATTTAGTATGTAGGCGTACTAAACTTGCTTCTGAAGATCTCTTTAAACAAGCATGCAAGAAGCCAAAAGAATTGAAGGTAAAATTATTATTCCATAAAATAATTTATTTTATTAACTATTTATTTTCATTCGTGTTTTCCTTTAATCATAGGTTAAAAAGAAGAAGAATGTCTCTACAGATAATCTTGGCACAACTTTCGGTCGTATACATGTCGGGGCACAGAATCTTAATAGCATTCAAACAAGAAAGATGAAAGGACTTAAGAAAACCATGGCAGAAAAGAAAGTTGAAATGAAACGAAAAAGTACAGAAATTCAAGTCAGTGATGACAGTTCAAAAAGGTCTAAGAATACTACTGATTCAGCCGATTAATAATATTAACGCAAAGACGTCCTTTAGAATCAGCGTAAAAAAAGTGTAAATATAATTTTTTATTAAAACTATTAATTTACAATACAAACTTTTGGTTAAAACCGAGTTCAGTATTTTTTAATACTCCAAATAGTTTCACTTTTCTGGTCCTAGAAGTAGAATAAAATTACATTGCATATGAAATGCATTTACGAAGCAAATTATTCAAATAATTTACCTTTATTGTTACTCCACAAGAGGAAAGATTTAATCGTGCTTCGTCGCATGCCGTTAGTATGATTTTGTCTTTTACATCTTGTTCTAAAGCCCTATTTCGAACAGCGTTTCTGAATTTTACAAAGTGCTCTACGATATTGTTCATTCTATCATCATCTTCTGCTGTCAAGGAATTTAAAATACCAAATCTTGAAAACATTGTTGATATATAATTTGACACTGCAGCTACTGCTGGTATACTTCTCTTATTAAAGTCCTATGTTCAATGAAACAATATTATCTCTAATACTGTTATTATTATAAACTAACAGTCAAATTTTAATTCAAAATTACAAAGATTCTACTTACATTAGGTTTATGTAACATTTTATTCGCTACATCAATTAAGTTTAGAAGTAACTTCATGGTTTTTGCAGTGTTAAAATCGTCTGCTAATGCAATATCAATGCTACTTTTTGTTTCGTCCAAACACTGTAATCAATTTTAATATTATATTTTCCACATTTAGATGCATTTACATAAAAATGATAGAATATAAAAAACTAACATGTAACAATGCAACTTCATCAACATTGCCCACATTCCATCTTCCTGCAATGTAATTCTCACAATCGGTAATAAAATGTTCGATTTTATGTAATGTAGTTACTGCATTCGTCAGTATAACATCAGAATATTTAACTTCTAAAAAACATAATGAATATTTAATTTAAAAATATTCGATGTTTATAAATCAGTCAATAAAAATTGATAGCATACCATTTCTATAATTAGTAAGTAAACAAAGCATTCTCAAATGATTCGCTGTGTATTTTGCAAGAAATTCTCTTACATTAATTGTATTATTCAGGCTCTTTGACATTTTTGTATCATCTAAAAATAAGTGACCACAATGTAACCAATAGTTCACCCATTGCTGTACTTCATGGTAACAGCATGATTGGGCTTCTTCATTTTCATGATGTGGAAATGCAAGATCTATTCCGCCACTATGGAGATCCACACAATTTCCAAAAACTGTGCTAATTTAAATACAAGCTTTTATGTAGGTATATTACGTAAAGAAAAATAACTTCCTAATTCATCTTCGTAAAGCAATATTTTTTTCCTTTTTTTCTTTTACAGGAAGATATTACCTTGCAATTGTACTACATTCTATGTGCCATCCTGGTCTTCCCTTACCCCATGGTGATTTCCAAAATGGTTCACCTTGTTTAGCTGCTTTCCATAAACAAAAGTCTGTTGCTGATTTCTTTTCAGGATGATTACTCTCTGGGTATGGGGTTCCTAATTTTCCATAAAGGTCATATTTAGTTGTATCAAAATACCCAGAACCTGTAGAAACAAAAATGATTTGTTAATAAACGTAACATAATAATTCAATAATCATATCAATTAGTTTTACCATCTTTTGTAACATAACCATAGCCTTTATTTATGATACCATTAACAAATTCAATAATTTCAGGTATATAATCAGTGACTCTACAATACAAGTGAGGCTTGATAACATTTAACATTTTCATATCTTCTATAAATTCATTTTCATAATGTTTAGCAAGCGTCTGATAATTTTGTTGCTTCTTCTTTGAACTTGCTATTATTTTATCATCTATATCAGTTATACACATGACCATTATAGTATTTATGTTGAAATGGTCTGATAATATTCTTCTAATAATATCCAAATTCATGTAAGTCCTACAAAATAAATTTCTTTGTTATTCAACAGCTTTCCATTGTATAAAGTATTTTAAATGATTTTAAGCCTTACATTGCATGCCCAATATGTGCAGAATCATACACAGTTGGACCACAGACATACCAATTAAGAACATTTTTATTCTTCAAAATTAATGGTACTTTACATTTTGTCAGGGTATTATATATTGTAATATTTGTTTCGTATCCAATGGGTTTTAACCACTGCGGTGTTTTCTTCTGTTTTGTTTCAGCATGTACGAAACGATAACATAATTCCCGTAACTTGTAGTTAAAGAGATTTTTCATAGACATATTCATTTGAATGCTTTTGATTATTTGAATGTAAAATTAAAAAAATAACTTCTACTTTTATTACATGCAAGTACATATATAAATACTGTTTACTTCGATAGTTAACCTAACCCGACGTAACCTTCTTTACCTTGAATTTTATAACCTATATGACTTGCGCATAGAAAGTAATGATTGCCGCCATCTAGTTTAAAAAATTTAAATAAATACATACATGATAGTATATTAATCACAGTTATCATGAATTGATATAACAGATTAAGAGCGGCATCTTTAAAAAAAATTCAGTTTCATGTTCCGAAAGCAACAGTGATTATTCGTCAAAATTAATTATGAGAAAATTGTAACGTTGGTGCAATAATGATAAGATGAATCGGTGAAATGCGATTAAATGCGTGGGTTTGTTTCCACGTGGGCTAGAAAATAAAGTGGGAGGGAAACATAAATTAAGTGTGCAATGATGATGTCATTGCCCCGACAGGTTATGAGCAGTACGCGCCGAGGATGTCAAGATGGTTGCCACGTACATACATCTGATCGGAGGTGTGTGCGCTCGCGAAATTTGACGCCGAACTGTGATAAAAGGGGCTGTCTTTTTCGACTCCCTGACATGGTGACAGTGCAGAGTTAGTCGGCCTGTATCCATGAGCACCACTTTATACACCATCGATGATAGTTCTTGTCGTCGCGGCCGCCGGCGGCTCGCATTGAATCATGTTCAGTAAAAAACTTCATGTAGACGTCAAAAAGTCAACACTGAAGATTCAGGATGTTAAAAAGGATAGCGCAACTCGATTTAAGCATCTTAAGATCGTACTAGGTGAGCTAGTGTTCCTCTGTCTCGTATATTCCTGCCGTTCCATGATATAAGCTAATGTTAATCCATGGCGAAAATTAACAAGCAGTTGTACGGTACTAGTTAATGAATACGAAGGTAGTTAAAGGAGAGGGGCGCCAATTTTGTTAGCATTTGCCGCCTACACATAAGCAGCGAGACAGTTTTAATGCTGTCGTAGAAGTTCTGGAATTTTTCGTCAAAAATACGACTAGATTATTTTTCACTTTTCCTAGAATCTGTTCTACTTCTGCTACCAACAGCTGTAGTATTTCAGTATCTTCCAATATAAACACACATGTTTCTTTTAATTTAATATACTATTAAAATAATAAATTGGTATCAATACTAACAATATTTGATTTGTAACACCAAATTCAAGATATACAGTTACTCTGCTTTAACAGAAGTTTAATCAGTAAAACAGAGTTTCCTGTTTGAAAAACAGAATCATTTATTTACATACATTTATATATTGTAATTGTGTAGTATTGAGTGATAGTATCTAATCACCAAACCACATGACCACATTAACCAGTCTACCATTGCCTCCAAATCCATCTAATGTTACATTATTATTACGCACATGTAATATTGTGCATTTGCATGTACAAGTCTTGTCAGTCAATGAAAGCATTTACAGCTTACTTGTTAATTGACTCGTTTACAAAAAAAAAGATATGATTCAGTGGCAAATATTTCTCTGTAGTTGCTTATAATAACATACTTTTATACGTATACATTACATAACTTTAAAAAATAATAAAAATTTCTCTTTATCCCTTCAGTATTTCTTATTTCTCATATGAAATTATAGAGGTATATCTGTATAAACTTATTTTTATGATTACCTATTTATATGTGAGAGTAATACTTACAGTTGTATGAACATACATAATAATATTAATAAAATTTTATCACATAAGTACAGATACTCAAAACCAATGATGATGTAATAGAGGTTCTATGATCTATCTTATAAAATGAACATGTAGATTATTTACAGTACATAACAGTTTTTGTACTTATGTTTTATAGAAAATGTGGATACTGATGAAGCAAAGGGGTTTTTTGAAGGCAACTTCAGCCATGTGTATTTTATTCTATATGATTGTTTTGTGTCGGCTGAAGCAAACCTAAGACAAAGAGGTAAAGTTCTTAATACAGATACTTTATATTCTAATAATGTAAATTACACTTGCCTTGCATACAAGTATGAATATGACTGCAATTTCTGTCAGTATAACTGCAGTTTTATTTATAACAATATATGTATTTCTGATTATATTAAAATTAAAATTAAAATTACATATAGTTTGCTTGTTTTCTTTCTATTTTGCTGCCAGAACTTTCCTTCCACATTGGTGAGTAATAGACAGGTGATAAAATACATATCCCATGCATGTTCAAGTTTGAGTTCATCTGATTGCTCAAGTATAATGGCTTTATGATTAATCTATACATAGAAGTTCCATAGACTTATGCTTTTTTTATTTTTATTTTTTTATTAGTGATAAAGTAATATATACATATAGCTTATATGACTAAATGTTATATACTAAGAAAATATTTTTTTATAGTGCATAAAGCACACAGAGAGGAATTGGAACAGGTATTGCAGCTCTTGGAAAAAGTTTTAACTCTTCTCCCTGAGCTTCTTAACAGAAGATGGCAATGTCATAGTCTGGCAAGGATTTTGCAGAAACTTTTACATCCTGGTAATAGTTGGAAACTTAGAAGAGAAGCTATAAGGTATATTAGGTTTAATGTAGTGCATATATGTATATTTTGATTACAGTACATTGTATACATGTATAATTTCAGGTATTTTATTTTGTGGTATCAAGCACTTGGTGAAAATGCACCTGAACACATTCATCAGATGTTTGCAAGCTTGGTACCAGGCTTTCCACCTCGGCAACCATCTCCTTACAAGTCTGAACGTAAGATAGATGGGAAGAAGGATAAATTTGCTAAAGTAATTGGTTGTGATGATAAAGATAAGAGAGAATTTTATGATACACAATTGTCACAAAGTACTTTTCACGATAATGGGTCCAGTCAGTGTCCTGTCACTCCTGTGGACAATGGGCCCATTTTACCTCCGCAAAGTGGGGAAAAGCCTCTTGACAATGAAACTGTTCGATTTTTAGAAGCACTACTTGAATTTATGGTTACTCAGGTTGTAAAAATAGAATGGCGAGATAAATCTTCGCGACAGCACAAGACTTTTCAGTTTTTATTAGAACGTTTTAAAGCTACGTATCTTCGTTATATTTGCCCTGAGTTCGATGATAATTTCTCATTGTACAAACCGAATTTAGAATTGCCTACGATGCGTAAACCAACGAATCAGAGTCAAGATAATTATGTATTATGTAAAGTTGCTTTAATTAAATGGATCGCTAGCTTCACCCATGTCGCTAGAAAGGATGCTCGTGTCGCGCATCTTTCACATAGGTATTATAATAAAGCTAGAACTTCAATTCGTTAATATAAAATAATGTTTAATATAAAAATTTTCTGTTTTAGCACAACTCCGAACGAAGAAAATACAGAATCAGAACTTCGTCGTGTTTCAGTTACTCAAAATGCAGTTGATTCTACTTCGCTGTCTCCTGAATCAACTGTATCTCAACAAGAGAATCAAAATCAGGAAGATAGTACCGTTTCAGCAGTTACTCTTGTTAGAGAAGTTTTATACGGTAACAGAGATAATGTAAATTTTGTTCACGAATTGTACAGACAAGCGTTTTTGCTGGACTTTAATCATGCTGGTGCTATAAGAAAGGCTATAGCCGTTTATAAGGACTGGATCCAAATGAATGTAAGTCATCTCATAAAACTATTATTATAATGACCCTATAATTGTCATTTACTATTACAGGAACTCCCACCATTCATGTTAGAACCATTGGAGAGTCACAAAGAAAGAGATTTAGAAGATAATACCAAAAAAGATGCAAACGATATCGATAAAAGTCCGTCTGAAAGTTATCGGCAGACGAGATTAAGGAACGACTCTTATCTTGGTGCTATACACAGAGAAAATTTATTTATAAGAGCAGGATTACAGAATGTTTTACAAGTATTCATCACCCAGGCTTCTAATGTATTTTTCTTAGAAAATTCCGGACCCAACGCGTCCTTAACATTACTCGAAGAACAGACGGATAGTTGCAAAAGAGTTTTGAATGTTTACCGATACGTCGTAATGAATTCTAGATTAGAACCTGCTACTTGGGAACAGTTGCTTAGGTACATCTTCTTTAAAATAACAAAATAATTCAATAGATTAATACTTTTATTTATTCATTAGGGTATTGTTGCAAATAACATCGCTTGTTTTAAACGAGAAATCTTCTCGACGCAAAGTTCAAGAGAGCATCGGTGGCAAACTTGCACCTGCTATATTTCAGACCTTAATCGTTACGTGGATTAAAGCTAATTTAAACGTTGTTATTTCTACTCAGTTATGGGATCAGTTTCTGGAAGTTTTGACGTCGTTAACACAATGGGAGGAATTAATTCGAGAATGGGCGGTATGTTGAATTAAATTTCCTGCTGAGGATGGAAACAGTGAAATTGTATTTTACGTTTGCATTACAGAAAACATTGGATACTTTAACAAGGGTACTTGCCAGACACGTGTACAATTTAGATCTAAACGATCTGCCATTAGATAGATTGAGCGAACAAAAAACTAAAAAGCGTCGAGGTGTTGGAAGCCGCGCTGCATCCACAGGAAGCGTTCAACCCCCACGCAAAGGAAGCGTTGACCAAGATAACAATGCTGTTTCTAAAGAAAATGTTACCGGTAAAAAAGACGGAATAACATGTTTTTGTGATCTTCAACTGTTTTAAAATATTATTACACGTAAAATACTTATTTTCAATAGACCACCCTATGCGAGATTTAAGGAAAGTACGACCTCTTCCACGCAGTGCAAGTGATAATAATATATACAATGGAAAAGCACGCGTAAAGGTTCATAGACATCGTACACATACAGTGCATAGCGGTATCCCTGGTAAGCAATTCGCTGATCATCGAATTCCACTTATTTTCCATTATAATATATATTAATTCTATTAATTCTATTATTTGGTAGTGCCATCTATGTTGCTGATAGTGCGTGCAGTTTATTTATAACTTTGTCTCTTATTTTTTTGCTTTGACGCTGAGTCTGGTTTAAAAATAACTTAGTTTGGCAGCGGTCAGACACTTGTTTCGTCTCATTCTTTTCTTTTTATCCTCTTATCCGCATCGTTCTTCTTACCCGTGCTTTCTCCTAATTTTACACGACGAATTATCCGTTAAATCGTTTTTTATACAAACATTACACCCCGTGATTGCGGCTTATTTGTGTACTAAGTGTAAACAATTTCCACGCGAGCAGTACTCCCCCTATCAATAGAGCAAGATATGGCGCGACTACTATCAAGTGGTTCAACATCATCGTCAGGAGTTGGTCGGAAAATGTTACCCAACAGACGCGCTAAATCTTTGGACAGCGTTGTTATAGTCGATAGCGAACCACCATCGCCACGTTGCCCTTCTCCGACGCCTAGCAGCGGCGTTGACAGCAACAAAGACAGTCCCATACAGATAGAAAACATTGATGGCAGTAGTATTGGTAAGTATACCATTTGCCATTGTTTCATATCAAAGCATCATTTTTAATTGCATAACAACGTATACATATACATCTTTAAAATGTCAGAGTACTTTCATGTGTTTTTTATTTGCTGCACAAAATTCATAATGTAAAACTAACAATGAAATAGATTATTACCTGAATAATAATTTATTGTTTTGCTCAATACGCTTGGCTTACGTTTTTTGTATATTAACGATTCTATTTATATGAAAATTGTTTTCCACTTATATCATACAGTCTGGTATACTTGCATAGTAAAAATATACGCAGTTGTTTGTAATACACTTACTAATAAATTTTTGAATTCAAGCGACGAGAAACATTTTATTTGGAGCGCACCTTGATTTCTTTATTCATTTTTAATTTTTGGTATAGTCTGAATAGTTTGATAGGTTTGATTATAAATTATTTTGCAGACACTAATGATGCATCAGAAAGAAGATCTGTTATGGCAGGTGGGGGTGTCCGAGGATGGTTACCTGATGTAGCGGTTGTATTGTGGAGACGTATGTTATCGGCATTAGGAGACGTAAATAATATTCAGGATCCGACTCTTCATGGTCAAGTTATGGATTACCTTGTCCAATTGACACAAACCCTTATAAAAGTATAATGCTCGTTTAATTTTCCATATTTTAATTAAAACATGTTCATCCTATTCTTTATATTATCTTCTTGGTTATATAGATTCGTTTAAATCAAGGTGTATCTGGGGACAATCAAGTAACCCCGCCAGCTCCAGAACTTATACCGCCGTTAACAGTAATTGCTCCATGGTGTTTCAAGGTTTCTACTACATTATTTGTTGTACTAGAATTACTTGAATATTCTCAGATATTTAACGTTATCTGTCTATTTCTAGGCGATACAACTTCCTAGTCAGTACGAAGTTGGTAAATTGGCAGCATACCGTTTGATCTGCCTTTTAACAATACAGCCACAAGATATCAATTTACCAAAACAACACTTGACACTTTTTTATCGTGCGGTACATAACGGTATCGTTAGTAACGACAGTAAAGTATTACATGTACTGGTCAAGTATACCGGTCCTAGATTGTTCAGTTTAAATCTTCCTGGGTCTAGTCTTTTAATCTTGGATTATATTCACGCTGCTAATGTAATATTGAGCAGTCAGGATATCGGGGTATAATAAATATTTCATAGTAATTTAATGGTACAATATTGTAAGAATATAAAAATTATATAAATATCATTACAGGCACCACGGACGGAGGCTGTTTCAATAATTGGATCATTACTGTCATTACCTGCCACAACAATTAAATTACCTGTGTTGCAACCTACTTCAACAGATATTGTAACCATGACATGCCCAGATGCAAAGGTAATAAAATGTAGCATTTATTTATATCAGTAGTCCACTTAAATTTTTTAATACAAATTACTTTGTTTTTAGGAACATATAATCACGATTCTTTTAAGAAGTTGTAGGCGAGAACCAACCGGTATTGCAAGATGCGTGGCACTTTCAAGTATTGCTATGTTTGTGTACAGAGAACTGTGCTACAAAAATCAACACCCGCGGATACCAGAATCTGTCACGGTTCTTCTTTTAGCGCTTAAAGTAAGTTTTAGGTAGATAGTTACAGAGAAAATTTCTTTGGCTTAAAAGGTATTTTTGCATGTTATGAAAAGTAGATCTGAATTATATTTATTTAATACTTTGTACATGGAATATAGTTAAATAGCGAATATTCTTCAAATTTATCTATAATAACATTATTTGAGTTAAAAGTAGTAGTAGATTCCATTGAGTTTGATTGACAGCGGATGCAAAGGGCAGGGCGTCGGAGAGCTGGTTTCTGTTATCCACTAATGGATCAGGTAGTTTTTCTTGGGTTAATTAACCAATGTGTCGACCGTTTATTATGTGTTGTTACAGTATGTACCTGTCGACTGATGTCTACGTGTCTTCCTAAGGATATCAACATAGCATGATTTATATTGCACGGCTGTGTGTGTAAAATGTTGGATATTTTCATATCCTTGATCCAATTATATCTTGCATTTGTTAGTGATTAACAGCTTGCTACGTAATACTAGTTGATGCAAATAAAAGGATAACGTTATGCGAATATAATAATTCAATTAAAATTGTTCTCTATTCTATAGGCCAATCATGCCATTGTCGCTCAAGTGGCATGTGATTCCCTGTTGTTGTTATGTGATAAAGCAGATACTCTCTTAGAATTGTACCCAAATGTGCCATGTAAAATAATTCAAGTAAGTTATTTACAAAGTTATTGTTTTAAAATTCAATTCATCTATATAAAATTGTATATTTACATATTTCAGATTTTGTCAGAAACACTTGGATATATGAATACACGAGAAAAACGTGGTCCTTTGATAATATCAATGTTGTTTTGTTTGGGAGAGTGGGCTATGCACCTTGGCCCATATGTTTTGTTACGAGTATTTCAAGGGAAACCATTATTAATGAGTTTATTCTCGGTTAGTAGCACACGATAAAATATATTTTATCGGCTAAACTCAACACGATAAATTTATAATTTGAATACGCGCAGGTGTTGGATAATATAGTGAAAGATAAAATCAATAATGATGCATCACAATCGAACAAAAGTCACGAAGATGAAGATGATGATTTCGATCCTGATATAACTTTGGATAACTTGGCTGATGAAACTTCCATGAAATCGCCTCGACGCGGAAATATTCAGTCTGTTCAATTAGCAGCAAAAATGGTAAGTACATACGTCGTAGGTCTGGTTTTTCTTTCGTTAAGAATATACATTAACATTTGAGTTTCATAGGTAATGATGCATTTGATCAATCATTTGGGACACTTTCCAATGGGTATCGGAGCTGCACGCTTATCTTCGCTAGTCGTCGAATTAGATGATGTACCCGGCATCGACGGGGACGAACTTTCCTCTGCCATTTTTCATGCACCAAATATACAATTACTAATGTTATCGAATTCCGTAATAATGTCACTCGTTGAACTGGCGGCATTAGATGCACCTGGAGGAGGTGTTACTGCTGGATTAACAACAGCTCCATCGTTGGTTAGGGTTTTGTTAAGGGATTTAGCAGGGAAAGCATCTTGGGATAGTTCTATTTTATACAGTCAACCGTTTGTCGAAGACGATATTCCAATAGCATTTACAAAACACGGTAATTAATAGAGATTTATTAAACTTCAAACTTTTGTCTTTCAATGAAACTTATTTTAAATCGATTGATTATTTCTAGTCGAGTGGAAATCAAAAGTACAAATAGAAGATCTGAACAGTGTCACAACATCTCAGACTTGTACACCTCGGCATACAATAAGACACCGCGAACCTCATATACTACCTACGTTTGCAAATGCTGCAAGTGATATGGATAATTTGGATGATGTATGTTTCACTATTTAAAAAAGATTATTGCATAAAGAATATCGTATTAATATTATACCTATACCTTCAGCTTTTACAATATATAGGACACACAAGTCCAGAAGTACTAACTAATCCAGAAGTAGCCCTTAATGCGCCTGCTAATCCACCACAGGGTCATTATCTTGAAAGTGAAACCATCGCAACTATTCTGAATCAGAGAAATGCGGAACAAGAGCATATCAATAATTGGAATCAACATATTAGGTACATAATCGGTATTTGAAGATGTAATTGTGACCTTATCGATAATTTATGAATGAATGTTATTTCAGCATGTGCGCGTCGCCGATAAGTCCGCCATCGTGTCGACCACCTCCAGCGCCCTTTCATCACTGCCGTCTTTTATTTTCGCACTTAGGTTTGTCGGGTTGGGAACAACGTACAAAATTGCATTTGTTGTCAAAGAATGAAAAGCTTCTACGAGAACTAAGGAATCTCGACAGTCAACGATCCAGAGAAACGCATAAAATAGCGGTGATTTACGTTAGCCAGGGTCAAGAGGATAAGAATTCTATATTAAGTAATGTCACTGCTAGTAAAGAATACGAAAGCTTTGTCGCGAGATTGGCGTGGGAAGTGGAACTCGAATCGCATACAGGTTTTCTTGGAGGTCTTATACCTGGTAAAGCATCCGGAGTAACAGCACCCTATTTCGCTACATCCTTCACGGAGATACTTTTTCATGTAGCGACGAGAATGCCTTCCGATAGTCCTGAAAGTTTGTTACAGAAAGTAAGCTTTATTTATGTGGATTCATAGGAAAGATACGTTAGAATCCATTACTTTATGATCAAATACTTTACTTTATTATGGTATTTACAATACCCAATACTTAATGATTTCAGACACGGCACTTAGGTAACGATGAAATTCACATAGTTTGGTCCGAGCATTGGAGAGACTATCGTCGAGACATTATACCAACTGAATTTTGCGATGTTTTAATAGTAATTTATCCGTTGCATAATAAATTGTACAGAATTCAAATTTCTCGAAAGCCAGAGATTCCATTCTTTGGACCCTTATTCGATGAGTGCATCGTGGAAGATAAAGTTTTGCCCGGGTTAGTCAGAACAACAGCATTGGCAGCAAGTAGAGCAAAACGATCTACCCTTATGTTGTACCAGCATTAGTAAGCGTGCTACTTTTTCTCTTACTAATTTTATTTAATGTGGATTAAATATAAATATTTTTATTAAATATTTTAGTTATGAGGAGAGAGCAAGATCTATCGATACTGTCATGAGAAACCATAAAGAAGCTACTACATTTGAAGAGTTTACAGCTAATGTATATTCCCCGGTACAACCACCAAGCCCATTCAGTGGTACTTCTTCTGTATCTGGTTAGTTTGCATACGTTAGTAAGGAGGACAAACTGTAAATTTGATTGTTTATTTATAGAAACACTTTAACTTAAAATAGTTTTATAGTTAAATGCAAACCACGTTTATTTGTAATTTATCTCAATGCACACATTTTTTATCTTCATAGCAATGAAAAAAAAAAAAAAATAGTCTTTCTTTTCACATAGAAATTGTGATCAGCTTATAGCTGAAAATTCAACCTTTTTCAATAGTTTATGCATGAATTTAGATGTCAGTCATTATTATTATCAATGTCACACTGTCAGGCTCTACAACAAGCGTGCAATCCACAGCATCGTCAAACCTCGCAGCAGCCCTTATAGATTCCCATCAAGGTCGATCGGGTCTGCGAAGTTCTTCAGCAGCGAGCAGTGATAATCGCGCGAATAGAGGTGACTAACTCAGTCCACTAACCCCCACCCACCTTGTAACACCACCCAACAAGGTAGTATTATAATTTATTTATTTTTTTCTTTGCTGTTTTTCAATATTTTTGGTCTATACAAAATATATAATATTCCTTTATTTTTATTTTTTTTAATTATTTTTTCCTAGATTACCTGCTAGTGGTTCTATATGTTATAATATTTTCGTAATTATGCGAATTTATACACTGGTTTTTAAGTTTTACCCAGTAAACTCCAACCTCTTTAATTACATATAAAAAATAAACATAATGTTCAATATACACGAATGATGATACTATAAAATATGCAAACTTGTATTGAGGTATTGTATATTGCGGAACAAGACTGAGGCTAAATATGTTCCAACTAGTCTTTATTTAATATCCATATTTCTTAATTATATTTTTGTTTAACAGTCTTACACAATCTATTCAGAGGTAAAACTTACTTTTACATCCATATTAGACATAGATGGATAATATCTCTTTAATATTTGTCATAATACATGTGCCATTTTAGTTAATATTGCTTACTAGAATGAGATAATGTACAGTACTCTACAAATATAGCGTAGCATCTTGAAACAGAGTAGATTAATTAGAAAATGGGAACATAACTTTAGGCTTTTAATACTATATTTGCATGGCACTGTACATTGTAACTAGCTTTCAGTTAAATACATAGTTGCAAATGAATGTGCCTATTTGTAAATACAGGCATTCATCTTCTCATCACAGTTCAAACATTCAGTGTATATATATATATATATCTTACATCAGTTTTTTCATATAAAAAAATTATGCAAACAGTTTAACACTTCGATTTTTTTAGCTTAATCTATTTTATGAAATTAGCATTTTATAATTTTTTTTTATAAACACAAATGATAAAGACTGCGTTTTATTTACATATTTTTTAAATCAGAGATTGCACGTTAATTTTTGCTATTATACATTTGCACATTATAATAAATCCATTGCATTTATTTTATATACTGTATGTAACTAATTCCTGTGTATAATTTCAAAACGTGCAATGTCAGTTGAAATATGTTCTGATTTGTTTTCAGTTTCTGATGGGAGTAGAGTGTGGTTTAGTAACGACACACCGGAGAGTACAGCACTCCATGGAATTTCTCCTAGACCTGTGAAAAAGATGTCATTTAAAACTGGACCGAAACAGCGGACGAGCACTCAATCCACACCACCTGACAGTCCAAGATATAAATAAGGAATTTTCTATGAGAGTACCATAAAGAAAATGAACACTTTTGCACAAGAGGTTGTTTGGTCATATCCTAAAAAGTTGTAATTTAAGAGAATTCTTTAAACAATGCATCGCAGTAGCAACATGGTTCACTGCTCTATGCGCCAACAGATAGTAGACACGTTAAGGATTAAAATGATAGATTCAGAATACCTGCTACTTTTGCAGTGGGTATGAGATATCTGAAGTTAGTCTTAGCGTTTTCTGTTTTCCGTCCTTAGGTTTAATTTTTATATTAAATGTACAGATCGTTGTTTATTTGTTGCAACGTGAATATTAATTTATTGGAACGTAAATATACGAGAAGATTTAACTGATCATAGATTATACAATAGTACTAGATTTGATATACACTGATCAGCGTCACATGACAGCTATTTTGATTGTACAGTACTTTATTAAGATCAGTTTACCCTTGTACTTGAATAGGTAAGCTTAAACGATTGTATCAATTAAAGCTTCTATCTTAATTTATATTAAAAATAATGAGATCCTCGATGTTACATGCCTTCGTAAGAAAAAGAAAGATAACTCAATTTCTTGTAATGTAGTTGGATGATAAGAAAATGAAACATGATTACCATATACGAGCGCTGAATGCGAGTCTATGAGAGTTGATAAGAATCAAATGTTATTTTTTAACGTCAAAGTTTTACGAATCAATATCGTGTCTCTTAATAATGTAATAACTTGTACTTTACCTCTCATATCGGTTTAATTTCGATGAAATATTTCTGGTAAATGTGGTACAATCACGGTCTTTTAAATATGTTTATACATTACATTCCATACAACAATCTTTTCTATATCTTACTCATTATCAATTATTTCAGTACTTTAGATATATTTTCAAAAAAAAGATGAAAGCATTCCACTTGTCTTTTGTATTTAAATTCGACAATCTCCTATCGAAATTTACAACTTAAGTGTATAAATGATTGTTTGGTTCCTGTACATTGTTGCAGAACAGGAAATCAATTAGGGAACACTTTTGTTATCATACCAAAATTATAAGCATTTGGTGCTTTACGATACGTAAAATAGAAATATTTTAAATACTGTGTCAAAAGTGAATAACACTGATGAGGATGAAAAAAGAGAGAGAAAGAAAGGAGAAAAGTTTTGAAAGTAAGAATAAAACTTTGGCTTCAAAAAAAAAAATTCATCTTGAGCACAGTGATAATAATCAAAGTATTAATATTATTCGTCGCTGTCGATATGAACAGAGTATAGAGAGAAATGATATATTATGATGAATATTGATAATGGTATTCAAGTTGAAATTGTAATAAATAAACATTACGAGTTTTTTGACCATTTTGAAGATTATCAGGAAAAAAGTCGCATTCGAATGTGTAGGTATCTAGCAACGAAGTTGTAGGTAAATATTACCGATACGCAGACCATGGCCAAAGCAGCATTATTTTTTCACTAATTTATAACGAAGTAGATTGAGAGTCGTGTATATGTATTGTACATAAATTGTTAAGCCCGTGAATGACGTTCAAGTCATTGATGGAAATTATTCTTTGCAAAATATTGTATCGCTATGTTATTGAACAAAAGTATTGGTCTATATACATATACATATACATATATATACATATATATATGCATATATACGTATAGAAATGGAAGATGAACTTCTTGATAAAGATGCTTTTATGAATCATATTTAAATATTGTACTTAATTAATTATCTTCATCAATATCATTATAACAATTGTTCGCTATTATTTATGTTATAAATATACAAGTTGCTGTTAATATTATTAGCATAATACTGAACTATTTTTCTTACTAAATATTTCTAACTGTTTGGAATGAAATTTAGCAAATGTAAGCTGTGAGAAAAATGTAAGAGTAGCATTACCACTAAAGAAAATAATGCGGTGCCTCTTCTGCTCATAACATTGCTTAAATTTACATTCTTCAATTCCTTTTTGTAAGTTTCTGTTTCCTTTTGTTTTTACATTTTCAAATGTCTGTGTGTAAAAGCTATCACCAATACGAATATTAACTGTTCATGCAAGATAATCTGTACTATATAATTTTTACCTATTTCTTTACTTGTATGAAGATGTTATTATGTATATTAAAACGGAGAAAGTCTACGAAGGATACAAGTCTGCGATTCTTGTCTATATCAACATAAAACAGAGTTAATATATATCTACATGTATGTATAATTATTTTATACAATTGAAAGGAAAGCTACATGCCTTCTCGTTTCGATTTATTTGGCAAATAGAATCTAGCTAAGATCTATTTAATTTTTTAATTACACGAATTAATGGGAACATTTTTAGCGGCATCTGCGAATCGTAAAGTAACAATTAGATTACTTGAAATAAAATTTAATAAAATTTCTGCTGATAAACTGTATGTTATATGAAATTCAAACATTGCAGAGTCTATAGTTGATATAGAAAACGATAGCAATTGAATAGAAAACGTATAAATATACTTACAATTCGTAAAAAGAAGTTAAACGATTCGTTTGTAGAGGCGGTATTTGGAATTGACTTGATTCTTCTATAATGGAAATTCGTTATCCAAAAATTTCTCTGATATCGTGTTGATTGTATACATTTCTGCGATGGAATGTACATTTTATTGCACAATAAAATTATAATGAATCAATTTTAACTGAACATATGCTTACAGATTATTATGGAGATTTGAATTTAAAATTGCGCTCTTCTTAAGTTTCCCATTTTCAACTATAGGGAACGAGAAAATGAATCACCTTGTAAAATGTGGTAAAATGGCTGCCATCAGGTGTATGGTTTATTTGTAACATTTATAAGCATTATCAAGTGGTCAAAGATTTTTAGTTCTCACTTTTCAATAGTAAATAGATTCTTAGAAACACTCCTGAACACATAGATATCGACTATATAGATATTTTTATAAGGTAGTTTATTAGATGTAATCGTGGAACATTGTGACGAAAGATCAAAGCACGGAAGTACAAAAAGAAAAGGCGTATGAGGAGCTGTCAAAGGGTTCTTACGTCAATTTATTTACAAGCATAAGCTTTGATGAATGTCTGAGAGTGATATTTACGATTCGGCGGACGAATACACAAGCCTAATGGACGGTCACGTTGCGGAATCTCGCATGGACGACCTGGGCTTGGTCACTGGTCGAAAAAGGCGTTCAAGGATTAGTAACGAAGAGGTAATTCACTGCTATTAACCTTCATATATTTCATAAAATTTAAGACTACATATTAGCTTAATAACGTTCGAATTGCAGGTTGAAAATGGTGTTCCCGAAGTACACATCCAAACACCAGGTATATCCACCAATGCCACTTCAGCTAGAAGAGGTACACCGAATAATAACGGACAAAATAGAGCAAGGAATTACAGAGACGAAGAGGAAGAAGAGTTAAAATATGGAGCAGCACACGTTATCAAATTATTTGTGCCTGTATCTCTTTGTATGTTAGTCGTAGTTGCTACCATTAGTTCTATAAATTTCTATACAACCAAAGGAGTATACTTGTAAGTTATAGAAACTATATTTTGTGTATATCTATATCTTGCAACAAAAATGACCTGGTTCTGTATAATTAAATGTTTGTTTCAGAGTATATACTCCATTTCATGAAGACAGTAGTGACACAAGTACGAAAGCATGGCAAGCAGTTGCCAATGCTTTGATACTCATGTGTGTCATTGTATGTATGACTGTGATACTTATTATCTTATATAAATACAAATTTTATAAAGCTATCCATGGGTGGTTGATAATAAGTTCCTTATTGTTATTATCTCTTTTTTCCATTCTCTTCATCGAGTAGGTATAATTATTTTATTAAATAAACATAATTTTTCATTATCTAACAATGATTTTCTTTGCAGGCAAGTATTAAAAGCATACAACATTCCAATGGATTTGATCACCTTAGGAATAGTTTCATGGAATTTTGGAGTAGTTGGAATGATATGTATACATTGGCAAGGTCCCTTGCAATTACAACAGGCATATCTTATTTTCATCTCAGCTCTAATGGCACTGGTTTTTATCAAACATTTGCCAGAATGGACAACATGGGTTGTGTTAGCTGTTATCAGCATTTGGGGTAGTTTGCATTTATTAAAAAAAGAAAAAAAAACACCATAAATGAAACGCAATCTTTCACAATATTTTGTATTTAGATTTAATTGCTGTGTTATCACCAAAGGGTCCTTTAAGGGTCCTTGTAGAGATCGCTCAGGAACGAAACGAATCTATTTTCCCTGCACTGATTTATTCGTCTACAGTTATGTACACAGCCACTATGACTTATGCTGGTTATGTGCAAGCAGCAACAATGACTAGCAGTGATTCTGCGGCTGATGAAAACGCGGGGTACTCTATACGGGGTCAAGCTGACAATCAAAATAATCCTGCATCTGGAGATGCAGAAGAAGGTGGATTTACTCGTGAATGGATAGAAACGCATGGTAATAAATAAATGTAGCCTAGTATATCTTTACTAAAGGTAACAATAAATTTCCTTCTAGGTGACCGGGGTGCGAGACGAGCGCAAGAAGTACGCGACAATTCTGCGTCATTGACTGAAAGCTCGAGACAGCAAGATAATCGCACTGTACGTGAAACACAAACGCAACAACAAGTTGCTGTAACCGAGGAAGAACGAGGAGTGAAATTAGGTCTGGGCGACTTCATATTCTACAGCGTTTTAGTCGGTAAAGCTTCCAGTTATGGTGACTGGAACACAACTTTGGCATGTTTCGTTGCCATTTTAATTGTAAGTATTCGTTGTTTCTATTCAAATGAAAAATTGCACAAGTTTCATTATTATCTGTTATTTTCAGGGACTTTGTTTGACTTTATTGCTGCTGGCTATATTCAAGAAAGCATTGCCAGCGTTACCGATATCCATCGCCTTTGGTTTAACATTTTATTTTGCTACCAGGGTAATCGTTGCACCGTTTGCGGATAAATTAGCAAGCGAACAAGTGTTCATTTAACTGTAGGTATAATCTACATTATCATTACTCATCATAATTTATTACAAAAGGATAGTGCCTATTTACTCTTACGATCGTCTAGCTTTCGTATTTCATTTAAATTTTATTGCTCGTATCCTGTATCTCGGATGTGTCGATCATCCTGTAACATGGTACAAATCAACATGAAATGTGCGTTATACGAACTGGATGAACCAGTATTTTTTAACGATAAGTATTCATTACTGAACAATTACATCGGTTAAGAGTCTAATGTCATGAAAATGCTCAAAAATACAAATTTACATTTGTAAGCTGGATAAGAGAAATAATAAATGACAATTGTATTTATCTGATATCCATTACACGTTACTAATATAATTTATTTACATTAACAACGGGTAGCGAGTAAAATAGCAGTTAAGAATAATTAAATGGATTGAGCTATGAGAATTTATTGTGTGTCGTTACATTTAGAGAACATGGATCGCATAGATCAAGTATAAAAAAAGCAGTTGATGATCGGTCCATTCTTTTACCGGAAACAATATGAAATATGAGGTATAATATTTATCTAAACAATTTGCTAAATGTACAGACCTCGCGGCTACAAATTACTAGTACCACTAGCCGTCCAGGATTATTCCTTGGGTTTTGAAGTCCGCTTATACACAGCCATAGATCATTCATCATTGATCACAAGCTTTAAGATACTCACTTCAATGACAATAAGTATTGCTATGAGTTTCATTCAACATTAACCAACAGGAGTTCAAGTACAAGTTTAAGAAATATTCTTTTCACCACTTTGAGTATTCAAGGCAAAATGACACGTTCTCTTTTTTCTTTTCTTTCCTTTTTATTGTTACATTATATACTCCCTTGGATTTTAGAAAAGCATATATATTTCTTTGCACTGTGATAGATAAATCCACGCCATTTGTTTGTTTATTTCTTTTCAGAAAGCGGTTTTATAAATAAGCGGATAAACATTTTGCCAAGAATAATCGACGATGTCAAAGTTAGCGTTGGTTTTCCGTCTCATTTATCGTAAGCATTGTATAACTGTTTTTTAACAGCGCTGTCCTCTGTTTACAAACTTTGCCGCGAAATGCAGTGTATACATATACAATATACAATATATATATAATATAAATCCCCGGAATCGGAAGAACTTCAACAGCGATATGATATTCTTTGCACTTCGTAAAATTATGATAATTCAATATGTTTATAACTACATGCTAGGAGGAAGTTCACTTTTTTTTATTCTTTTTTTTTTTAATTCTAAATATCTATTCGAATCTCAGTCGTGACGATGATGTGTAAAAGACGCTGTTCCGACGAAAAAATAAACGCGATCATTTATGAATTCTAATTATTATCACGAGCATAAATACTCGACGTTATTTATGATCACCATGGTTGTGCGCACAGCAAAAATTATTCTTATTTCGTGCGTATTTTTTAACAATACTGTTCTAGCTACGTATAAATATTTCTAGCGAAAAAGATGCGCGAATTTGTTAAAATTTTTAACTCAATGTCATTCGAGACCGAAGCTAGGAAAGGTACACTTGGTAATTGTCGATTCTAACGGGAGAAAAACATTAGGAAAATATCCGCAATCCGTGATGATTAATCAGATCGTGTAATGATTTTCAGTGGTAAATCTGTATCGAGAATAGAATTCGAGACTCGTTAGATTCTGTTTGGATAATTATATACAACAAAGTATACTGTGTCTCAACTTGGTATAGGTTACGAAGGTCAGTTTCCTTTGGACACTAACCTTCACAACACATATCAAAGTCACTGAAATAATGTTTATCTTCGTTTCTTAAATATAATTTCGCGGCACCCTTTACTAATTCTACAAACAAAACAATTATTAAATAGGCGGTATACAGGGTGTTCCAGAACTCGCATAACACCAGAAAATGGGGGGTTGTTGGGGTGATTCTGAACAACTTTTTCCTTTACCAAAATGTTTGAAGCTTCGTTTTTGAATTATTAACACTGGCCAATAACAGCGCGCGCTGAACCACGAGAGATAAATATTACGTCGTCTTAAATTAAGAACAATGTGGAATTAGTCGCACGTTTCCCTCGATACGCACGCTGTGCCAATGCGTTTGTTCACGACCAGGATCGAGCGCGATCGAGAGCCAACGTTCTAGTGATTGAGCGCGCGCTCTACACGCACTCTCATTGGCCAGTGTTTTTCGTTAATAATTCAAAAACGAAGCTTCAACCAACATTTTGGTAAAGGAAAAAGTTGTTCAGAATCACCCCAGCAACCCCCCCATTTCCGGGTGTTACAGGAGTTATGAGACACTCTCTATATATCTATACAATATATCAGTCTTATAAACAATAAACTTTTGGAAACGCATTTTTGTAAATATACAATAATAATTGTCGCAAAAAGTGGTGACTATTAATTTGGTAATATTTTTCCCACTTTAGCTTATCTCCGGTTTTATCTTTATAAAAAAATACATAACGAATTATAAATATCTCCTATAAACGTTCGCTCGAATCTGTTCGTTCTCCAACACTCAGGGGAATCGTCCTTCCTTTTAACTCGTCCCGTATTTGCTGCTTTCGAATGTTCCGCGTCTGAAGAACGAACTGAATTCCAGCAACGATTGCTTATCTATGTTGCTTAAGTTGCCGTTGTACTTGTAGAGAGGTTCGCAGTGCGGCAATTCGGAGCATACCTGAATCAATCGTCGCAAATATTCTTCTAATCGTTTTCTACGTTGTCGTGCCACCACTTCGTATTTGGGGAAAACTTGTCGTGGTGGAAAGCGTATCGCTGCTACCTATACAATCAATTAAAACATCAAGATCATGGTTTGTTTTCTTTTTAATACAAAAGATTCTTCTGTTACGGGTTAGATATACCGTTTACCTTGCTACCGTATTTCTGTCGCATCGAGATATACAACTCCCGGAATCTTCTGTATCTGCGTAGAAGTGTCCAGCTATCATCTTGGGCCACGACACGTACCTCGTACTCGTAATGGCTGGACGTACCAGCCCCACGTATCACGTAAGAGGGTATACTAACGATCATATTAATCACACTGTCGTAATCGGCGTCGTTTGCTATCAGAGACGGCAGGGACCTCGTGATTGTCAGGGAATAAGGGCTGCTTAGCCGATCGCCTCTGTTTTGGCTCTAAAAATCAAATAGAAATTCAGCTCTCTATGAAAACAGCGATTAGTATCGAAGCATTAACCTCTGTGATGTAAAATTTAATTTATTACCGTGAGATAAACCGTCGAGTATCCTCTTCCCGATGATATTCGAGGCGCAACCGATTCCGACAGATTCTCCTCGTCGTTAGTGTTAGGCCTGTTGTTCCTGAGGATGGGAGATCGTGTAGTAGCCACGGTCACCAATGTGGCAGAGCTATTCGTTGACTCTAGATCGCAACATGTGCTCGTCTCCGTGTTTTGTACACGATCGTTTCCATCAACGATCGGTGACAACCTGTCGTTACTGCTTTCAGAGTTGGATCGTTTAACATTCTTGCGTTCATTTTCCAACAACGCTACCTCTAGTTCAATCTGTTGCTTCTGGAGGTCTTGTAGAATGGCTATTTGTTTATTCAGATCTTCTTTAGAGGGTGAGCTGGCCTCCAAACACCTCATTACCATCATTCGTTGACGAGCGATTCTTTGGTTTAATCGTTTCATCGATGGATTTTGTTGCACCGGTGACTCCAGCGAATCCTGGGGAATCGAATCTTCCTCTATCGTTGAATTAGTCGGTGATCTAGAATCTGTCTTTTCACTGTTAGCACTGCCGTTACATTTGTCCGTTTTTATTTCCACAGGAGACTTTCTGTTCAGGTTCAACGAGCTTTTGCCTTCCACTTCAAGCAGTTTCGCTTTGTCGTTCTGCGAGGGAACCTCCTGAGGAAGCTGCGATTCTTGAGATTCTTCTTGCTCGTTGTTATCAGATGGAATACGAGATTCTTTCGTACGAGGTTCTTCGAAGGGTATGCGAGGTTCTGGTGAATCAGCCGCAGCTGTGTGGAACGTGTCGGCAGTCTCTATAGAGCTTGGAACATTTTGTGGCAGTAGACTCAAAGCAGAAGCTATTTGAAGTTTCCTATTGCAAGCATCCTGGAACGATTGATTGTCTCCATTGGAAAAGATCTCTTCGCCACTGAATGAATGATCGCCAGGTGACGCGGGTAAAGCGCGCTTCAGGTTCAATGATAAACTCTGTTTTCGTCGCAGGATTTCTTGCAGCTGTTCTTGCGAACGTTTTGCTAACAGCACTTTCTTCTCTGTGTTTCCTTCTCCCTCCAACTGGTATAAGAATTCAGTATCAAGTATAGACGATACAAGAATATTGATTAATTTTTTAAAAATAGTTTGCTTACCTCCAGGTTGATCATGTGCTTCTGTTTTCTAGCTATTTCAATCAGTTCCTCTTCCATCTTGTCTACCTTACTTTGATGTTCATTTAATGATTTCACTTTGTTCTGCAATTCTGTTTCCAGGACAGCCAGTTCTTTTTTCTGGAAAGCAATTTCATTCAGAAGACAAATTATATTCTTAATCCTTTGCTTGTAGTTAAATAGAAGCTACTGAAGATTGCTATAACTCATCATAATTTCTTAGATCGTTCAGTGCCATTGAATGATATAATTAGAACAGAAAATACATAGTTTTAAATATACTTACGTGATGATTAACAAGTTCTCGGACAGCATCAACGCATTTATCATCGTTCAAACTCGACCAAGATTCTGGCAAGCTACCATCACTTCCAGCACCGTCATCCGTCTGAAACGGTACAGTTTCTTTTCTAAACTAAAGATCCACGAGTCTCCTATCAACTATCGAAATCAATACCCAAAAGAAACAGCAACAAAAAAAAAAAAGAAAGAAACAAAAATAAAGAGGAGAGCCAAGATGCAGCTTGGTGATCGCGTGCGATTAATCTATTTATTCTCTTTTTTTTTGTAGCTCGTACTATCAAACTACAAGCTACAACGTGCTGTGAAAAATGTTGGAATTTCCTTTCTCTCGAAAAAAACTTACCTTCTCCCACCATTGATGGAATCTTTGAGCGCGTTCGTGATTGTTCATGAACTCTTGAAACTGACGATGCTTGGATTGCAATGTTGTACGCAGTGAGGCAACTTCCCTACATAAATTTTCTACCTGGTACCACACACACACAGATATCGATGCATTAACAAAAAAGGACAACTGAAAGAAACATAGTTTAAGACGCGTCCCGTTTCTTTGATTTATTTATTTATCTGTACGCTACATCGACGAGGAAAAAGAAGTTCACGAATCATCGTGTAAAGGTACACAGTTATCGGTAACTAGAAAAATAAAAATAAAACACAGACGAGAACGTTGAACGGATAAAAATATGATAGTGAAAGCATGCCGTTTTTATGCACCAATGTAATAATTATAATGGGCTACGGGTTGCGTTATTAAAAGGTATCCTATAGGTTTAATGGGAATTTAGAATATAGAATATTAACCCTTTCAGTGGTGAACACTTGTAATTACTAATTTAATAATTCCATCAATAATTCTACGGTACTCGACCTATTTCAGTTTGTCACTTAAAGGGTTAAATAAATAGATATAAAGGAAGTGATTAGAATATAGAACTCCATTTATTTCATTTAATTAAAATAGCACTGTGATTTTTTAAGAAAAGAGAGAAGGTACCGGATTCATTTTCATACCTTAAGCATAACTCAATTGATAAAATTTTTCAAATGAATGGAGTTCTATTGTAAATGATCGCGATAATACATTACCTTAAACATGTTCGGTTAGTTTAGTCGTTTAAGTCTGCACTTAAGAATAAGTGCATATGCGAACGTACCCCAATTTGTTAACATAAGATGTACACTGGGTTTGTTAATCAGGATTCGTGAATTCTTGACTAAAAGTATTATTACACTTAACGATTACCAGATAGTGTGAAATAATTAGATACGTAAATTAATGAAATTTAAAATCTAAAAGGCACTGAACTAATTTACACACCTAATAGAATAGATTATACATATACGTGCAATCGTATCGTGGAAGATCGAAGGCCAATTTTTGTAATAAAAATTTATTAATCAACAGTATATATATATGTATATATATATGTATATTGTATAACAACAGTTCTTTCTCTTCTTTCTCGCATAACAAACCCATATAGACATTTATACAAAAGAAAAAAAAAAAACAAGCCCAGATATGTACATAAAGAGGTTTTTTCTCTCCACCTTAACATCGTCTACAAGGTACATTAACGTATAACATTCCACAGAATGCCATTTGTCCGGCAATATCTCGTCAACACTGGCACTTTGTTTTTATATATTTTTTTTTTTTATGTTCAGGCAGCTTATGCGTTAAGCTTGTCTGTCTGCTTTATTAAAAAAAGAATACTAGGCGTAAATTTGAAGCGTTTGCTATTATAAAATTAGACGCATCTCTCGTTCTTAGAAAAGAACCGTAGTACCTGCTTAAAAAGCGAATAAATATACAATTAAAAACGAGTTAATTAACATCGTACAGGATAAATAGTCTCCCGTTTAACGATGCGATCTTCTTTTATACATTGTTACATATGTTACATATTCAGGAGAAAATCCTGATACCGGTTGCTTTTAAAGCACCGCCTTTTTTAAAAAAGTTTCTTTAACTAATTTGACCACCATTGTTGTTCAAGTACGCGTTGAACACTTGCATAGAAGTGAATTGAAGAATAGCACAAGGAACGAGAAGGAGGTGGACGTTCCTGACGATGCTACACACATTCTGGGTCACATGTTTAACGGGCAAACGTGCGAGTAGATGATGATGTTGCCAGACAAGCAAATAAGGACACCGAGAGCAATAAGGACGAGGTAGAATTGATACTTGATCGAGATTACGTTCAAGTCCGGAGACGGCGCGTCCGTGTCACTTACTTGCGTCATTTCGTCTCGTCGTTCTTGTTCCAGGACATGACGTCTTGCGCGTAACTCGCGTTGCCGTGATTCAAGGGCTGATATCGCATCAGCCCACTCTTTCCATTGGGCGCCCCATTCGCGTTCCAGTTCACGTTGTGCACCTTCCAGGGCTTCTCTTCTAGCGGCCCATCTTTCTTCTCTTTCCTCCTGTTCCCTCTATACGAAACGATTATAATTATTTTGGTAATGTAACAGTTTCGTTATACAACGACTGTTCTTATTTTATAACGACGAACCTTAAAGTCTTCCTTTTCCTTGATAAGAGCAGCCTTCTGCTGTTCCAGTTCCTCGAGTGCCCGGAGATCTTCGCTCGAATTTAAAAGATTATCGCTAGAGGAGGAAGCGTGTAAGTCCGAGACACTCCAGCTCAAGAGGGATAATCTTGAAAGATTGACGACCGTGGATTGAAGGTTACCGTTACCCGTTCCACCTTCCTTTCTTAGCTTCGCCGCCTCTGCTGGATCGTTATAGCGGAACATATTGTTCCTGCCCAGAAGAATGATACAACCTTGCGACAAACGTGTCGGTTTATCCACTTGGGCGGTGTTGATCCAACAATGGGGAGAAAGGGGATGAAGGGTTGCTACACCGCTGTCTAGCTCTACCACACAATGTTCTGGCTCGACGTCTGCGCCGGTTAATACGATATCCTAAGAGTATTTGGTGAATATTAAATTTTTGAAAAATTGTTAATAGTATTTAGAGGTAAATAGAAATGTTTACCTGCGTCGTTGGTGCCTCCTCTGTTCCAACTAACGTTCTACCCTCTTTCAGATGATACAACGTGACACCGGTGCTTAGGAGATCATCGTCGATTCCTACCAAGTGAGGCATCTCCGAGTCTAAAACGACGCCAACACCACTCTTTCGAAGACCTAACGCTTTTTGTTCCTGAAGAATCTGCTGTGTTTCTCGCCACTTTTCCGTCCATTCTTCCGTCAACACTTTCTCCTGTTCTTGTTTCTCATGAATCTGAGCCAACAATACCTGCGGTGGCCTTTCAACGCTCTACAAAGTACACTACAGTGAGCTTCTATTCTTAGACACACAATGACTTTTTCAATTACTTAAAAAAATAATCTTTAGATACTTGCCATGTCTTTACCGATAAGAGATTTCAGTTTCTGTATCTCTTCCCTGAGTTCTCTAATGAGTTTTACATTTGGATCTTCGTTGATTGTTGGTTTGTTAATTATATTTTTCGCTCGGTTCGCGTACCTGAGCGTACTCAACGTCTCCCCGTAATTACAGTCTGCCGGACTAATAGCAGCTATCATGATAGTCTTCGAATTACCTCCAAGCGAATCCTTTAGCAACCACGTTAGCACACTGTCGCGGTAAGGTATGAAAACGTTTCGCTTCGAGGAGGAAGAAGGATCGCTCGTGGAACTTACTTCCGCGAGCGCGGATATCACAGAACCTAAAGTCACCAGTGACTTGTTTATGTGCGCACCCTCTTTCAGTCGTTGACCCGTCGCTCCTGTTGCATTTGCACGTTCGCTACAAACATAAGTTTTTATTTAATTTCATAGAGATAAACTAATTGAGGCGAGAACAAAAAAGTTTTTGGAAAATTAATATAGAGGGTCTCCATACATGGAGCGCTCAATTTTGAATTTTATATCTCAACAAACGTGGTCCCAAGATTTTTGTGGTATCACAGTCTATATCTTCTTTGAAAGAAGATTTTATATAAAAAAGTAATATCAATATATGCTGCTACCCTTATCAATAAAAAGATACAAGCTACATTCCATAAATCTTTTCTGTCTAGGCAACGACTCAAAATGAAGAAAGGATTCTCTTTGGCTACTCGTTGCGACTACCTTCCGGCCAAGTCGACAAGATGCACCTTGGAAACGGTCTCCGACGGCATATTGCCCTCAGAGAGTCCGGCTTGCACGAATGTTATCGTAAAAATCGCGTGACTTCTGCTGCTCACGTCGTTCATGTTTGTGCTGGCTGTAGTTCTGTGCGTGTTACCTCTCACCATACATTCCTGCAAGTAACCGGCTCTTTGAAGTGCGCCTTGGAAGGCGGTAAAACGAGGGACAGAAAGAGTGGACGGGTTCATTTACCTGAATGTCTGAATAATCGTACACGAGGTGGCTCGACAGGTCTTGGACATAGGGCCCTCTTTTAGGATGCTCCCGCACTCGGAGGGAATGAGACTGTGACTGGTCCAGTCGCAGCAAGTCTCTCACTCTCTCGTTGTGTATTTCCAGGAAGGATACCTCGGTTCTATAAGACGCTCCGCTCTCTTTACCCGCAGCCATTCTGGCGAACAACGTCTTACAAATTCGTGGTATCAACCCTTGAGCCTCCTATTAACACAATGTAACAATATGTTACATTAGCCATAGTCATTTTGGTAGGTTCACTGACAGTGAAAGCACAAAAGCATTGCGACAGTCAATAGACACGCATCCAACCATATTAATATGCTAATGAAGTTTCTATGACTCTGCTCTCTTTTTTCTATAGATAGGATCTTCCAGAAAACAAGTATCCAGTGGATGGAACGATGGGTTATCTAACTTTCAAGGACCTATACACTTTTCTAATGGCAAATACATGTTACTGAGAACAATGGAAAAAATGGATTATTGAAATTTGGATTATACTGAATGATCAGAGCATTACCGGCGTGCCCATCATTGTAAAGGTCTTCCCAGATCCTGTCTGGCCGTAGGCAAAGACACAGGCATTGTAGCCCTCGAAGGCACTTTCTATTACGTCCGTTCCAAGGTCATAGAAAACCTGAAAAAAGAAGATGAATCAGTTATCCGTTTTTTTTTTTTGTTTTTGTTTTTTTTATCGCAGTGATAGGAAATACAGTATTAACGATGAATGGAAAAAAGGACTCTTATCAGATTCAAAGTTAGCATACAGTACACCTTACGATGTACCAACTGCATTGACGGAGCAATTATAATGGTACACTCGAAAGAATTTTAACGAGTTGCCAAACGAATCGGAACTATTAATGATTATCGAGCAATTAAACGCACGGTCATTAATTATACTGTTGATATACATCGTGTATATTATGCAATATTTAATTGCTCACAAACACGCGATAAGAGAAAAGTAATGTTTAGTTATTTTTATATTGAAGTTTTTTCAATTAGAACTTCTTCTTACAACAATGGTTACTATACTCGGTACACATACGCTGGTATTCTATTTTAATTCTGATCGTGGCTCATCGTCAAAACATTGCTCAATCCTATCTCATGAATCAATCGATTCCAAAGATACGTATCTTTTCTTTAACAAGAAAATTAATTGATAAAAGAATGAGGATAATATTTTGAAAATTATATTAATTATTTATGTTCTATATGTATTATAGATATATGCAAGTGATATATCAGTGCATATAATAAAATGGAAGTGCGGAAATGAGAAGTAAGAAGTAATGTATACCTCTTCCTGGGATGCATAATTCTCGTCGTTCGTGTCGAAGGACCAGTACGAGTGATCGAACGTGAAGTCTTTGTATTTCTCTCTGTCGATTTCTCTGCAACTACCTGGTGTCTGAAAGTAACACGCAATCCGTCAGAATAATAAAGTAAGAATTATTTAATAATACGTAAAGAAAAATATCTACTTTACTGAAGCAAGTTTTGAATTTAGATCATTGACTTACTAAACAAATGATTCATCAATTAAACCATCTACATAATTTACAGATTTTTCTTTAAATTTAATATTCCTCGTATGATAATTAAATTATAATTGATTGTATTCTAATAAAGGAGAACGTCAGCTAATTTGGCACGGGTCAAAAACCGACGCGATGACTGATGTCAAAGGAGCGCCATCATTCACAAGTGGCTGGCAAACTGTAAGCCGTTATGTCACGTGCATTCGTTAGGTTGCATCCCACATAACTAATCGTATATTATCGAGAGCCATTTCAAGTATTACGTAACAAATCTAGCAAGCAATTAAAAGAAAAATGGTAAAACGCCTTATGTTTATCCATCGTGCAACCTACAATAAGTACGAGGGCTAAGGTGAGGATCATTATCCTTTGAGAGTCACGTTCAACGTGTACTCGATAATGCCGCAATAAGCTTCTAAGAAAATGTTGAAACGTTTGAGTCATTAATCTAGTTTCACCTCGCTCCAATATTAAATGAAACGATCAAATTATTTTCGTAAAAAGGAGCATTAGCAAACAATTAGCAATGATTCACACCGCAGTGGAGTACATCGCGATTATCTGTCTATCCATAGATCGCTAAAAATCACGCATGCGTAGCATCGCTGTAAACCTGTTTTACCACGCTACCGATAAAACGGGAAACGGGTCTTATTGTAATTACCGAGGTTAAACGTAAATAATAGTCACGAACTATGTAAAAAGCATCATACATAAATTGATCTTGAACCAACAAATAGATCGCGTAAAAAGAAGAGGAAATTAATATTCACATAGTTAAATAAAAACATAGAAATGTTAATCTCTCACGTAAAGGAATAATAAAGGTTCCTAAAGGTGACGCATAGGTTAACCACATTAATTTCAAAGCACCCAATGAGGGAAGTATAATCAATTTCGTGGCTCGTGGAAGTATAAAAAATTAGTACGTTGATGAAATGTATATTAATGTGGATAGGATTGGTCAGTTTTGTGGTTAGCATAGTGCAACGGAAAGCGACTCGTCCAGGAGTGGTCCAGCAATGATTTTCGCACTTTCTCCGATCAAATGACGTACCGTTCGCTATCTTACTCAGGAGATCTCGGTCAGAGATTTCGCTTTGCAAGCGTGGATATCAATGACGTAAGACGAATCATCAAATAATCTGGAGCCTAAAGGAGATTCGTCACGTTCGTGGACAATAAAGTCACGGTTGCTATGACGTTTAATGGGTCAATAGCCGGGTTTGTTCGACCAGAAATTATAACACGGATCGAACAAGAGAAGTGTTTTAGTACAGCGCGGTCAACGGTAGTTCAGGATGAAAAAATATCGTTCGCTGTTTAGAAATCTTTTTAGAAAGTTTGTTTGCGATCATTAAGGACAAAGCATAGGATTGGCAGGAACTGTTTATTGTGAACGGTGCATAGCGGGTATATACATTTCAAGGGAAATGGTGTTCGGTCTTGATAAGCTGACAGTCTCGTGCATTATTATTTTGAATACTGTGGTACCTTGGTATTGAAAATACGTGTTTTCTTGCCATCCATTTGCACGATCATCTTCGCATTCATCGCCAGCTCCCTGTAATATAAATCGACAAATTCACACTCGTAGCTGGTAGTTGAACACTTTACATATTCACTAGTAATTGTTTCGAATAGTTAATCAGAGAAAATGAATATCAAGGATAACACAGGAAATACACGATAATAACGTTAAATGCAGGACGAATGACAGCAGGTGGCAGAATCTTGTTGCATAGTCGTCGTCGCATCAAGGGCCGATCGAAACCATATGATTGATCGTTTTTCATGGAATTCGAATTTGATTTGAGGATCAAAGGAAGCATAATTACGCTAGATCTCCTACAACACATTTTAAACCACTTTGAAATTTTGAGGTAGACCCTGACAAGATATTCGACAAATCATAGAAGTTGCCAATTGCAATCGAAAAATGACCTTTGCACCGAATCAAATTATCGGAAAACGTCGATAAGTCGTCACAGGGGTTATCACTAGTTGCATTGCACGCACCTTTTGTTAAAAGGACGAACTCTTACGGCTACCTTCACTGAAGCCATGGCTATGAAGAGCGCATGGACTCTGTTTAGGGATGGTATAGCGTGTAATTATTCACACTTATTTTCTCGTTTCGTTTTTTCGACTCGCGTTACGCGAACACGACGTATTTACGTAGACAGTACATCGTCGACGGGTCTCGTCGTCGACCCTCGCACACGACGCACAACATCGTCCTCAACACGCTCTCTCGACAGACGGACGACTGCTGGCGAGCCGCTGTCCGAGACAAAAAATTGCGTTTCAGCGCATGCGCATACACGCGCGGATCCCTAATTCCAAGTGATCCGCACATTTGCTTGTTTTTCGTGACGGCGGATGGAAAAGACAACGGAAACGACTAGGGAGAAAAGCACAAGCGAGCAGAAAGATACAAAGAAAGAGATGGGATAAAAAGACGGGACAGAGGGGAAGTCAAGGCACGAAATTGCAGAAAAAGAAAGGGACGGTCAAACAGGTTTTATATTCCCCTTCTACGGAATGTGACGTCACTTAGGGATCGGTTGGTAAGCAGTGGTGGATAGTGAACGGAGATGGCGAGGAGCCGCCACCCACGCAGCTTACCGAGCCGACAGAGCTAAATCAAACGTTTTGCGGTTTCTCTTAAGCGCGTAACGGCGGTTGTACGCAGAATTCATGTTGTTTTGTTATCCAGCTGGAGATTACGCATCACTGCTGGGCACGGATCCAGGACAAGAGTAAGATCGTAGGCACCTGCCCGCAATTGCAAATAGAAAATATGTCATAGGAGGCGCTAAACTCGTCGAAACGAGTTTGTTTCTGCCGCCGGTCAACGGACTTACCCGAAAGTTTGGCGTAAACTCAAAAAAGGATAAAATACCTTGTTATATACCGAGCAGGGTATTCATCTTCTGCCTACCTGCTGCAATTTAAGTACCTGCCAGAAAACAAGTCCGACAACTATCTTGCGCCGGCTTGCATGTAATTTGTCTTGTGCAGGATCAGTGATCTGTGGCCAGCAGCGTAAACAGTTTGGCTTGGTCTATCATTGACTGTGTTAAATTCGGAGATCGGTCTTACGAAAATAAATTTACGTGGGAGACCATTGATACTTTTCGGCGATTCGGTTCGAGTCGCTTAAATAAGACAATTGCAATTCTCTCAAGAAATGATAATCAAATTTTACTGCGATAATGAAGAAATCGGTATTTGACACCAAGAAGTACGAATATAAAATATCGGTATAAAGTGGGAGCCTTGAAAAGCCAAGTTATACGATATGTTCGGTGCATAATGATTCATAACCGATTGAACTGACGTAACTGTGCCCACACTACAGTACTGCTGCAACAGAAAAAAAAAAACGTGTCGAATCTTGTGATACTGTTTAGGCAAGACACTTCCCTCGGGACCAAATACGGCTTCGTGATCGTCACTTGCCCATTCTTGCTATCCCCTATCATTGTTATTCAAACGTGCGGTCGCAACGGAAAATGTCTGTAGATAAATTCAAAACCATACGATTAAAACCGTTGCTCGGTTCAATGTAGAGGTTATAGCGTAAAAAATCATTTATCATGAATGTGACGACAAAAGCATTCCACTACCTTATACCTATTATCTTTTTATTCATGCATTTAACGTCGATTCTAATTCAATTGAAAATCATCGTGGTTGGCAGTACATATCATAATGAATACATTGAATGTATTTGATACTATATACCTGTTGATAAATTAAAAAAATTGACTCAAACTTTATTTAACTTTGCATGAGAAATAATGGTGATTCTCAAGAAAAACATCTAAAATATTTTTCAGTAGTATATTCTGTTGAACATCAATGTTTATTGTTTCATGATTAAAAAAGAAGGTTACATCAGATGTTTGCAGTTTTCTATTTTTATAATTTTGGCAGGAAACGTCATCATTGAGATATGACAACTGCTGCCACTGCGATTGTTATGGGAATTATATAGGCGGCTGAGTCGATAGCGCAGACGCAAACGATCGGTCGGTAAACCAATCGGGAGGGTCGCAACGCCGCACGGTGGCGCGGCACGTCGGGGTTAGTTCGTTTGAAAAGAGAAGCCGAGCATCAGTCGGGTGGCAACTGTCGAGCATGTGTGTTGTTCCTCGTGTTTCTTTGATCGCGTCTTGAATTCGCACGTAGAACTCAATTGCATGTACACCCCGGTACGAGAACAAACGACAGACAGTCCGCGAACATGTGATTTTGACAGAGTACATTGTCTGTCGACGCTAATAAACGCGTTAGTGAAAAGTGAAGGTTTTCCTGGCCGGATATATCGTCACCCTGCAGCAGCCTCGTTCAAGGGGGTGGAGAATAATGTTCTGAGCCGTGAGCCACGCACGTCATGGTTGCTAAGCACTTCACGCAGGGTAAGCTTTTAACTGTTTTTCATATTATTTCATTCCACGTCTATAACTTTCCAAAATTTGAATAGAAACAGTAATATATCCAGGATCATTGCGTACCATAGAGGATACAGTATACACATAACGTCTATGGTGTGCCAATACGGTGTATGATGGGTGGTGCAATTCGATAATGATAATAATAGTTGAACTAGCAGGATTTACTCTTTTCCCTCAGTTATTATGATATTTTAGCGTTTTATATTACCGTACTCTTTTTAGTGCACACATAAGAATAACGGGCAATTGTTTTTAATCAACCACTCGAAAGATTGCCCGATAGTAAATATTGATTATTTATTGCGATAAACAGTGATGGTTCCAAGAAACGAAATTGTCAACGTGAGATTTTAATGGTACACGGTACAGGATGTGTAGCGTAGAATTTCCGTGCGCAGGGTTCGAAGAGAGTTTATATTTTCATCACGTTTTTAAGTAAAGGTCGTTCGTCAGGGCGGAGTAGCATTGACCGATTGTTCTGGGGGATAAGCTGGAGCTTGCGTGAGGACCGATGTCAAGTTCGTGGTAGCTTTTGAACCGTTCGATCGTCCGATACATCATCGATCGGTATCAACGCAATCTTACCTCTCCTGTGCCCTTTTAAATATGTACGTATATTTACACGATGTCAACAAAACGAAACTAAGTTTATTTCTTGATGGTGCTGCTACATTATTTAAATATAATTCCTTGTATCAAGCGCTATTTCACGTTATCCTGGCCACAGCGATTCGACGGTGAATATCAAGTAAAACTGATGTCAGATACTATTTTTCTAGTTTATCAATTTGATAAACCGATGTTCTCGATATCTTTGATTTACAATGCGACATCTAGTGGTTTCTTGGCACGCGATAATCTTCCATATAATTGCGGATTACCCTTAGCGTTGGGTCATCACACATGTTAAGCGTAAATGTCATTTAATCATTTTTTCACGATAACTTGACTAACCAAGGAGATGAACAATGGTGCACGATGATTCCTTCCGCTCTGTATCCATCAACCCTTCCTTCTTTCTATATATACATATCCGCAGTGCAGTGATACGTCCAGGGATTTCCATCTTCCACATCGTTTCTTTTCAATTCTTTTATCGTATCGATCGATAAAGGGTGCACATTCCTACGCATTTTTGAATGAAACTCTTTATACGCTCTAATATACAATTTCATAGAGATTGAAGCAACCTTCTTTTACGATTCGTAAATTTTCATTTTAGTTAGTTAGTTTCATTATACATCCAAGAAGCAGGTCTGTCGCTATGTGCCTCATCGAGCACGCGATATCGAGTGAACGGTAGTAAAACAAAGGGATTTTACACTGTATGAATATGTATTCTGATAAAAGTATCGACGGAGGGATAAGCTCGTAAAATGTCTCACATAAAAAGTTCTTTTTCGTGACTTGCAACCCAGTCGTACGCGGCTAGTCAATGCTATCACACCGTTGGTATACAATCAGCATTCATAGCTGTTTCATGTGTACGATATACGTGTATCCTAACGCAGTCGAGTTATCTTGTCGCGTACGATAGAACCACTTACGGTACAAATGTATAATATACATGCATTTCCGATCGAGGGTGCAATGCATCTAGGTACGATAAACACCGCGTTAATTTCCTTTGCCACTCTTTGTAAATAACTTTCTAATTTAAAATTCCGGGAGATGTGAAACTGCGAGAAACGAACAGCGAAATTCAAAGTACCCTTGTCCTTCATGAGCACTAGGTTGGCTAATTGGACGAGGGAATTTACTTTGTACGCGTGACACATTTTTATCAGAGTTATTTTACCGAAATATCTGAAATTAAAATTTTGTAAAATAATTCTATAGAATTATCCAGTTCATACGGTTGGGTACGGTAGTAATGTATCTAGTGGAAATCAGTTCTAAATAGATACATATCTCACCGGTAGCCGCTACAGGCATGCATAATCAATTCGATTGCCAGGATTGATCGTAAGGATACTTTCCGCGAGATTAATGCCTCCTATGAATTTCTCAAGCGTTTCTAATATCCACCGGCAATAACTTGTTTCGCGTAAAGACCAGGGGTTCTTCGAAATTCGATTTACGTTGACCCAAATCGACACACTGGGAAACTTTTCGTCGGTATACGCGTGTAATATCGTACACATCTCTATCGAGTGAGTCATGGCAGCATCCTGGTAGGCAGGTTTCCCCGGAATTTCGTTCTCGTTCAATGAATCACCGGGCATGTACCTTAAAAACCAAAGAAGGTAAAATGACATTCTTTCAAAACTGTGTAAGTACTTCAGCAATTAGAAGATTTTTATTATCTATTCTTCAAACATAACCTAACCCTCGGATGGCGGACCACGGAGAGAGCCTCAATTTTAACTCAATGTTGTATTTCATGGTATTTTAATTTTCTAAATTTTAAACTGGTCCTTTAAAAATGATACATTAAACTTACTTTAGTTAATTATACATTAACTCTTGTATTTCATACTAGCGATTACCAGCGATTTCGTTCGCGTTGCATGCGTATAAATAAACATAAGTTTGTTTAATTTTGTGATTGATCGCCTCTCTATTCGATTTTCACAATTAAAATCGGTATAATATATATGTATGTGTAAATGCGTGAACTGCATAAACGGACTATAAAAAAGTTGCCTCGTTAGCGCCTGATTTTTACAGTTTTTCTAAAACGCGAGAACTCTGAATATTTCCAGAATAAAGAGAAGTCTAAATTATTACTCTATAAATTCTGAATCTGCCAATGAAAGTCTCGTCAAAATCGGTTCAGTCGTTTTGGAGATTAGCCCGTTTAATCAGACAGATAAACAGACAGACAAAATTTTGCAAAAGCGTGTTTGGGTTTTAGTAAGGTGCGAAAAACCATATATGAGCTAAAAAAACTTTTATTTATATGTATGTATAGATGTATAGATATATGTATAAATTAAGCATTAATATGATTATGATTTAATATTTTGTAAGTTTGGATCTCGATTGGTCCAACCCCCCCCCCCCCCCCCCCCCCCGTTCAAGGATTAAACGTTTGGAAGCAATGTTTCGTTAAGCATTCGAAGACCTGGTACGCTTTTCGGGCAGGTTAATACGCCGGTGTTCTGTACAGGATAATGCGGCGAGTTAATTATTTCCTCCCGTTGTTACGTGTCGTCGACCTCCCTGAGAACTCTTTGACTCTGCATCGCCGTTGGTCGAATCGTTGCACGATGTATTTTCGATCGTTGTTCGAGAAAATTTTCAAAACAGTTTCTTAAGGGAGCTCTTTATATTGTATACATTCCCTGAAAAGAAGAAGCATATCTAGGTGTCATTCGAGGCGGATAGAAGACACGGATGAATATTTATACCAAACTGATAAATATTCCACCCTCATGTTCTTTCTTTTACATCAGAATATTCCAGCCGCGTGTCGTTTCTCCCTTCTCGTAAATCCTTCCCGTAAATTATCCTCGCGTTCGTTTTCACTACCAGCACAATACATACACATTTAGTCTGATATCTATGGCGTCACGTGGTCTTGCGACGAACTTGAATTTTAATTTTATTATCCTCTTTGTGGTTCATCCCTCTGAATCATCCGATGAAGTAGCATCAAATTTCATTTTCAAAATTACATTTGTATCATTTAATTCAATTAATTCATGGTAATTGAACTCTGGTATTTAACCCTCGGACGGCGGACCATGAAGAGAGCCCCAATTTTAATTCAATGTTGTATTTCATGTTATTTTAATTTTCTAAATTTTGCACTGTTACTTTAAAAATTATTCTACCGATATATGAAATTCTTTTGTTTAGAAATTATATATTAATCTTTAGATTAATATCCTATTATGTATAAGTTTTAGTGTAAGTTTGGGTCTCGACTGACCCAGACTCCACTGTTCAAGGATTGATTGTATTGTCCCATGAAAATAACGCAATCAGATTGGTCGCGCCCCACCTCAGCTCACAAATACTTTCGACCGTGATGTATGATTGGTCGAAGCTGTCACATCTACTAATTAGGCTTATGTAAAACTAGGGGGCCAGTCGATGTATGCGTAGTACCTTCCCTTGCTCCTGCGGCGTCTCGCGAGACTTCTTGTGACCGGTGGACAGTAAATGCTACAGTCACGCAACCGCGGGAAATTTAAATAGCCTAATACAACAGTCGTAACTAGTGTGAAAGGTGCGAAAGGAAAAGAAAAATCGCAAACCTTTACACCTGCTCGTATCTGAAATCTAATCCCTCGTAGCTATGTTTTTTTTTGTTTTAAATCATCGAGAAAGAGCATTGAATTAATACAGTCGTGCGACACGCGATCAAATGACAATCGTACTCGCCATCTAAAAGTCACGTGATCTTTCTACATTCCTGTCTAAATCGCTGTAGCCAGGACCTTCGTCGAGTTCAGGAAACGGATGGTAGATCCGAGGTCGACGATAAGGAAACACGACATTCACCGAAACGATAAAGTAAATAGGAAGCGCGACGAGGTCGGACGTTTCAATTCGTGGAAGGAAACGGGACAAACTATGGAAATTTAATACAAGTCGCTTACAATGATCCTCGTGCTCGAGCGAACGGTCGTCCGTCAAGTTAGAAACTACTTTCTTGCAAACACGGCTTAATCTTCGGAAACCGACTACAGAGGGGTTAGTTTTAAATCCAGAATATACATTCCGTACAAATTTACACTGTTGGTTCGTCGTAAGCGTATGCTTTCATTAATAAAAGTCCATCTTCTATTACTCATCATTTTCATAAGTGTTTATTTGTCAAATTTTCGAAATAAGGTTCGATTTCTTTCTCTTATCAAATCATCTTCAATCATCGAATGGACCACGTGCTGCCAGTACGCAGGTGCAGCAGCAGCGGTGCAACTGCACCTGCGGGCACGTTGCACCTGCACGTCAGCTGTCATGGTTCTACATCCCCAAGGTCGTAAGTCACGTGACTCCTTGCGGTCCTCCATGCCGACTATTAGGAAATTTAATACTTCAGCTTGTATTTTGAGACTTTCTGAATAATTTCTGACTGGTTTTATCCAGGCAAATGCGGCTACTGGTAGCTTTCTTTTAATCAGCATAAGAGATTTAAAATTAAGAGAGTGACAATTTTTAAAAAATATGTTACCATAGTGGAGGCCATAATCTATCAAATTCTTGGTTAAATAGAGGTGCTGATGATTCAAAGAATGTAATTTTAAAAATTGAGGAGGACACATTGAGGCGGCGAGTTTAATTCGACGTTCATTCTACACCCTTTTCCTCTTTCTCTGTCTCGATAAACCGCAACGGGACAGAAGCTCGCGAACGTAGGTGATATACAAAGGAGCGTTTAATGAACTGGCAAAAAAAAAAGAGGCAAACCGCAGGAGTCACATCACGTTTGGGGTAGGTGTAAATCGTGCGTATACAGTCACACGGACGAGTCGCTTGCGAGGGGTACAATGCTCGTTAATTAAATCGAGATAACAATCGAACTACTGCAGTCTTGTAGTATTAAAGTCCCCTTGAAATCTGATTACATCGATGCCATCGAATTCTTGAGAATCTTGAATATTCTTAATAAATTAAGGGCGCATTGAAATCGCATTGATTCTTTAATTTTCTTTAAAAATTTTAATTTGAATGTAAACATATTATTAGCTCGATTTTATTTATTTTCGAGGATCCTCGAATTTGATTCAATATTTCAGCGACGCGTCCCTTCGCCGGCTTTCTATTAATGGTTTGATTGCGTTGGAAATTGGCCACTCGTGGTGACAAGGAATTGTCACGTACGGTATTGTCTGCATGAACAACAGGTGGCCAGAGAATTTACCAGGTTTCCATATCGCGTTCCTGTCGAACGAACGGGATCAGTGTTAAGTGCTCGTCTGAGCTCGGATGACCGGTCGCTTGAAAAACCTATGGGAGAATGCTCAAGTAAAACATCACCCTCTATCCAGCCTCTGGGTAAAACTTTGTTTTAGGGGACCAAAAATTAATGGTTGAAAAATATCAAATCTTGTAGTTTTCAACCTGAAATATCCAAAAATATAAATAAAAAGTTTAGGAAACCAATGGTTTAAAAAATACAATTGTGTAAAAATGTACGTATTTAGTGGAGTTGGACAGGTTAGTACGACGCCATATTGTTTCTGCCCATAATCTGACCGGTTCGTTTACTTAAATTATTTCGTATTAACGTGACTGGCCACGGCGAGGCGATTGAAAAAGTTGATATAGGCCTAACCTAACCAAGGCATTTATATGAGTAGAAGCAATATGGCGTCATAAGAACTTGTCAAATACGTACTGTCCACCGATCACAAGAAGTCTCATGAGAATAACGCAATCTGATTGGTCACGGCTAAACCTAACCTAACCTAAGCTCACACGTACTATAGGGCGATGAGAAGTTGAAAAGCGGGACGACACAGGAGCAAAGGGAGCGCTTCGCACGTTCCACCCTGTCCCCTCGCGTTCAAAATTCGCCGCAACGCTGACTTCGTTGGTACGAGATAGTTCTCGCTTTGTCGCGAAGTCTCATTTTTCTTCCTTGTTAGGCGACGCGATTAGTGTGTGATCGCATCGGGCAATAGCGCGGCGATCTAGAATGCGTGTGCGTGAGGTGTAACTTACCGACGACTACCAATCGTACCCGCATTCTTTAACCTCGTCAACTTCTCATCTCCCTATAGTACTTTCGGTCGTGACGTATGATTGGTCGAAGTGATCACATCTACTAATCAGACTTGTGTAAAACTATGGGGTCAGTCGATGTGTGCGTAGTATCCCCTCTTGCCCTTGTGCCGTCCCGCGAGACTTTTGTTATCGGTGAACAGTACATTTTTACGTAATCGCATTTTTTAAACCACTGGTTTGCTAAACTTTTAACTTGAATTTTTGAATGTTTCAAGTCGAAAACTATAAGGTTTGATATTTTTTAACTAAAAATTTGGGGTCCCCTAAGACGAAATGCAGCCAGCCTCTGTACCTACAATTAAATCATTTTAAACACTGATGCGATACATCAGTGATTCTTAACCTTTTCAAAATCACGGAACATTTACAATTTTACAAGATTTTTGCAGAACACAGTGATAAAATAAAACAGTATACATATTTTTTATATTGCATAATAAATAAACATCACATATGTACATAACAGGTTACATATCAGTCAATATAAAAAAAGAAAAGGTAAAAAAATTGTCCAAATTTTTTTAATGGGTTATTTTGGCCGAACACTTTCTTTAAGTTCACGGAGCATTAGTGATCCGTAGAGCACCGGTTAAGAACCACTGCGATATATAAATAAAAATTTTTGTAGCTAATTATAATAGCTACATATGAATATGCGATTAATCTAATTAACATTTCCTTTGTTTCAGGCTCAAGCCCTGAGTTGGGTGTCCCGGATATGACAGTGATCAGCGACATCGATGAAACGGGAATCAACCGAAACCTCCAAGTCCGGTATGGGAGGGACCAGATATACGTATCCTTTGATTAAACATTAGTTTCATTAGACTCGACTCAATAACGTTACACATTTTCAAGAAATAGCATCTCCGTGTACACTTTTCGTAGCAGAATAGGAGAAGGAATTAAAAGGGAAGAAACTGAGTGTAATAGAGTAGGAAAGAGAGGAACTTTATAAAGAACGAAAGGTTGAGGAAGTAAAGATGGGGTTAGAGGAGGGAGGAATGTCTGTATATGTATGAATTTACTAGGGGTGGGGCTGCTGGGTTGGTTGGTTGGTTGTCATGACGACAACCCCAGTCAGCTGGTGAACCACCCCAGGGCCAGACCCATTCATCCCCTGGCTTTACCGACCCAACGACCGACACTGACGACCCACTGTCGTTTCTTGTCGAGCTTTAATCCCCCAGCCGCGACTCATCTGATCGACGATACGTGGATCGAGCGTCAACACCGTCAAATGATCATTCGCACTTTCTGTTTGACATTCGTTATTCAAATGTCGACTGCCTTAGGCAAGAAATATGAGAAAACTGGTATCTGACTTGTTCTTTGGGAAATGAGGCAAAAATGAATTTAACTTAAAATTCTGTGGACCCTTTATCATAATTATTAATTAATCTTTAATTAATTATTTGATAGTTGTGAAAATTCTTCACAAATGATAAAGTGATACAAAAATAATATCTTATAGCCTCGGTGATCAGCAATGATCTTTAGAGTATGAATGGAGTGTGACGTTCGTTAACGAGCTTTGCCAGGCTTCCGCCAGTAATTGAGAGCAGTAGAGTTTTTGCTCAACCCGGTTCGGTCTTGATCAAACGTCGGAATTCAAACGCATGATGCGTTCTCCTAGCCGATTTAGGTCGCCGTCAACGGACTCGTTAGTGGACATTTCCTCGCGTAAGTACATGGCCATCGTGTTGATCTTCATCGTGTGGGAGGACGTAGACCTCATTATCACTAAGATGATGCTTATAAAACCTGTCCTCTTAGAAAAGTTTCATTTGCTATTTCCTTTTCCTTTTATTTTATTATTAAGAGAAGGTCGATAAACTTTAGATTTGAAATTTTTTACCCTATTCAAAATTCAAAATTTTCTCAGCCCTGATAAATATTCAAAGTCTAGTCGCTAGTCGTTTAGATATCTATGCTCTGGAAAAAAAAATTCCAAGATTCTTAGATCACGTACTAAAGTATCATTACGTGAATGGTAACAGTGTTCGATCCAGCGTTATTGCGCGAAATAACGCGTCGATGAGTATCATTCGTGGCCTGGAATCGTAAGCACGTGTTGCTCTTGAAGTAATCCACGGAAACGTGGTTCTTGCGTCGATGATGTAACCGAGAAATCGTGCGGATAGAAGAAAACGTGTTCACCCTTTGAATTTCTGTCCCTGAGAACGTTAACGAGCTTTTCAGATGGCTCTGAGCTGGAATTTAAGCCCCTGAAATCGCTTTGCTATAAAATAGACGGTTTGTTCTCCTTGGAAAGCAGAGACATTTTTTCTTTTTTTCGAACAATCCTATCATTCTTTTCTTCGTTATTCTTTGAAGAAATTTGTTATAAACGAATTGTATAAGTTTAAAATTTGATGTGTTTGAAAATTGTTGAGATAATAACGAGGGTTAAACGAGGATCGTTTTCTTCTTGGCTTGCTTCCAATTCTTCTAACGAAATTAATTGGGGTGCAAGAACGAGGCAACACTTGTACCGGTTTTCAGTAATTAGTCTCGTCCATCACTAAGTTAACGAGATTCGATCGACCGGTAGGAAATGTTTCCCTGATAAAGAGAGGAAGATTCACCTAAATGGAATTTATTATATTTACTTGATAAGTGAATTAGATAATTAAGATGACGATAGGATTTTGCCTGAAATGAGGCGTTTAAACGTCGCATAGGTATTCACGTAGGAATATAGAATTTTATGATGAATCATTTATACAGTCATTCGCAGTAAAATTCAAGCTTTAATTTGATGCATCACAAATGTTATTTTGCGATACTTTTGTGTCATGAAATTTTATCAGACTATCAAAATTTCGAAGTTTCAAAATTAAACATTTGATATGCATCACCTAAAAACAAATTTTGTAAGCACTGCAAGTCACTGTAATTATTATTATTGAAACAAGAGAAATAGATTAAAAGTGCCAGTTAAAAGTGCAGACAGAAAAACAAGCAATTGAAAATTTCACTTTACGAGTGCTTCATTTCGAACCAAACCGAAAGGACGTAGAAGTGATACAAAACCAAGTATCTTTTTCTATCAAATGTTAGTTTGGTGGCGAGCAAGTTGCCGCAAAATTAAAACACATTGATCGAAGCGGAGGGTAAAGGAGATAACGGGTGTAGGAGGAACGATGATGCTCGATCGGATAACTGGGGTTGCACGGGGTGAGAGGGGATTTTCAGCTTCCGGTTTCGACGATGTCGTCGAGGCTAGAGTTAATCCGATATCCCGAAAGAGAAGCGAGCCTCCGACGAAAAAAAAAGTGCACCGAGTGCCTCGTGTACCCGTAGACAATGGGTGGTCGATGGAAGAGTTGCTCTCTCTTTGTGAGGGTTAAATTTGATCCTCTCCTCGTGTGGGTGTTAATTTGTACACATTGATGATTCGTGAAGTGAATTATTTTATAAATGATAAAAATGAATCAATTTTAAATTAACCCTTTGAATAGTTATTATTTTGTGCATTAATTTCTTTTTAATATTATTTATAAAAAAAGGTTAATTTAAAGTAATGTCGAAATGATATCAGTAAGATTTCACAAATAAATTGTATCTTCTATCCGGTAGCAGTTTTTCCGTATCCGACCATTTGTTTCTGCGCCTTACTTCCGGTAGCCGTGTACGCTCGTGTGGAAGAGGGTAGGCTCGCTCTCATTAACCTCTCGCTGGCGAAGCGCTCTTAGCCGCTTTCAATTGCTTTCGTCGAGGATGAACACGGCCACCTTTTAGCGGCGTCCCTATGTGAGGGAAGAAGGGCAAAAGAACGGAACAGGGCTAGAGTGTATGGCCGGATATGCAACGCCACTCGACAACCCTATCCCGTGTTTGCAGAACCCATCGATACGAGCGAATTAGGCCACCAAAAGGAAGAGCAAAGTCGATCCGTGGTTACGAGCGTAAACGCGACGCCTTCGTCATCGATTAATCACTTTTTTCTTGTGAATCTTGTATATTGGTTGCTTTGGGTCTCACATTAGGAGGATTATACGTTGTCACAATTTTGTTGCAAAGCTTTAAGGACTTCTCAAATCTAGGGTTCCCTAAATCTAAAGTTTCCCAAATTGAGGGCCCCTCAAATCTAGGATTCTCCAAATCCAGAATCCTTCAAACCTAGGGTTCCCTGGATCTGAGGCTCCTCAAATCTAGGGTACCCCGACTCTAAAGTTCTTCAAATTTAGGGTTCCCCAAATCTAGGATTCCCCAAATCCAAAATCCTTCAAATCTAGGGTTCCTTAAATCTAAGGCTTCCCAAATTTAGGGTTCCCTAGATACAAGGCTCTTCAAATCTAGGGTTCCCTAAATCTAAAGTTCTCCAAATCGAGGACTCGCAAAATCTAGGATTCCCCAAATCCAGAATCCTTCAAATCTAGGGTTCCTTAAATCTAAGGCTTCCTAAATTTAAGGTTCCCTAGATACAAGACTCTTCAAATCTAGGGTTCCCTAAATCTAAAGTTCTCCAAATCGAGGACTCGCAAAATCTAGGATTCTCCAAATCTAAAATCCTTCAAATCTAGGGCTCTCCAAATTTATGATTTCCCAAATCCAGAATTTTCCAAATCTACGGTTCTCTAAATTTAGAATTTTCCAAATTTAAGGCTTCCCAAACCAAGTATTTCCCAAATATATGATCTTCCAAATCTATAGTCCGTCCAACGAGACGAGTCAGTAAATGTATAATGTATATAAATTCTCGGGCTCGAAGCAGGATCGGCTTATGGTATATCGATCCCTGCATACTAAAAAATGAAAAGCTACTTCTTTTAGAACAATAATAATAGGTGTAAAGTCATCTCCCAAAATCATGACAAATAATTTTTGCGCACCCTATATACGGGATATGATCGCGGTGTGCGTATTTGAAAAACGCTAAGTTCCCTCCTGGCTTTCCAAGTAAGGGCCCACGGCAAAAGACCGCCGAAAGTTGGCCCTGCCAACTCGTCGACACTTAACTGCCAATAGTAACAGCCGCTAATATCCATCGCCTGAACACTACGCAGCTGTTTTGTTTACATTTACTGACTCGTTCCATTGGATGGGCTATAGGATTCTACAAATCTAGGGCTTCTTAGTAGTACATTAAAAGGGTTAGACGTTTCATGCTCACCTTGGTACCGTCTTCGTCTTCACAAAGACGTCTCTTTTGAGGTCAACCTTGTTTTTTAGGTCAAACAGTTGCCATGGGGCTAGGTTTTATTGAAAATTTCATGCTCTGTTTGTCCGAGCTGCTGGCTCGAGCTCACAAGCTTCTCTTTTTGGGTCAGCCACCTTATGTTTGCCTGCCATATGTGTTGACCCTCGAACTTGGTTTGCTGACCGTCATCAGTCACCGCATTGTAAGCCTACGTTCCAATATAGCGTAGATATAGTCTAGAAGCAAATTCAATCATCGATCACTGTTAATGAGAGAAATGATGACTCGTTCAAAATGCACGACTTGTTAGTGTCATTTTGTAATACTTTTATGTCATCAAACAGTACCAGACTATCCGTGTTTCGAAATTAACCATTTGGTATGCATCAGCCTAATAATATAATCAAACCAGACCACAAGTGTTCCTATCCAATAAACGGTTCACAGGCTCGTCATTTTAATTGCAAAAGACATCCGTAAACACCAGAGGAAATTCTTCATCCTTTGAACAAAATAGAAAGGAAAAACGGTTACATTTCCGTCTTTTGAAGTTCTTCTGCCAGACTCCTCGTCCAAAGACAAATAAACCGTCCTACCTAAAAGACAATTTTCCCTGTGCTCGCTAAAGTGTTCAATATAGCGATTTCCTTCTGTTTTCATCTCTCGCTTTCAGTCTAGTTTCCTTTCTGACTGTTCTACCGTTAAATCCGATCAAAGCTAGGAGATTCTTTTTTCTATTTGAACTCTTCTCTCAACCACGTTACCATTTAGTGTAATATCATTACCAAATGCTCTTCGCCAGAGAAATCTAAAGTTGTGAAATTACGAAAGATCTTCTACGAGTTAGCAGAGTCCTTTGAATGATATTTCTTTTTTTTTTTTACAATGCTTCTTCGTGGACGACCAGTAGAATAGGAAGATTAATATCGGGGACGACAATGAAAGGAAACGCGGTTGCTTGTAAGGAGTTTCCTGTAAGATTACAAACAGTCGTAATTTCCTTTGGTAAGATGAAAGAAAGAGACATTATTTTGAGTAATATTTTTATTGAAAAAAAAAAAAGAAATTAATTTAAGGATGGTTTACCCTTTTGAATGAAATCACAGTTAGTCCTATTTTTCTTCTTAAAGAAAAATTTGTAGAATTTCTCCATTAAATACAAATTCCATTGCCATTACTCGAGTCTTTTAGAGGATATTGGTTTTGGTGTGTAAGGAAGCAGCAGTTGATAGATGTTACTAAAGAAGGGGCACGATACGTTTCTGTGTCCTGTCGTTCTTCATTTTTCGTGTACAATCGATGGAAAGCTAGCTGTGGTCGCCAGGGTAACTGGAATTCTGTAAACGACAGGTAGAAGGCCAACTTTACGTCGCAATAAAGGAGGCAATATTTGCTGGCGGACAGAAAAGGTCGCCGACTAAAATAGACGTAACACGCGTAAGTCGAAGTAGTCTCTGAAAGGTTGGTGCCTTTGGCTTTTAAATCTCTCACCGTGTAAAGAGAACAAAAAATTTCCGCATTCAACTTTTTAATATCTTAATATATTTTGTTTTTAAATCACTCCTAATATTAACCCTCGTACGGCGGACCATGGAGGAAGCCACAATTTTAATTTAATCTTGCGTTTCACATTATTTGCGTTTTCTAAATATTACAATGTTCTTTTAAAATTATTCTTCCAATATATACCAAAGTCTTTCGTATAAAAGTTATACATCTATCGTATATAGTTCCTTTTAGCGGAAGTCACGAAACCATAAATACATAGATATAGCATTTCGACGTAGTTTTACATGCCATTTACGAATATCATAATCATTTTTACCGTGAGTGAACGATTCTCGAGATATTCGATTTTTTTTCGGAAAACCTTTACATTCCAGTATATGGGAGACGACAACTTCAAATTTCTGCCTAAAGTCTATGGGCGTTTTTTCTAAAATCGTCAAATGTGCTTCTAAAAATCTTATTTTGTAATGTCTTACGCAGAATTATGTACCGAGTAAAAAGGTATCAAGAAAATAAAAATCGGTCCTGTCGTTTTCAAGTTACAGTTAAAAAACCGCCGGAAATCCGTTAAACTTAATTAAAAAAATAACCTAACCTAACCTAACCTAATCTGTCGAAACGACAACCTAACCAACCAAACCTTTGTTTATTTATTTAGCTTCTAAACGGGTGAAACCCTTTTTACACAGAATATGAATTAAGTAGAAATTGCTTACATACTAATGGTGAATAAGAAAAGTTATGCTAATATAAACAAAGGACGCTCGACAGTCAACACACACAATTATTATCAGCCTAGACAGATTATAATACGCATGCTACGACGCTACGCTGCGCTTTCATTAACAGTGAGAGCTCTGTAGATATTGGTTTTTATTTTATTAATAGGATTTGCGAAAAGGTCAATATGTTGTTGAAATTTGTTGGCTGTGCTACATAGTCGTGAGATGGTGTCCGTATCTAGAGTAGAACTGAGTTTGATAGAAAAGATTTTTAACCGAAGGTTGGTTTGATTAACGAATATTTAACCTGCACGGTAGCACAATGATTGTATCAACAACTAACCCATAGAACAAGGTTTTACGTAACCTAACCTGTCGATATACATACAACAAACCTATCATTTAATATATCAGTTAATAACACACTCGAAATCTGGATGAAGATTGGTATTTTAGAAAAAGCCCCCATTTTTCGAAAAAACTCGATATCTCGAGATCCGTTCATTTCTGGCAAAAATGATTATAATATTCGTAAATGGCATGTACAAAATGATTTTTATTGCAACTAACTTCGAGATCCGCTAAAAAGTGTAAAATAATTTATGTTTTATTTATACAACTACATGACTCTTGCTGCATTAACAAAATGGGCTAAAAAGTATAAAATAAATTATATTTCATTTATACCAATACTCCACAGTTATTAATAAAACCTATTTAATCTTTAAATAGTATATTAAATACATATCAAAATTAATAAAAATACTCGAATAAATGATGCTACCAATAACGATTTGATTGCGGGATGGCGAATTTGGTAATTAACAAGTCGTATGAAAAAATACGGAACGTTATAAATACGGCTGAAAACATTTGTAATTGTAACGATTGTATCAGAAGTTCGCAGAAAAAAAAAAAAAAAAAAAAAAAAACTGATCGAATTGAGTAACCTCCTCCCTTTTCGAAGTCGGTTAAAAACTACGTTGAAATGATATATCGATTTATGGTTTTGCGACTTCCGCTAAAAGGAATAACTGGATCCCATTTATCTTTAGATTAATATCCTTGAACATGTTTTCTAATAAGTTTGGGTCACGATTGATTCAGGCTCCGCTGTTCAAGGGTTAATATCGTGAAAATGAAGATTTTGGGAATTCCTACTTCCCTTATATTGCTATTTTTCTTAGAGAAGCCTAAATTGATTCCTGTTCTGATTTTCTTGGGTTTTTGAATATTCTTAGGAAGAAAGGGGTTGGAGAAATGGTCTGGTACCATGCAGATTGTTGCAAAGTGTAAGCGAGACTCGGTGGAGTCCAAAATAGCCGCAAAGCGTTCCCCTCTGTTCGAAATGTTGCAGAAGGGTACTATAGGCATATAGGTGTATTATCCCCTTTCTTGCTTCAGGCATTCATTCCATGAGTCATCCCTTCGGCTTCACCCCCGACTGTGACGTCATTTCGCCGATCCCCACCCTTAAAAACAGCCATCGAAACCATGTCATTCGTTCGGGTATTATGCAAGCCAGCAGGAGAACCGACAGTTGGATTTCGAGCTCGATAATCTTCTTCGTTGAATTCAATAGGGTGCGGAGGGTTGCTGGTATTTCGATAACACGGTCTGAACCATCCCGAGAAAAGGAAAAATGAAGAAAGAGAAGTCTGGAGACGAGCACTAGTAGACGGATCGTTAAAAACCTTTCGCATCCCTTAGTTGCCTGCTCGACTTCCGTTTCCTTCGCTTTTTACCGACCACTGAATGCACCACTTTTTTTGTTATTGTCTAACTTTTTTTCTCGCCGAGGCAGGGTAGAGTTGCCCGATGATTACCCATTGGAATCCATATTTTAGTTAATTACAGTACCAATTAGTCAGTCATGCTACTACAATAAATTGCATAATTACAGGGGGTGGAAGTTTTAGTAGGTTTCTTGGACTATTCAATTGAAGACAAATTACAAAATTTTCCAAAAATATAAAAAATGATCTTTTTTGTTCTAATGTCATAGCCGAGGTTTACGTTTACTTCTCGATCATCAGAATGAGGGGCACACATTCTCCAAACAGGTGGTGAAAAAAGAGAAAGAAAAAGTGTATTTAAAAAATACCGTCACGCATTTACGTGCGAGTTTTCGCATCGTGTGACGTGAAAGACGGTGTGCACTCCCATTGGGAATGCATGTCACATTATCATTCAAGGCGGTTCACGAGGTTGAAGGAAAGAAGAAATAATACCGTCGACACGGTTCCTTTCAACCGCGCTAAACATACACTTTTCCTTTTTTTTCCCCCTCTCACTCTTACATCAATCGTTCGAATGGTAGGGTCAATCTTGATCTAAACCTACAAAGTTATTTGAATTAAATTATTTCATCAAATTCGTAAAATTCAATATAGCCTCAACCTAACTTCCAAAGTATACTAAATCTAAATACTCGCATCAGTGTTGAAAGGATTAAATTAAAATTGTTTGTTATTTCAGCATTTACGAATTCAAAAATGGATCAGTTTCCGAATGGTTCAACTAAAATTGAGAACTCAGTTTCGGTATATAACCTAAATTGACTATCAGAAACTGATTAAAATTGGTTGCAGAGCTGGATGTCTTACCGTGTTTGAGATATCGTGGTACAATTTTGTATAGTTTCCGAATGGCCCCACCAAAATTGAGAACTCAGGTTCGGTATATAACTTAAATTGACTACCAGAAACCGATTAAAATTGGTTTCAGAGCTGGATGTCTCACCGTTTTTGAGATATCGTGGTAAGAAATTTTTGTGTAATTTTGGGACAACGTATGCGCTATTTGATACTGAGCATGCGCTATTCAATATTGCGCATGCGCTATTCGATACTGAACGTAACCCGCGCATGTACAGAACCTAACCTAATCTAATCTAATCTTACCTAACCTTACCACGATATCTCGAAAACGGTAAGACATCGTTTTCTTGCAGTCAATTTAGCTTATATACCGAACCTGAGTTCTCAATTTTGGTGGGGCCATTCGGAAACACAGCCTCAAAAATTATTATAATTAGCGAAATATTCTATTGAATAGAGTCTGCTCCTATATTTTCCTTAACTCAGTAATACAATCGTAGACGTACACAGGATCCATATTGGTGGCTGTGAATCCGTACAAAGAAGTGGACTTCTACACGAATGTAAGTAAATTAGAATCATTGTTGAAATTATCTTTAATAGCGCTACTTAAGATGAATACGCTTGTTGTTTTTCTTTCCTTCTATGCCTACGCGAACAATGAATTATTGGAGGTTGAATGGGAATTGAAATTTCGCTCATTATACGATCGGGAATAATTGGAATGATTGAGAAAACGAATCAATAGTACCCCCCTGGCTGAATTATGAATTATAGTTCTGAAATAACGTCGTTCAAATCTAAAGATCGCAATTATTTATTTTCTTTGTGTTGCTATTGCTATTACAATTTTAAATATGGAAAAATATTTATTAGCAATACTATTAATTTAGTTTTATTTATTTATCGTAATTAATTTGAAAGGTAAATTGTTAAATTGAAACATGCGTGGTACCATAGTTACTTACGCACTTCCTGCGGTAAATGCGAGCCGGAAGTACCCTCGAAGAATAACAAATATTAAGCGTCGGCTCTCAAAGAAGAAAGGCAGCACGTGCCGATCCCCTCTCCGATAGAAATAATAATTAACTCTTTCTTTCTTTACGTAATTAAATACTTTAGCATAGATATCATTAAAGTTCCGTTATTAAATTGAAATCGTTGAGGAACTTTCTTAAGAATCGACTTCCGATTGAATCTTCAAGATTTTGAAACTTTCATATTGCATAGTTTATCAAGAAATTTGTATATTTATTTGGTGTACATTTTATCGTGTTGCGAAACGTACGAGGACAGGACGCCTTTATCATATTGGAATTGCTAGGCCTCGGTTTGAAAACAGGAAACGGAAGCCGCGACGTGCTTTCGCAAAGATATCGCCAAATGAACGATCAACTCTTGATAGGTTTTCTGGGTCACCGTATTCTCTTACTAACAATCAATTATTTACCAGAACTAATCGAATTAGTAAATTAATAACACTTTCAGTTTGCATTTCTCGTTCTATGGAGACAGAAAATTATTTCATTATGAAAGTCTTGATAATTAATTAATAGAAAAGTAATTCATTTCTAGCATGGCCATTATGAAATGAATTTAATTACAAATTAATATTGCAAACACGTTGACTGCCACAATGAAGATATAGAAAATTTTAATTCTTATAGAAATTTAATTGCTCTTATGTGGTTGGGGTGGCAGTCAATGTATTAAAGTTGAATTTGCAGAGAAAGTTGAAAGGATTGTGCTAATAGATCAATTGATATCGGAGATCAGCTGGGGTACCAACCGGAGGACCCCTGGCTGACGAGAAGGAAAAGGGTAGCTCGGTGTGGTGCACGCCCCGTGTTATTGATCGGGCTTGAGCGCACATCGGATTCGGAGACTCGTCGTGGTTGCCCTGGAGCCTTCGCAGAGCCTTCGCAGAGCCTCGTCCTTTCCTCTCGGTACCCGGGTACCCATCTCTGTCAACGGCAAACTATTAAACATACCAATGAACAAACCACTATATTTTTCCATAAGTGTCCTCTTACTTAAAAATATACTAATATTAATTTTCTTTTTATAAACAACTTGTGTACCTGTGTTCAGAAGAAATCTTTAACTCTTTGAAGCACGGTGGAGCTAAAAATGTCCCACCTTTTCGATACCTAAATATGCATGTTGGGATGTTTTTTATACCAACTCGAAAAATTAAAATTACTCGATACAGAGGTTTGTATTGAGACCCAGCTACTTCAACAGCACACTGTGTTCATCAATGTGTTTTAATCAATACCATTCATAGACCCACAAAGCACGGCGGGGCTGTTTATGTCCCATTCAATTAATTAATTAAATGTTGTTTTTTTTGTAAATTTTTGATCAATTTTATGTAATTTTATTTCTCTATTAATTAAAATGAACCTAATTTATTAAATTTTATAAGAATAAAATTTCTGTTCAACTTGGGTTTGTTATTGTCAAAAATTCCGTGCCTCAAAGAGTTAACTTAGAAAAGAGAAAAACTTTATTTACTTTAAAAAAATAAATATATAAATCTACAAGATGAAATGAAAATACTACAGATAAAGTATGTAGTTGATTTGTGTAAATTAATCGAATAAAAGCACTTGATGAGAAGTTGAAGGTGTTTCTCGTGAAGCTGAAACACAGTATAATCAGTGAAAGAATAACAGACTCGTTAATTAATCCCGCGGAAAACATAGTTGCCAGGTCAAAGAACGAGGCTCCCGTTTATCAGGCGTGTTTCTGCGGAACAAAAGCAACTGGAGCATCTCGATATTCCCTGGTGCTGCTTCTTCATACGCGTCGCACCACGCCAATAGTCCACGGTATGGGAACATTTTTATCCCGTCGTTGTGCATTCCGTATCGCTCGACTTTCCATGCTCTTTTCTTCCACCACGATCGATCCGAGTGTGGTTTCCGAGTAATCAACCGCGCCAATCTATGTCACAGACGATCTATCTCAGGTAAATGGACCATTTGCCTCGTCATTAGTTTATATTATAATCCATGTAACAAACCTGTGACCTGCTGCGAAACAACGAGCTTTCATTTTACTTGCTTTCCTACCGAACAGACTTTTTCTTCGTTCCAGAAAAACCTGTCCCTCTTTCTGGAGTCTCATTCTCGGTAGAAGAATAGAGCTCGGTCACGTGAACACCGATGATTCGTTACGTTTCCATGCAAATAAAGAGGCTGGCTTGTTCTTCCGTTCCTGAGAAATTCGACGCGTCCCTGTAATGCATTGTGTAGGGATTATTTCTTGGTTAATCCTATGTGGTAGTAGATGAAGAATCACTCTTTATAATTGCTGCTATTAATGCAGTCATTGTGATGTACTTTCAAACACAACTTACACTGTAATTCCTTCAAAATTATCCTCTCACTATACCCTTGCAATCTTCCTTCCTCCTGTGGTGATTGGAAGGAAGGTAGAGTATATTTCTGTCTCGGATTTGTTAGTAGACTAGTATAGCAGTGCTTAGATAGGTGGGTAATACTAGGAGTTGGCATTAGTGATCTAAAGCTTTAGTAATCTAAACTTCAGGAGTCTAAAGTTTTGGTAGTCAAAGACTTAGTTAGTAGTCTAAAGCTTTGGTAGTCTAAAACTTAGTAATCTAAAGCTTTAGTAGTCTAAAGCCATAGTAATCCAAAATTTTAATACACTGTTAGTATTTAGTAGCATAGACTAGCATAGCGTTATGGAAAAGTTCCTATTCCCCCTTAAGAATGTTATACCACTGTACTATATCTAAGCTTGCGGTTTCAATCTTTCCTCAACAAACAACGTCTCCACATAAATCCTCATAAAGATGTAACAATAAGTTATTTACGACATCCTCTCATCAACTTCTAAGGGGAAACCCCCCAGTTCTGGTCATCGATGATCAATTATCTCCAATCGCGGTCACGTTGAACTTCATCGAGCGTCTTAATCAACGACAAACGACCTAGTAAAGGAACGATCCGTATGAAATGGTCCTGTTTCAACCCTCTTCGTGGTGCCACCTCGTTTCTGTTCATCTTTGCACGTCGTCGGCCAATGACTCGAAAAAGAGGGGTCGTAAGCACCAGCCCAGCCGGGGTGTCCTGACACGAGTCGTGGCCTCTAGTCGCTGAACCATGCACTGATTTCGCAGTCGCAGCTGCGGGAATAAATGGAGCCACGACTTCGCTCCTACAGACCCTATGGAATCCAAACAGTCGTAATCTTTCGTGAGATGCACGTTTTACCGGCGGCTCTTATTCTTCATACGCCTTTTATTTCTGCGCGCAGCGTGGAAAGTAAAGGGAGAAACACTTTTGTTTCTCACTCGTTGCTTGTTCCGGAGAAGAAAGTAATTTCTTAGATTCTAAAAGAATCGTTTGAATCCTTGACACCCGGTATATATTGTGTCCATAATCATTTTTCCTTGCAAAAAATGAAATGATAAGTGTGATGCGTTTCTTTAGACACCATTTTGCTCGCTTCATCTCAGCGCCATCTGTACAATAAAATTCTGTTTTATTGGCAAGTACTGATGGATGGAGGTCATATATCAGAAATTTAATTCTCAGCAGCAGATGTGCTTTCGAGACGACCATTTTCGCAATAAAAAACAGATAGCAACGTAAGAGCTGTTCAAACATCACTCAAATAACTGCTGCTGAAAATTGAAGTTCGTAAAACGCAAAACAATCACCGGTCGTAGTAGGTCGAAACCCTGTTCACGTGGCTCTTTCAGAGGGTGTAGATAAGATACGGTTCAAACAGGACTTCCGTATGACGGCCACCTGGAATTCGTTGCACTCTGCTATTTTTACCGTGCCATTTATTTTCTTAAAGATTTAAGGCCACGGTTAAGTTTATCTTCGGCGCAAACACGCCTGACGATAATTCCCTTCGAAAATAGCGGATAAGAGTCTTTCGGTTGTTGGCCGTCGTTCACTGAAGCTTTTTCGGATGCACTCGTGCGCAATGTGTTTCAGATAGTACAGAATGGCCATTCAAATTCAACGTGCGTCCGACAGTGGAGAATTTATTATACGATTTAAATCGGCACGATCTTTTTTGTCATTGGAATAACAGATGGAGTATCTTAAGTACAACCTACAAGCAAATTGAACGATAATATGTGAGAAAAGTATGTTTGAGTTTTTAAATGACTGAAAAATAAGCAAATTTTTAATGGAGAATATCCATAATCCTCTAAAACCTCGCTACTTTATCCCAGGTAATTTTCGCTAAGTTACTCTGCAGCCGTCTGTGTATATTTCCTTTTCCACAAAAAACCTACGGACTCCTATGTTTATACAATATTCATCCTTTTTCATATCTACTTTCGTTCCCTCGGCTCGTGTATACATTTTTAAAAACGTTTGTATATATTCTAACCGAAATCTCGACGCGTCCTCCCTCTCCCGGCAAAATGTTCAAGTAAATTGCAAGGACCCATGGGTGATGTTCCCATCTAGGTAGAAATCGTGGAAACATTGTAAATGCAGCTTTTGGTCAAAAACCGGCGGCAGTTGCCAATATTCTGTTGTAGATTTTAAAAAACAAAGAAGAAACATTGGAAAGGTTGGAAACACGTAGAATACAAGGATAAGGTGGAAAAGTTATGGTTCCCGCGAAATTGGAATTTGGAGGTTAGAATACATATGGAAAATTTCAATATCCTTTATAGAAAACCTTAGAAAATTCTACGGTATTCCATACAGTTTCATACACGTAGAAAGCTTAGGTTTCTTCATACGGTATTTTATTTATATATCCATCACAGATGGACAATGTTGCGCACGCACATAGTTAAATCGCGTGTGCGCTTGTTAGCGGTGTTTTCATGGAAATGGATCAAGCGTTCCAATGAATTTTCACGAGCCGAGGGTTAGCGGATTAACGCTTTCTGCGCTCAGAGTTGCGCAGAGGATGTCTGACGAGAAACTGGGTTGTACTACTTCGCTCGGGTCTGGCTGCAGCCGCAAGACTGGCTAAGGTGCAACCTGCATAATACATGGATGAACAGAGACCGGCTCGAAACCCGGCTAACAGGGGAAGTGTGCCTTGTTAAAAAAATTATGAAACTTTCATTATATAGAAGACCATGGTTTTGTTTTAATAAATGGCAGGCATTATTTTCTTGTTGACCAAGCTCTTACAATCAGGAAATGAATTAATTTGTTGAAGTCAGACGATTCGTTATTATCAACCTTTACTCTTAATTAAGGATTTTTAAGTACCTTTTTATCTTATAAAGGGCGTCAAAATTCAAGAACAAATGAATGTACATATCTCCCATTGATTTGGTTGAAGTGGTTACTTTCTTATTTAATTTTATTACTTTTAATTATGATTTATAAGAATAAAATATGAAGATGTTTTCCTAAGTGATATCTGATGGGAATCCGTTAAACATCGTAGCAACAGAGCCATCTGCAGAGTAATCTCGAAAACAAATACAAATGATGCACTCGAGGCTTCAAATAAGGTAGATTCACCAGGCAGGGGGTCACTTTATTGATGCCATAAACGCACAACGTAAACTCAGCTATAATCAAGCTATTGGTGTACACCTTTTAGAGCCGTGATACCATATCCCAAGGGAATCGGTAAATGAAAGCGACCGACAGGAATCTCCTGTCGAATGACGTTTGCAATTAATCGGGTTACCAGGGTCGTTGAGCCCACCCGTCGCCCTTAATTCAAACCTTCTATTGGATCATTGGAATCTGTTTGTCGCGCCCGCTGTGTTCGACTCAATAATTAAACCTAATGGCATTGCGAAACAATTCTGTTCCGTTCTGTTCTGTTGTAATTGAAATAAGTGAAAGAGATAATTTTTTATTACCTTGCAAGTTAGGTTTCATGTTTTAAGCCTGTAAAGACGTTTTTATTAGCAAATTTGCTAGACTCAACGTACGCCGGAAATGGACTCTTATGTTCTTTTTCTTCCTTCTTCTTCGTTCACCCAGTGGAACCCTTGAAGTCATCAAACTACTTTATCAAAGTCCAAACAATTGCGAAGTAAAACGAACAAAAAGAATCTGAAACGAGAAGCTCGTATGTTTCAGCCAAGTTCTAAGGACGAATTTTCTTTCTTCCATAGGAATACGTGAATCGATACCATGGACAGAAGATGGGCTCTCTGGAGCCGCACGTGTTCGCCCTGGCCGAGGCGGCGTACAGGTCTCTCCAGGACACGGAAAGTAATCAATCCTGCGTTATATCTGGAGAAAGTGGTGCGGGCAAGACCGAGACCACCAAATTCATCTTGCAATACCTCTGCTCGGTGACCAGCAATGTCGACACGTGGGTTGAACAACAAATTCTCGAAGCAAACACCATTCTCGAAGCTTTCGGTAATTAGCCACTTGCTCCACTAATAAGCAATTTAACCAGTTAATTATATTCTCCTGAAATTTACCCGTACACGAAATTTTCACCCAGAAATTTCAGCCCTTAATTGCTTTACTCCACCGATACACCCGAGCCGACGTCTGCTGTTTTGCCTGACTGAAGTTTCGTGTAAATTCGTTTGGAAATTACGAGCCTCTGTTCGATGCAAATTCGAGGAAAAACGAGAGAGGAGGTCCACGTCTTTGGAAGAGGAAATTATGTTCCATGATTTTCTTGCTAGGTCTATAGAGATTTATTAGAAACCCGATTAATTCGGGTCAATGAACACTACACATTTAACAGTTTCGCAGTTTAAATTGCTTTAAAATCAATTAAAAATTTTGTTACACATAATAGGTTTGAATTTTCAAACAATTAGAAAGTTTAAATAATTTTATTGAAATAAAGCGAAATTTATTTCATTAAAATATCGGATATTATTTTAGACGCCTTTGATAAAAGTCTCTCTTTTTTGTAAGCGTACCGCGAGCGGGTGTTAAAAGTAACGCTCACAGAAATAAATGGACGTAAACGGAAGATTTTTATGAAACGGGTCGATGAACGTTATTCCTAATGGCATTTAAAAATAAAGGGGATTCATTACTCGGAGTCAAGAGGCCGCGAACGAGTCAGGTGTTAAATGGTAGGAGCGAGGGGTGAAAACTGGGTCACGAGAGACGAAAAGATTTAAGGGATATCATAAAAATTGTACCGTTTGCTTTTGTACCTCTTCAAAGCGGCACGGAACCTCTAGCTTCGTTGTGAAAATATTTTCTGTTGGCATTAAATCAATGTACACAATACAGTGTGTCGTAGAAAAAGAAAGAAGAATATTTTCATGCTTTTCATTTTCAAATTATTTTTATTTTTCAAATAATTATATTCTGTACCTTCTTCAATTACATAATTTTATTTCTTTAAAAAAATAATTTTAAAAAACAGGTAACGCGAAGACAGTGAGAAACGACAACAGTTCCCGGTTCGGCAAGTTCATGCAGGTGTGCTTCGACAGTAAGTGGATGATCAAAGGGTGCATCATCCAGGACTACTTGCTGGAGCAGAGCCGTATCACCTTCCAAAGTGCAGGGGAGAGAAACTACCACGTGTTCTATCAGCTGGTCGAAGCCGGTACGAGGGACAAAGAATTTGCCGAGCAATATAAATTGAAGCCAGCCAGTCACTACAAGTATCTGAATCAGTCTGGAGGCGGGAAGATCGATGGAATCTCTAATTCCAAGAAGTTGGATGCTCTTAGGCTCGCGTTCAACGTGCTTCAAGTAATTACGTTGCACGATTACATTTTAAACTTAGCTTAGTGGTCGGATATTTAGCGTTAAATATTCAGCATGTGATACCGCCTGATCGGTTGCCAATCATTAGCCTTATAATTTATAAGTCAATTACTTGTGTGACCGTTTCGAATTCTAAATATCACTTTCGATTTCGTAGGTTGCACCAGAAATGTGCGAGGGTATTTTCAGAGTCCTGTCCGCTATTTTGTGGCTGGGCAATTTAAACTTCGAGGACGTGGATGGCGAACGATGCGAGCTAAGTAAAGAGGACCTTGACATCGTCGGTACGGTGGCTCCGTTGCTGGGTCTGCAGGTCGAAGATCTGACGAAAGTTGTGTTGATACGACAGATAAACGTACGCGGCAACATTACGGAGATACCTTTGAAGGTTCAGGAAGCCCGAGAGAACAGGCACGCTATGGCAAAGGCGTTGTACTCGAGAACGTTCGCCTGGTTGATCAACCACATAAACAACTGCACGAATCCTGGCCAGGATAGCTCGAGATTCCTCGGTGTACTGGATATATTTGGCTTCGAGAACTTCGCTGTGAATAGCTTCGAGCAACTGTGTATCAATTACACGAACGAGAAGCTGCACAAGTTTTTCAATCACTACGTGTTCGCACTGGAACAGGAGCTCGTAAGTTGTTGGCTAGCCACTCGAAACCGTGTATATTTAGTCGGCTGTGTAATGTACTTAACCCCCCGATTGCTAGGGTGAAACATCTATTACACAACCGGCGGGGTGGAATTAAATTGACCTCGATAAAACCGATGGATAATTGAATTCGATCGCGATCACCTAACATGTTCAGTGACACGGTGGAAATAAAATATATTGAAAATAAATTGCGTTTCGGTAGAAAATGTATTTTAAAGCTGAAATTAGTATTAAGTTAAATTTCACTGATATACACCATTTACACTTTACTATTTGCGCTATTTCACCCTGCGATAGGGGGTTACAAATAAAAAAATAGCCTAATTCCATGCCCCATGAACTGACACCCAGCCCGATGCACTAGCCAATTATCGTAACACGGCGCACCGCGTTTTGAATTTCAGTACCGACAGGAAGAGATCCAATACTCCCATATCACCTTCACGGACAACACCATGTGCCTGGAACTAATCGAGAAACCTCCACGATGTGTTCTTAAGTTACTGACCGAGCAGTGCCATATGCCGAAAGGCTCCGACCTAGCTTACCTGACCAATTTGCACGCGGAATTCGAGAACCACCCGTGCTACGTGAAAGGTGACGATCGTCGTAAATGGGAGAAGGAATTCGGCGTCAAACATTATGCCGGCTGCGTCACCTACACCGTCGAAGGTTTCGTGGATAAAAATCGGGACGTTCAGCAAGACGTGTTCTTCGACTTCATGTCTAGAAGCACTAACGAATTTGTGCAAGAAATTACGGTTTATCAGGATCTTCTTGGATGCACAGTGGCTCGCGCTAGTGGAAATGCGACAACTATGTCACGAGGAACCTCCAAAGGCAAGCCAACCCTATGCGATTCGTTTAGACATCAATTACAAGCTTTAGTGGATGTTCTCCAAGCGACGACCCCGTGGTACGCAAGATGTATCAAGCCAAATATGCAAAAGGTGGCCAATCACTATGACGAGAAGCTGGTTCTTGATCAGTTAAAGTATCTGGGCATGTTAGATATCATTCGAATAAGGAAGGAAGGATTTCCTATTCACATGTCCTTTCACGATTTCATTGCAAGATACCGTTGCCTAGACAAAGCACGTTTATCTTGCGTCGGTGACGAGAAGGAAGCTGTCAGGAGCTTGATTGGTAGTCAGGGTATACCGGAGACTGAGTGGCAGATTGGAAAGACTAAAGTGTTTCTAAGAAGCTACGTGCACGAGCCTCTCGAAGACTCTAGGAATCAGATGGTTACCAGTAATGCTATGATGATTCAGAAGATATGGAGAGGCTATGTTGATCGAAAAGGTGTGTTATAATTAATGGTTTAACGGAATTAAATAACAATTTGATGGTTTTTCAGAGTACAAACGTATAAGGGACGCTGCACTGAAGGTACAGCATGCTTACCGAGGCTGGAAGCTGAGAATAATGTTCATTAGAAAACGAAGAGCAGCCATTGTCATCCAAAGTCATCTACGTGGTGTGTTTGCAAGAGAAGTTGCTGCGGCTCTCAGGGAAATGAGGCGAGTAGACGAAGAGATGAGAAAAAGAGAGAGGTTGGAGGAAGAGAGGAGGCTTATGGAGGACAAGAGAGCTCTGGAGGAGAGTCAAAGGTGAGATGAAGTTGTTTGAAACTATGAAATACTACCTATCTATTTCAGTAGAGAAAACTGTCGCGACGTTCACGTAGGACAATTGTTTGTGCGTTAACAGTATTTCCATTTGTGTCCTTTGTAGCACACAGTACAATGGTATTGTCGGAATGGAATCCGGGTAAGTTCGTCGATAGCTTAAATGACGAATTAAAGCCCTAAACAGCAGCATGATCAGCAAGTAATTGCTTTTAACGTAGACGCAGACATTAATATGCAATCACGCGCAAATGCGAGAGCACTCGACTAATCCGTGCACTTGAAAACTGTACTCTATCCATAATGGAAACTGTACTCTATCGCGTTTTTAAATATATTATTCGATTTTACAGGAAGGCGCAAGAAGAAATCGCTGCGTTGTCGCAGATGGCTGAGCAGATGAATTCAAAGATGGCTGCCTCAGATTTACAGTCTGTGGATCTTGACAATCTATTTTCATTTCTATCCGACGTTCAGTCGACGAAAGGAAATCAAATCATCGAGGAAATCGGTGAACAAATGGACGAATTGGTTGAGGATCTCGACGTGGAATTAGAGACAGTAATTCAGCAAGAAATGGAGATGAATGCAAAGTCTGAATCCAAAGCAAACACTCCAAATGGACAAGAAGCTACTTCGCCTTCCCAACAACAGCAGCAACAAAGGATACCCTGCGCTAATTCTGGCAAACTTGGTCAACCGAGTCTTCCAGAACCCACGGAACCTCCTCCGCCTCCACCACCTGTGCCGTCTTTAGCCTTAAACGGAGACTCGTCTACCGATAATGGAGAACCAATTTACGAATCTGTTTTGCCAAGGGACGAGAACAGTCCCAGCAGCCCAATCGTAAACGGGAATTCTGTGCCGCTAGTCAATGGTGAATCCTGCGGATCACCTCCTCCGGTACCAAACAATAAAGTAATCAAAGAACCAATTGCTGGCAGTCCTCCTTCAAGACCAGAATCGAGAAACTCGAACAGCCATCATCTGCATAATCATCAACCGGTACCTCAGCAACAACAAAATGGTCACGATCAACCTCAACAACAACAGCAACAACAACAACAACAGTCGCAACAACCTCAACAACCACCAGTTGAACGAGAACAAAGACGTAAATGCAGAGTGGAACGAAAGCTTCAGGAACTTGAGGACAAGAAGGAGCCGGATAACGAGGTTACCTATCATGATATCGTAGAATTTGCGCAGAACTATTTCAATAGTCATGAGAGATCCCCCGAGGGAACGATAATGGCTACGCTTACCAGGAAATCACGTGGCAAGAGCGTAGAGTATATTCCAAAGTACGAGATGGTTACATATTACAAAGGTTCAACTATACCTAATTCTCACATTCACATGTATGATCCTGATAACGTTAACGTGGCTTGTTCGGTCTTCAGGGTAAGTATTTGTATATTATTGAGAAAAAAAAAAAAATAATTTTGCTTTGTAAAATTTGTTATTCGATTTTCTTAGGATCTATGTAAGTACATAAGAGGAGAGATGAAACTGGACCAAGAAATTGCAACGATTCAGAGTATAATCGGTTATGGCATCGAACGCGAAGAACTGAGAGATGAAATTTTCGTCCAGTGCATGCGTCAAGCAACCAACAATCCCAACCCAGAATGGGCAGAACGCGTTTGGTTGTTACTTTGTTTAGCCATCGTTGCTTTCCAACCGAGCAAGCTACTTTACAAGTATTTTGTATCTTTCCTGCGAAAGAACTTGGCTCTGGAAGGAAAGCTGAGGCAGTACGTTCAGTGGTGCGTAGACAATTGTAAAAACACGAAAGTCTCCTGTAGACAACATCCACCGTCAACGGTGGAGATTGCTGCTATGAGACGACTAGGTACCATAGTTTGTCGGTTCTTCTTCCTCGATGGAAGAACCAAGGCGATCGATGTGCATCCAACTGACACTGCAGCTGATGCGGTTGCTAAATTAGGTGAAAAATTAGGTCTCAGGTCTCTGGAAGGGTGGGCAATTTACCAGAGCAGGCCAGATGGCGAGGAACACGTGCGGGCCCATGATTACTTGTACGACGTTATAGCTGCTTGGGAAATGTAAGTGTCATTAAATATATTTTATTGATAAACTTTTATGCTACTGATTTATCCTTTGTTCTTCAAGGAAACAATGTAAATTGAACACAGCACAATCAACCTTCTCAACGTTACGTCGTAGTAATAATGCTACTTTAGGAAGCGGTGATAATCGATTCGTATTTAAACGAAGGTTATTCAGAAACACCAGAGAAATATCCCAAGATCCTGTTGAAGTGAACATGCTGTACGCTCAAGCTGTGTATAACGTCGTCAAGGTAAAAGAATAACTATATAATCATTTAATTATTCTCACACAACATTTAACTTGACTTTTATTTTAATTCTTCTTTCAGTGTGATGACTTTCCAGTATCTGAGAAGGTCGCGCTCCAGTTGGCAGGTTTGCAAGCCCAGGTCGCTTTGGGCGATCCAAAAGACAACGATCGACTGGACTACTACAGCGAGGTAGACAGTTTTTTACCTTATCGGATAAGTCGTGCTCGTGGCGACGATGTTTGGGTGCCAATAATAGCCCAGGCCCACAGGCAGTATGGTGCCGGTCGTAAAGAGCTGGCTGCCAAGGTGTTGTATTTGTCTTGCGTGATGCAGTATCCTCTCTACGGTACCACAATGTTCAATGTCACTTATCGAGGCTATTGGTCCTACGGTAATCAATTGATTTTGGGTATCAACTGCGATGGATTAATGTTAATCAAGCCAGACGACAAGTTCGTCTTATCAGAGTATCGTTATCAGGATGTGGAGAGCATTATGCTAGATCCAAGCGATTCTTTCATCACTCTGTCTCTTCTTCGACACAATCCTGACAGCTCGCACAAGTGCTTCGTGTTTGAAACGACCCAGAAGAATGAGATAGGTAGTTTGATCGTTAGTTACTGTCCAGCATTGGCTGGCTGGATCACAGAAAACGAGGTTCCTACTAAGAAGCTCAAATGTATCACCAATGAAGATCGCATTAGGCTTTATCATAATTTAGTTAATTGTCGAAGAACGCTGGTGGACGCTGAGATACTGAGAAAGCCTCAAGACTCTGGGGGTGGTTTTCTGAGGAATACCCTGAGAAGATTATCGAAACACAGGATAGAGAAACTCAGACAGGAACATGGTAGCGCCACTGATCATGGTGAAACATATAAAGGATTCCCTTATGCGTATTGGGCGTTCAGCAGGCAATCTATACCTCAGAGTCTGTCGAAACTGCCCGACCCAGACGAGCAGATAGCTCTTAGTGTGTTCCAATTGATTCTGACATACGCTGGTCTGGGTCAAAACGGCGACACAGTTCGTAGAGTCGAAGACGAACACGTGAACCTGATACAAACTGTAATGGAACGTTGCATAAGGAAAGAAAACTTATTAGGCGAATTGTATCTTCAATTGATTAAGCAAACTACCGATCACCCGGATCCAAACAGTCGGGTGAATCTCAGGCATTGGGCGTTACTTTCTCTAGCCTGTTCGGTGATCTTACCTCCGCAGAAAGTAATTCGAAAATATTTGATCGCGCATCTGAAACGATGCGCCAGCGACTATGTCACCGAAGAGGGAAAGTACGCTCGATTCGCTGAAAAGTGCCTTTACAAAACACAAGGCACCAGAAGAAGACAATGGCCACCGAGCAGGGAGGAGATAATGTGCACGATAAATCGCAGGCCTATTTATGCGAGATTTCATTTTATGGATGGACAGTATCATGCCGTTGAGTTTCATCCATCGGCTACAGCTAGAGATGTGATGGAAATTATTAAAACTAAAATTGGTCTTGAAGAGACTGCCAAAGGTAATTATTCTAATCTCGTTTAAATTATTATCATACATTTAATATCAATAATATTACTATATGAAATTTATAGGTTATGCTATCTACGAAGTCTTAGGGCCAACAGAAAGAGCACTGATACCAGAAGAAAAGATCGCTGATGTAATGTCGAAATGGGAGCGTTACAGGACAGCGAACGCACAACAGAATCAATCTCAAAGAAAGCACGCACATCACTTTTTCTTATTTAAGAAACACTTGTTCCTTGATCAGTATATGAATCTTGAAGATCCAGTTGAGAAGGAGTTACTGTATCATCAAGTACTGCACGATTTACGTGCTGATCGTTTCCCTATTACTGAAAAGGAAGCTGTAAGTGATCATGTTACAAATTGTATAATACTATAAACAAATCTGATCCTACGTTATCAAACAATTTGTTTTTAGATGATGTTGACGGCATTGCAAGCTCAGTTGGAACTCGGTGATTGTCAAGACACCGTGACGGACCACGATTACCGCACTATATCAAGTCACTGCCTACCTACAAGACTGGTTCCAAATTTATGTATAGAAGGTGTTCTCCAACACCATCAATCTGTACGGGGAATGACACCGCCAGAAGCGAAGAAGGCATTCCTGAATTTAATCCAGTCATGGCCACTGCATAGAGCCACGATATTTGATGTTATGCAATCATTCACTTCGAACTGGCCACGCGTTTTGTGGTTGGCCGTCGATCAGCAAGGTCTTCATCTTCTGGAGCATCGTTCCAGAAACACTCTTTGTACCTATGAATATAGCAGTATTCTCAGTTATAGCCCAGCTGTTAGTTGTTTGATGATTATCACTGGTACTGACAAGAAGCAGAGCAAGGTTATCCTTACAACATCTCAGGTAATTATTCTTACAAGGAGATCAGAAGAAACGCTTTATGAGATGTAATTCTTTGAATATTATTTAATTTTAGGCACACCAAATAGCAAATCTGATTCGGGAGTATATGGATGTCCTTCATTCACCACCGGAAGTACCAAAGAGAGATTCTGCAATAGCTCAACAGATAACACAACCGATTCAACCACCTACGAACCTCCCAACTGCTGCAGGTGGTCGTAAATCTCGACCTGCTTCGGTGTTACACAGAGGTGCTCCAGTGATACAATCACAAGCTAGTTAAAAGGTTAGGTAACTTATATTAGGTGCGATATTTCTCCTCGACCTGATACTCGAAGCATTACCCATTTGTATGTGAAACTTTCTTCTATGCATTAATCAAACATACACTTGCCTTTGTCTTAACTATACTTTTAATCTTTTGTAATTTTATATAATATTTATTTAAACGACTAATAGGTTTTCTATGTTTTATATTTGATTTTTATAGTTAGTGTTAGTGTTCTTACAGATTCAGTATCAGGTTGCGGTGGAAAGACAAAGTGTATCCAGTTATTAATGCTTTATTGGCAAGGCCTATCAAGCGACAAGTATCGTCGCAACGAGATGGCATTAGCCTAATTTCTTTCTTCCAGTATTTATTCGATTAGCTTAGAGCTCGAGAGACGTCGAAAGAAATAGCTACCGCCGCGGAAAGAAAGAGTTATTACCGACCGACAAATAACTGCCATTACAGTTTTAAAGTTGTAGGGAATTTCTATTTCCATTTTGTCCGTCATTGTTGTTACCTTTTTTACGAACGATCGTCAGTGTTTTTTATACAATTTTTGCAGGATATACAGCAGTAACTGTGACACGCAATAATCGTTGGCTCATTGGGTACATACATATTGTTAATCTATGGTGTTGTCGAGTGCAACGTAGGCTTCTCTTGGTTTAGAGCCAGTGTAGGGATCAAAAACGATCCATCACTTGTCCTTTGGTCTTGGAAGAACTTAGGGGATTTCAGGGGAAGTCTAAGTGGCACTCGATTGTACTACATTTTCAGCATATCATTTTCTATTGTGATCATCACAATTCATTTTAATATCAAAAATGACCAATTTATTGATTCTAATTTTTCCGTAGTTGTTAATCACTCTGTTCAACGATGACGATAATATAAAGTTGCTATATTAGAATCGACGTTAAATTAATGCAAAATTTAAATGCAAATTATACACTCTATCATTATGCTTAGACATAATATTCTATATATAAAATATAACACAATGTGTAGCATTGAATGATGTCAAGATATAGATATGTATCTTAAACAGTGCTACATATTACACGATAAATTTCAGCAGGTTCTAAATGAAAGTCAAAGGATAATCTGATCTTGATTTGATAGGCAATCACAATATTCCCCCTTTTCTTGTAAAATTTACAATTATGAGATTAAATCAAGTAATAAGATTATGGTTCACGCGGAAATAAATCCGCGATTCCATAAAATTGCGTCCAGAAAACATTTTTCTTTTTTAAATTAATATCGCTCAATATCTTGGTGTGTAAATACTAAGCAAAAAAGAAATCATTAAATCCTCCAGTGTTCAATGATACATTCCCAGCACATCAATTAAATTTAAAGCTCGCTTGTATATCTAACTGTAATTTTAACCCTTTCAAATACCGTTTTTCATACATGTAGTTGGAGGACTAGTATAAAGAATTGAAATTCTTCAATCTACACTGTTTACAATTTACCATGTAGAAATATTGTTAGTTTTTATTAATATCACTTTTTTGATAACGAGTTATACACGTTTAGCGCTATAATACAAAAAATCAAGAAAGGGTTAATTGTATAAGTCTTTTATAGAACACTGGAGTTCATAAAAAAATATTCTGATTTTATTTGGACCAATATTTTATTCCCTAGACAAGAACCACTTGTTGAATCTTTAACCGTCGAATGGTAATGGCTGGGTTAATAACTTTTTTATACAAAAAGTATACATTCAGGTGCAACGTAGATCAATAATCTATATTGGAAGAATAATAACTCTAAAAAAATTAAATTCTAAATTATGTGTCGAGTCGACAAAGATCCAGCTCCGCCATACGAGGGTTAATTACACGTGATTGACGTCTAAGACCATAGAAAAGCAGTAAATTAAAAAAATTAATAATTTTTCGGTATTGTATCTTTTACATAACTATCCGCCCAGAATATTATAGTCGGTTAAATGGGCGCTGTTGTGAAAACATTGTAACGCGCGTACTTAAGGATCAGAGAGTTATTTAATCATGGATCAATGGATGAAGCAGGTGGAACAAGATCGAGGATTCGACGAAATGGAAAAAGTTGGTGGTATTTCTCTGTAATCTATATTTATTCCGATTTTCTTTCCGAAAGTTTGGCTAAGATTCGACGAATGCAGACAGACTGTGATCCGCTTTGGGTGTCCTTAGTCTTCGAGAGCTGTTTAACGAGTGAGACTTCGTGTTAACTAATAAAAGAAAGAAAGAACAGGATGATGAAGAGTTGGTTGCGTGTGTGAGAGGGAGAGAAAGAAAAAATGTACGAATTCAGGATGTGATTTGCAACGCATGGATGATATTTAAAAAAAGAAAAAAGGAAACAAAGAGGGAAGAGGTATGTGGTTCCCTATATGTGTAACTTAAGCGAAATAAATTATTGGTTGATGATGTTATATTGAAATATTTAAAAAAAAAAAAAAAAAAAAAAAAAAAAACAAGCGACACTGTATATACGTATAAATAAATAGACACGCATAGACGATACGCACACCACGAGTTACACACAATTCTACATACGAAAGACACACATGAAACTTTGTTGTAAACTTGGAGGAACACGTACAAAGATACATATGGTGAGTTTACACGCTTACACGCGATATTGAGGAAATATACATACTATTATATAAATATAAATATGAACATAAATATAAATATATAAATATATATAGATTATTAATATACTCCAGCTATGTATAAGAATACAATAAAAAGAAAGCGAAGCTTTAATATTGCAAATAACAAGAGTTTCTTTTTTTAATAGATATTTGAAGAAAAAAGATGTCAGAAGATATTTAATAAATTTGAAATATTCCAGTGTTTCATTTGAAAGGTTGCGGAGGTATGATAATTTAAAACACGAGTTTCAGTGTATATATGTATACATTATTTTTTTATTCATAATTTTGTACACAATAATTAGACAATTAACAGTGCTAATTTCTTGTTCACGATTGCCCGTGTATTTGCAGCAAAATGGATTCCTCGTTAATTATGGTTTAACATTAAATATATGCACCCGTTTAGTTTGTAATTATAAAACGAGGTTATACAGCAATCACAGAGGCAGTCACGTCATACACAAATATTTAGGTATAATAAAATAAATATTATTAAGAAATAAAAAATAAACGCTAAAACAAATGGAAAGTAAGTTCAACAGAAATTAGTGTATTTAACTAGTGGTATATGTTTAGTTGTAGATGAGCTTTTACTTCCGGTTAAATTTTCAGGTCCCCTTCCCACGTTCCTAAGTGCATCAAATTAACGGAAGTACGCTAATTCTTTTAGATTGAAACTTTTAGCAAACTGCTGTTTACTCGTCTATGAATAGATGGTGCTTTTACGAAACGTATGTTGATAAAGTCATAAATTTGATCAAATATATGGAGCTCTTAAGAAGATTTTTTCAAAGATATCCCCGTAAAGAGCCTTAAAATGAGTTAGAGCTTCTTTTTTATTTCTTTTCTTCATCTTTGCTACAATGGATTAAAACTGAAATTTGTGCATAATTATAATTTCATACAAAATATATATACAATCGATAGAACATAAATTATTTTTAAATTTCACTTGTAAAAATAGAATGTTCTGTTATCAGAGTTAATCCATTTTGACAAAGATGAAGTAATAAATTATATTGCTTTTGTATCCTTACCTTATCTGTTACCTTAATCGTTTCTCAGGTCCTGCAGCAAACGTGTTAAGGCAAATAATTATTTCCATTTATAACATGAAGTACTGTCTTTGAAAATAATATATTTTCAATTTCTGGCAATCGGCGGGTCTAAAGTAGCTTTGGTAATGTGGAAAGAGAACTTTACATCATATAAACATATGATCGGTCATTTCAAAATTATTTTTTATATTTCATTAAATCCGATTTTTGTTTACGTAACGTACATCGAAAGAAACATCGAGTGCAAAGGGCTTTTGCTTATCATACTAAGATTAGCCTCATATAGGACTCACTGTTTTGTCACAGAACATCGAAAGCGTCTTTCATACAATGCCGTTCTCTCGTAATGCGGCTTTCAACTTCCGGTTGACAACGAGAGACACATCTTCATCGATTGGGGACTGGTAATGTATTTCCGACGCATATGCACGAAACAAGCAACTGAATCGATTATTAATCAATCGCATGTTTTATACTTCCTCTCTTTCATTTCGGTACATATTAAAATACATCTTGATTTACGAAATATTTTAATACATCACGATTACGCGTATTTAAATGCCGGTCGGTAAATGTGTTCTCTACGGGAAGCAACAAATGGGAAATAATGCCCGCGAGATTATCAATAGGAATGCTTCGAACGAAATAGAAAATAAAAAGAAGTAAAAGCATGGGATTCGTGCAAACGTAAGTAAAAATACATTCACAATCGTTAAAATTTACAATACGCACATAACGAATCGTAGCTAAGAGAGTAATAGTCGCCATATACAATAACCGGCGTGTTTCTAGGTTCGAATCGAGAAAATGTAAGAAAATAGAATTATATCTACTTCTACAGATAATCCTTTTGTATAAATGCTTCGTTTCTTTACTAATAAATAGACTGAGATAAGTATTCATTTCAGGTTGGTTACCGATATAGCAGTTTTCAATTATCTACATTATCCTTTGAAAATAGAATTAGCTTTTTATTACGACGGTAATACGATTGAAATCAAGCCAACTTGATTACGCTTATCGGCAGTAGTGATTTTTGCACACGAAATCACCACTCCCCAAGCAACGAGTAACAAGTGGCTGGTTCATTGAATTCAATATATTACCGAGTTAACAAAAAATTCGTTTTCTCGAAGACATTAGTTGCGTATACAATTAACGAAAAGGTATTTAATTGTAATTCGACACCTCGATTCGAGCCTGAAACATCATTTAGATATATCAATATTCAGCACCAGATAACACTTCCGTAAATCACTATTTAAACTCACTACGGTTAACGATATATAAATACAATCGAGAAATAAATAATGTTCATTTATAACATTCGCTAATACAGTTTTTTTCTGCGCACGAGCAGCTTAAACTCTTTATTCTCTGTTTGAATGAAAAGAAAATATTTAATTAGATAATCAACAATGTGCTTCGTATAAAGTAATTCAATAATTGCGTCAGTGTAGTTACAAAGTGTACACGTGTAAAATTGTGAACAATAAATCTCTGCTCGTGCGCTTTTCTATCACATTTATAAATTAGACTTCGGACTTTTCGACTCTGCAACAATCACTGATGTGTATGTTCAACATTGGAAAATAGGATTAAGAGTCAGGTAGATTTACGATAAATCTCATCAGAAGGAAAAACTGCGATTGGACGTGTGTAGTTTCGCGAGAAGCTATACTAAGTTCGACATAATCGATGAAACTGGAAACTCTAAGTTTATCGGATCGCTTGGATTTTTATCAAAATAATAACATTTCGCTTTGACACATCGATGCTAATGGCTCAGGATGGCTCAATACCTTGTGTACCAATGTCAAATCATTTTTCAAATAATTTTTATCAGATAAATGATATTTTTAACACTTTGAGTACTTCATGGAATTTATGTATTTGTCAAAATTTTAATATTGACATTGTAACTAATTGACTAAATAATGATAAAGTCAAAGTATTAATGATTATAAATGAAATGAATGGTTCACAAGATGTTGATTAATAATTAACTAGACTATTCTTCTCGTCAGAAACATTCATAAACTCTAAACGAATAAACGTTCTCGTCGAAACATAAATTGCATAGTTACAAGCTTGCAAATTATAAATTCTCTAAATACTAATGGCGCAATTCATTTGCAGGAAACTCATGGACGATAAAACAAGTATATACATACATTCTGTAAAGCAACGAATGGGATTTATACATTAATCAAGTACATTTAACGTCCGACGAACGACCAGCTTTTTCGGTGCTTATTATAAAAATAAATGTTTGTTCCCTAAATTCACGCTTAAACAATATCGCACGTGTGCGTCGACCAATGGTAACGTAATTTTTTTTCTTTTCATTTCAGGTAACTGAAAGGAAATTTAAATGCAGCACGAAGAATTTTACTTTCAAAGAAATTTTTAAGTCCAAGATACCGTACAAGAAGAAGCAGTGCACCTTCCATATCTCTTTATCTTTTCTTTCAAGGTGACATCTAGGTACTCGGTTAACAAAATGAATCATCTCGCAACCGCTTCTTTTCACAAGTGAAACGTGTGAAAAGAGTACCGCAACAATGAAAGGTACACACAAGGAGCTTTTACAGAATCTACAATTGGTAACGATACGGTAACGCATTATATAAAATTTAACGAGACATATTTTAAATACAACTAACACAGCGATCGCTACTCGTTCGTCAGAGTAGCAAAATTTCGGCTCTTCTTTCTCTCATCCTTTTGTTTTTCATACGGACGGTTGCTTTCGTCGAAGAATAAGACTCTCTTGATTATATTCTTTCTCAAGGATAAAAGCACGCGGAAATCAGTATCCAGTCCGATTTCTGATTCTGTTCGTTCGTTTCTTAAGACGGACCCTATTGTACCTATCCGAGTTAAGCTGAAAAAGTGTCTTTCATTGTAAAACACATTTGTGCGTCTAACCCTTTCGCGGACATCAGACAACTTTGGAATGCATTTGCAATTATGTTTCATATTTAGTTGCATTGCATATTGCATTGCAACGGAGACAAATTTTGAAATTCGAAGAAGAAATTCTTCTGATAAAATTTTGTTATATCGATGCCGATCACTGTCTTGTCTGCTAAAGGATTGATACCTGAATTCTACTACATTCACTTTTCCAACGAAAATCAAATAAAATTGACTTTGAATTTGTGCGTGCATGAATCTGGTTTCACGCATGTGTATGCGCGCCAAGAACCAAGATGAAACTTCAAAGCATTGAAAAATCATTATCAATGAAAATTATTGATTTCTGTTGATTGCTTTTAAGCTTCATGTTCGAACACAAATTACACGAGCCCAGTAACTACTGGTACATCATTTTATATAGTCAAAGAGGACCTGTTTCTCGTATTTTCAACGCTTTTTCTATAATTTCTCCCGTATCTAAACTATATTCACACAATTTTACATTATTATTGTTATTACTATATCATTATTATTAATGTTATTATTACAAAGTACATCATCGTGATCGACAGATATGATGATTGCTTAACACACACGAAAGAGGAGCCGGTGGTAATTCATCGCGATTTTCTCAAAAGACTTTCTCGAAGCATGTTGTTTTCTTTTTTTACGTTTTTAGAATATCTTTTTTACCCAACACTGTGCACAGGCGATATTTAAGTACGGTATACAGAATTTATTTTGTCGTAATCTCTCATTTTTTTTTAATGCTTTTACAGATTCTCTTTTGTACGGCTTCCTGATATCTTTCAGACCCAGGATAAAATCCACGATGTTCGTTCGTTTTCAGCGACATTGGTCCCTTTTTGTTGTTGTTTTTTTTTTTTTTTTTTTTTTTTTTAAGTTCGTAATTGCTTGCGTTTCCATAAACGAAAAAGTAAACCAAGATCGTTGAAATGGAAAGAAAAATGACGGATTTTAACATAGGTCTGAAGAAACATAAAGAATACGACGTTATGCCTAATTACGATATTTTTAATATTAATAATACGTCATATATATTTATAAATATATCATATTTATGTATATAGATAGATTTTTTTTATTCTCGTCGCTTATATATATTTATAAATATATACATTTGCTATTTTCCTCGTAATATTTATATATTTATATTTATATTTATAAGAAATGAGATATATACACGTGTACGTACATATGTCATTTTTTATAAATTATATTCTAAAAAGGAAAGGTACCACCATCGATAGTCACGTGTGACCCTACTTAGAACTGTATATTGCAACAATATTAATTCTCTTTTATCATCTTCTTAATTTATATAACATATAATTTATATATATATATATATATATCTATATATTTATTTTATAACTTCATATACCACTTCGTGTGCTAAATTTACGTACATCAACGTTACTTTTGTTGCCTAATCGTTGGCTCATTTTACATATTCATCGACGAAGTCACGTTTTCCCGCGCTTTTTCAAACAACAATCGCGTCACGTGACTGTTGGGTACGCGCGGTCTCAACATCCGGTAACGCGGCAGTAATCAACCTTCATCGATGGTGAAAACAACACGTCCTATTTAACACGATTGACTAGTGATTACAAAAATCTCACGGGGATAATTGTTTTTTTTTTCTTTTTTATCTTTTTTGTTTTTAATGTTGGAGAGAGTCGGCGCTTTATAAAGAATACTATCGTTTACAACACTTTCCAGGTAAATTTTGCCAATTCTTATACACTACAGAATCGATGACGATAGTTCCCTTCGTGAAATGGAAAAGATTTGATCGCTTTTATAGCAAAAGTATACAAAAAACTCTAACGGGGAAAAAGTTTTGATAAAAAAAAGAGGTTTGCGAAAAATTATAAAAATATATTAAGTATCTTTTGCTATTTCAACATGGACGCAGCTTAGCCACGCGCAATCTCGAGAATACTTGTTCAAAATTACAAATACTGTGAAACAATATGATAAACGAAACGTCATACGTTTCTAAACAAAATATACATACAATCCGTTTTTGTCAGCTCGATGATCATTGCGACAAGAACAATAGTATGATCTTGCAACAATTTTAAATTTTCCCTAGAAATCCTGTTCTATAACAAACAGATTATTCCTCGATTGTTAAACAACTTGTTTTAACGAATACTATCTTTCATTTGGTAATTTCGACGGATCAGAATTCGTAGAACTTTAAATTGAAAGCTATAAATCAATGGCTTATCTTTCTTACACATAACCACAAAGTCGAAAGAAAATCGATTAACCTTGCTCGACGTATCGATGTGTTTAGGACGGCAATCGTTACGTTTCCTATTTATTTGCACACACCATTTTCATCGAGAATTATATTTTTGACAAAAACGGATTTACAACCAAAAAAAGATACATCTAAAACGCGCCGTGTAAAAAAAGGAAAAAGAAACCCTATAGCGACGATAAAGTGCTCGTTTTATTTTTTTTTTTTTTTTTTTTTCCGTTCTTTTGTACGTGTGAGATAATCGTTACACGATCATTCTAAACGTAACGATAAGTACACGTATATGTATAATATTAATTGCCTGTTCGAATAACGCACGAAACCGTCTTTTTTTTAAGCGTAGGCCGGACTAACTTGTCTCTCGAATGTAAAACAATAACCTTCATAGCCCGAAATATCGAGCCAAATTGGCCTCTGCATTCTCGTTCTGACTAGATTTACGAATGTGGATGAACAAACCGATTGCTGTTCCATGTCAATATTCTTTTGGAAAATTATTTCACATATAATTCTTCCATTAAAATACACATTAACAAAGATAACTACATATCGACTCCTCGTAATGATTACATTATTAATTAAGTATAAACTCTAGGTCAACAATAATTATATAAGAGATTCATCGATGACATGGATTCAGCATTCGAATTTTGGTACACGGAGAGTGATATCGATCCATCGATCGATACATCGATTAGATACTATAGTCACTGGTCAATAATTATTGCTATGCAAGCAAAAGCCGTAAAAAGGTTTACGATCAGCTACATTTACATGCGATGATCAGTGCACGATACAGCTCTCTTGAAAGCAGCATCGTGAGTAGATTATACACTATATTTTACATACATTAATTCATCTTGTACTTTCTAAGATCGTGCGACAAAAGTACCATACGTCGTGTCGTGGGTTTTGGAATATTGTTTTTTAATCACCTCGATTTTCGTCTCGATACTGCATTCCTTGTACTTCGAGTTCTGCACAAGCTCGAAGTACACAGATGGCAGCACAAAGTGATTTCTTTTTTTCTTTTTACTGGATCTAATATCTACGAAGGACATAAAAACGTATGATACGATGACAATTATACACGACACCGAATTAATGTACTCCATCGTCGGAACAAGTCACTAGATTACAAAATCTGGGGCTGAATTCTTTCGTCGCCTAGTAACTTATCCCGCGACAGTGTTAAAATATTTTCTTATCTCTGTTCGCATTTAACTGCGCGCGATTTCGTCGCGGTTCGAATTTATCATCACTAAAATGTATTTATTATTACTAAATGTTACGCTATTATTACTAATTACCGTTTAAATTCTCTGTTTAAAACTATCAACGACGATTCGAAGTTTACATCAAGGATTAATAATCGAATCGATACGTGTATCGGTGATTCATTCACGATTTAAAGTCGCAATTCGATTGGGAATATTTGAATGACGAATCTTTGATGTAAACTCTGATGATTTATAGAGTATTTTGCTTTTTTTCTCTCTCTTTATAACATCCAGGAAATCGTTCTCCCTTCTATCGCGGATAATTTTATCTTTGTCCAACCCGTTCGAGTCGAAAACCCGAGCCAGCGTGTAACCGTTCATCGATTTCTATTTTGAAAACGCACTTTAAGCGTTTTTGCACGCTGCAAATAAGGCTTGACTATTTGATCGCTTAATACGTATACCTAAAGAGCTTTCAGCTGTTTCCTAATTTTAAGTACACGAAATTGATGCTTCAAGCTTTATAGAACACCTAACTAGAGACAACACGTACGAAGATTCTGGAAGGTGCATCAATATCGCTAGGTGGACATTTTTCTTTTTTTTGTTCCTTTTGTTTCTTCATTAATTCACGTGTAACATTGAAAATTTCACGCGATTAAGTTTCATTGTTTCGAGTCTTCCTTTGTCCACTCCATTTTCCCTCTTTTCCTCTCTATTTTGTTATACTTTAGGCGTATATTAAAATAAGTTAAGTTATACGTGTTATACATACGTATGTATATATATATTATTTTGTGTTAACTTTGACGGTGACCACCAGTGGACACCGTCGCGTCTATTATCCCTTAAAATTTTATAGTTTTTTTTTTTAAGTATGAAACACCATGACCACTTGGTCAGATCGTATCCTGCTCGATCTTCACCAAGCGAGCATGGTTCTTTATTTTAAACTCTATCGGAGAAGCGCTGCGAGATGATCCTCTGGGATTAAAGCTCGACGAAAAGTTTGAAACCGTTCGAAATTCTCGTTCGAACTGGAGTACAACTTCTCGGTATTTCTTCCTTTCATCTAATAGTTACTCTATACTATTTATATGCACAGGATTTACAGACTCGACATTTATAATTGCGCCTGCTGGTTTTTACTTAAAACTTAAGCCCAGCTTTTACGTTTCAGTCTTGATCACTAGTGATTCGACACACTACGCTAAGACTTAAAACTCGACTTACTTTTTAAGCAATATTACTTGATATTATCGGTTGTCGCGTCTTCCGTCGCTATGAGAAAATCATTTCAATGAAACTAAGTACATACGTAAGCGTTAAAAAACAAACACATAAGTGTCAAGTCTTCGTAACACGATAAACCATGAGTCTGTAAATCAGAAAATATTTCCATCGAACTGAATCTTGATTGACAAATGAATTGTAACAACATCAATGTTTCGTTTTTCTTGTCGTTCCAGACTCAAGGTTGTTCCTGTGCAAATTACTTTTTCGTTATTGGTATAAAACATCTAGAGGAAGTCCTCTATAAGCGCTCTGAGAGGGAACGAAATATACGATTAAGAAAAAAGTTCTTATCGATTCGAATCTTCTTCCTCTGTCTTCTAAATAGTTTCTGTAGAGTTTCTAACAGTATTATACATAATTTGTAAGAATATCAATTCAACAGAAATGATCAGATCGCCCAGCGACCTTTATCGCTATGCCATCGAAAATGACTTTCTTTTTTCTTTTTTGTACTAATTTCCTTGATCGGTACTTGATTCTAAAGTACATTTTTTTCTCTATTAACCATCATGAATTGGATCTCTCATTAGCGTTTCCTCTCGAACACGCTCGTCCGCTTTTCAAAAGAAAAATGGAAAGAAAATGATGATTTAGTCAGACCTTGAGATACTTGGATCCAAATACACATTTTCTCCTGCTAAATTAGCGTCATACTTGCAATCAATATTCCCGTAATGATGATATAGAAAAAAACGTGAAAATTTCCGAATTTCCCCGCCACTGATTTTTCCCCCAATAGCTTGAACGTTGTTTCCAATGATAGAATGTTATCTCCAATTGAGATAAAAATTTCAAAGGAGACTCCGAGCAGTTTCGAAACGCTGATGTTCAGCTTTGCGGATTGGCAAGTTCGCCAATTTTCCAAGCAAGAAGCATTGAGACGAATATTAACATTGTATCCTCATTCTTGTTTACCCCGTTTGTTCTTACTTTTTATTGTGCTCCAAACCTGGCAGGATTGAAGTCTTTGTTGACGAAAGAAAAGCCTTGGAATTCTTCTTGATTGATGTAGCTCACTTCGTCTGGGTCCTCTGGTGTCAATACTGGATCTTCTTTAGTGAATTCCGTGTCGAAGTTCATGGCATCCTTTTTACTTTTCTGTACAATCAAATGAGTAATTAAAACAATGTACATCCATATTTTTTTACTATTGTAAAATATAAACTTACAATTTTTGGCCTGATCGGTGGTTTTACTTTGCGCGCTTCAAGGGCATCCCAATCCATTTCTTGAAAAAATGGATGAGCTTTTATAGCATTTTCTCCGCCATTCGCAGCAACACAACCTAATCTTTTGGCAGGATTCTTTGTCATGAATCCTTTTAAAATCGACACTGCTTCCTTTGAAATCCAAATTGGATAAAGCACATCATCCCGTAAAATAGATTCGAATAAATCATCCTCGTTATCTGCTTCGAAGGGTGGTTGACCAGCCATCATCTCGTACATTAGAACACCCAGTGCCCACCAATCCACGCTAGCTCCATACTGTAATTCTTGAAGAATTTCAGGTGCAATGTAATCTGGAGTGCCACAGAATGTTGTTGTTGTTGTCTTCCCTTCGACGATACCCTCTTTGCACATTCCAAAGTCTGCTAGTTTACAGTGACCCTCTTGGTCAAGTAATATATTGTCTAATTTAAGATCTCGATAGATAACATGATGTTTATGAAGAAATTGCAATGCAAGGGTTACTTCTGCTGCATAGAAGCGTGCTCTTGCTTCGTCGAATTTTCGAGCTCTCTGAATATGAAACATTAAGTCACCTAAATCAAAGAAAATATATTAACTTTTTTTCCTGAAATACTGTTTAACGATGTAAACGTTTTCTTCGGTAGATTTTTACCTCCATTCACGTATTCCATAACAAAGAATAATCTGTCGTTTGTTTGAAAGCAACTGTGAATGGCTGTGAGGAAAGGATGCTTTGCTGCTAGAGTCAGAATTCTTTTTTCCGTCATTGTACAATCCACATCGTCGTCCTGTATGATTGCATCTTTCCTTAGAATTTTTACAGCGTATACTTCATCAGGATTTGCTTTCCGTTCCACTAGCATCACCTTTCCGAAACTACCTTTACCAAGAACTTTGATAAAATTAAAGTCATCGATACCAAACTTTCTAACTTCATTTTCGCTAGCAGGTACTGCATTCTCGGTAACGATAACCGGTCTCTCTTCTGTTTTTTGTTGAACCGATTGTGAATTATCTGTTGGTAACGTGTCTGTTACTGTTACAGTCGTAGGTGTTTGACCAGATTGACAAGTTGTTGTTCTATAATTAATCTTTGGAGTTTTTATTTGTTTATCAGGTGATATATTCATTGTACTTAAAATTTCAGCCATAGCTTTAGTATTAATACCACAGTTATTCGCTACATTTTTCTGGCATCTCTTGTGAACATTTATATTACAAGCTATACGAAAAAGAAAGTGAAAAGGTTTAGATGCGTGTTCGTATAAATCATCTTGTATTTAAAAAATTAGAAAATTACCTTCACATTGTAAGCCTTGTCTAAACAAACCATACAAGAGTGAACCGCAATGGTCACAAAAAGTAAATCTTTTGTAATTATGAACAACAAAACGGTGTGGCATATCTATACTGAAACGTGGACTTTCTGTATCTTGACTTGACTGAAAATCCAATACCAATGAAACGTTAGATAATTCAACTTCCATTAGAATACGAATACGAAATAAATTTATCATTACCTCGTCTCTCATGCCTGGGCATTTTGTAATAACTAACTTGTGACATCTCTTATGAACAACACATGTGCAAACTGAAACATAATAATTTCTAATTTAATACACAAACTTTCGTACATGTATAACATTAAGTATAGCATGACCGAAGCTGGCTGCATGCGTGATTAAACGCACTGATTTAAGATGACAAGCATAAATAAAATTTGGTGGATGTTGTGATAGTCTTGCCATAGGAAACAGTATAAGCTTGAACATTAAAAATAGAATATGAATTCTAAGGATGTGATAAAATGAAATCACTGAAACCTGTTAATGGTCTGTTATATTTTATACTTAAAAACATGCAATGAAATATTTTCCCCCTCTTAGTACCATGTTAATCACAGTTTGCAATAAGAACTTGAACAATGTATTGCAAATATTAAATTTCATTTTGCAAGTATTGTTACAGAAAGCACAGCATCAAGTATCGAACCATGGGCCAAATTAAACGTGTTTGAATTTAATTATGAAATTTTCTGAATGTTCTAAATACTTTAACTTTTTCTTTTCTTTTATAAAAAACTAAGTACACATACACACACCTAGATAAACATATGTTCACACAAAGGTAGAGCAAGCATATATATAATTATAATATCTGTTAATAACGTGTATGTGTCTTCTCACCTTGACACTGATAGCCCTGCTTGCCCAAGCCCCTGAAATACAACAGACAAAACACATCACATCATCTCCTTGTAACCCTCATAAAACACATACGTATGCTTTCTTGGGCCATGAACCATAATTAGATGTTTATGCTATTTCTTTTTTAATTTTCTATTGCCATTTTGATTTCTTTCTACCTCATTTTCTTAAAATTATTATTATACTAAAGAATGATTGTATACAAATACTACAACATGATGTTAATTTTTAAATGTAGTATGTGCTTGCAAAACCAATGCATGCAGCCTATTCCTGGTTAAACCGATTCCATTAACATATATCTACTAGTAACTATTGCCTTACCATATAAAGGAAGAGACAGAGAAAATGAAACTTTGAAAGTCAATATACCTAATATGTTTGTTAAGTTTTCATTTCCATACTCCAGATACCATGTTATATGCTAACAAGTTAATCGAAGAATTATTCATTATATATTTGTTATGATACTTAATTAAGAAAAATATGTATTTGGAGGAATTGTTTAGGTAATGTCTGGAAAAGCCATATATTTTTTCAGTGATAGTACTGTAGATTATAAAGAACCAAAAACCGAAACATGCAAGTTCCACACCTTGAAACTTATCCAAAATACCCAAATTCCATGTTAATTTGGTGTGCACAAGAAATAACTTTGATGAAAATTATTTAAAAGCAGGCACACCAAATTAAGCTCATAATACTTTGTATCATGAAATGATTTAAATTAGTAAATGTATTGAATTAATGTTAGTGTGCTTGTGAACTAAACCCTAAGCAAGATATTTTTGATATATATATATATATATACATATATATATATATATATATGATTGCTACAAAACATACCATATAAATTCACGGCAGTGAGAACAGAAAGTCGGTTGTCTCAGGAAGGTAGCCATAAATTTATGACCATTTGCTTGATGAACCCTGCGTCGCATTGCACCCCTTCGCCTGTTGAAACCCTGTCGTTCTTTGAACTCCCTCCTGGGTTCTTTTCCTGAAGTGATGCTTCCACCACCTCTGCCTCCGATACTTTCCCCGTCACCTGCACCACAGCCTGTTTGTCGATCTAAAATATTATTATGAAAATATATCCTACATGCACTGCTCTAAGTATTACCTACTGCTTACCTTGATCATTCCACTTAAGATCAATCCTAACTCTGAGTTTTCCTTGAGGCTCAAGATCAACCTAAAATGAGTTTCATTTCGCATTGATAACTTATGGTAAACAGTATTATTTTGAAATAAATGTTATGCCCACTAGGGGCATAAAATACATTTAAAAGAGAAGTATTAATTAAAATTCTACTTTATTAAAGAATAAACTATAAATTGTTAGTACTAAAAGCAATGTATAAATAACAATAAGAGTACAATAACTATTTTGATATCATTTTGACAGCAATATAATTCAAACATCACTAATCCTTTACACGTTTCTAATTTCTATGAATTTACAACATCTTAAAGAAACTTGATGTTTAGACATTAAGAATTTCAGATCTAAAAAACATCTATCTTCTATCTTTCTCTGCTTTAGTTTTTATTGACATAATCTTATCAGGTTGCCTTGAATGGTCCTATAATGTCATAATAAAAAAGGCACCCAAACAAAGATTACAAGTTACCTGTCTACTATGCATATGTACATCAACAAAAAGCATTCAACTGTCAACATGAAATGAACTCAAACCAATTAATTATAAATTAAAAGTTCAAGTTCAAATATAGAAATGTTACATTCTGTAAGTCTAGTAGAAAAATGAAAGAAAAATGCATTTTAAAATGAAAGTACATAATCGTATTTGAAACCAACCCAAAAATCTGCAGTCTTGTCATTTCTGCTGACAAGCTCCTCGAAAGGAATACTGCAGTTCGCGACGAAATAATCCGGCGGTAATGCCGCATCGTGGAAGACAGTCAGTCCAAGCATTACCGCATCTTGGACTTCGTGGGTGAAACTCTCGTTCCATACCGGATCGAAGGTTTTCGGTTTGGTAGACGAGCGATCGAGATGATTCTCGTCAACGTCTAGTTGAACATAAGGGTCGAGTATAGGTTCATCTTGCCAAAACTTTCGTTGCTTGTCAGTCGCCCTTAGCCCGACTGCTTCGCATATTTCGATCTTCATCGTCCCGGTGAACATTGTGAATCAGTTGTATGACCCGGTAGTAGCAAGAAGGGGAGGACAGAGGACGGACGACCCAGTCGACGGGCTGTCACGCCTGTCGACGAGCTGACACTTCGAATTGTGCGATCAGGTTATCCAGATTCGAGTCAACTATTTGCCTGAGTCAACTTAGATCGGATCACTGTTTTATAACGAGTTCTAAGGTGGAAGCGATCGCTGGAAGGTTTGATATATATACATATGTATATGTCTATACAATATCAAAACCTCTGAATGACTTCACAAATAGGTTCCCGCGGTAAATACGACCTTCCGTAGAAATGTGTGGCGCACCGCTTCGAATATCTCGTCCGACGAGCCTTTGGCTCTCTCTCCTTCTCCGTTACTCTCTTTCTCTCTTTATCTCGCGTCCAAGTTTCTTCCCCTTCTCTTTCTCCTCCTCCCTTTCCCTTTCCCTTCGTCACCGCCACCAGCACCGTTCAGTTATAAACACTCGACTCTTGTCGCGTTCACGCATAACAGATACGGAAACGGAAACAGAATTTGCGGTGCCAGCAACAAGAGGAGCCTATTGTCGTAGTCGAGACACTGAGGAGGTGGATGCAGGACGAGCGAACGAGAGGCGATGCTGCTTATTGCGAGGCGCCCCGTTCGCGAGTGCAAGACCTGTCCATGTATTTCCGATTTACTGAAAGCCATTAAGTTCCTTTTTCTTTCTTGGATCCTACTCTATGGTCTTTTTTTTTTTATAATTCTTTCTTTAGTCTTCGTGTCACTGAACGTTCGAACACGAGTTACATCCGAAAATCTTATTTCACAGTTTAGAAACAACGGCGTATCGCGATAAACACTCGTTTATCGTCCCTGGACAACCCCACCGACCCGAACCGCTCGATTGGTCACTCCGCGCTTCGTCTAAACTCGATCTCGGCCTCGAATGCCTTTCGGAATACATCGTACATTTCCGTCGAAAGCTCAGGCTGCGTTTTCACCCACGTATGGAAGATTTTTTTAAAACTAAATTTAACGTTGACACTTTTAGACATTCCTGTGATACATATCACAATCGTAAACAAAGGAAGTTAACACTTAAGGGTTAATTGTCATTTTTCACTTATGAGTCAAATTATTGGAGTATTTATTGGAATTTAACTATAGGGAGAGCTTGCGGAACAAGTAGAGACACTAGAACGATGCGCAGCTATGTGATTGGTGGAGGTCTGGCTAAAAAAAGCATTTCTACTTACGGTACTCATGTCCAGCATCCGCTGAAACATCCAGAACCACTTGAAAACAAAATCTCTCATCCAAAATGTATCTTCCGTAGAAAGAACGGATACTTTTTCTTTTCTAATATAGAATAGGAAAATCAACTGGTAGGACACATTAGGGATATTGATTTAGGGAAATAGGTCTCCGATAGGGCGGACAGTTGGCCTCGCAGCCGAAACGTATCGGAGCGAAATGATAGATTTTCATTGAATAAAGGAATTTCTGGTTTTTATTGAGCTATATAAATAAACGAACACAGTTATGAGTCTAGTATTTACACCCACGATGATACATTAACGCAACGATATCCTCGCGTCATTATTCTCCGGCCAGGACACTTTTGCGTTAGCGGCTCCGACGTTTTAGATGAAGCAGAGAGTATGAGACCCGCGAGAAAATCGGATTGTTCTTCTTAAATTAAGAACTATTCCCTCGGCGATCGACCGAATTAATTCCCTCCCTTGAAAAAAACAAAAAAAAAACTCTATCGCAAGTTTGTACATCCTGTATTGTGAATTAAATAATGCACGATGAAGGAAGTACTGCTTGCAATCCATTCGGTCGACCGTCGATTCTAGCCAGTCGCAATGTATCTCGTATTCAAGAATAAATATTTTATCGTAGTAAGGAGGGGAAATGGATTACGAGAATGTGACTTCATGACTATAACGCGCATGGAATGAAAATCATCGATCCGTCGATCATTCTATGTTCCCACGATCACGTCCGACGTTGTATTGTCCTGCGCTTCAGCGATGTCCTTCTTCTTCTCGTCCTGTTCTACTCCTGATATCACATAGACAGGTTGTTGGTACGCGAGAAAATGTTGGTCCGTTGCCAATACCTTTGATAGATCCTTCATTTTCATCTGAAATAAAATGTTAAAATATCTTAATTCCCAAATTGGTAAATCATTTAGCGACAGATACCAGGTTAGCTATGATCCATGAATAAAAAATACTTGGAAGAGTTTTATATATAATTATGTACCTTTTTACGGTACAACATTAACAGAATCAATAAACTACTGATTATGAAAGCGCTTCCTGCAGCCAGAACCAGAGTGGCTGTCTGATAAACCGGAGCTTCTACTTCCGTGAGGATCTCCCGTTGTTCCAGTGCGACTATTCGACTTTGCATAGCCATTGGGGTTGATCTATGCGTGAAACGAGACATGGTAGCGTCCGCGAAAGAACCCAACATGGACAATTTTTGGATTCGAGTCAATTCCTCCAAATGGAAAGCTACATCGACCTTGTTAGGTCCTATTATTTCAAAACTGAGCAGAGCTGAATCTTGATTGATCTCCACGCGTATGTCGTTTCTCAATCTGGCGCCTAAATCATGCAGGAGATCCCCTGCTTGTCTGATGAAGGTAGCTTCGTCATCGGCTAAGAATCTACCGGGGAAACGTAGGCTGACTTCGACAGCTTCTACTGGGGTTGGCACTAAGTATAATAAAAATACAATTTTAGAACATTTCTCTTTGTAAAGTGGTTTGGAGGTGAAACGAATGTTTCTTACAGCATATGTTGGTTCCTTTCAAGAAGGGTTCAGATCCAATTAACTGATTTCCCGCCTCGTCGACGCACCAGCAGGTGTCACCAGCGCACTGCGTTGGTTCAAACCTCCCCTGACGGTCACAAATGGCCGGCACGTGTCCTCTGTCCTTCATCGCCTGACACCTAGTACCCAACACCTTTTCTATTTGCTTGTCGTCGCTTTCCAAGTTTATCAGAGCGTTCTCCATGAAAGCCTGAATTTCATGGTCGATTTCTTGAACCGCCGGTCCTCTGCCTCCCCGTCTGGCCTGTCTGAAGTTACACTTGGGCTCTGGTCCTCTTGTAAGCGAACCCTTCACCGGTTGACCCTTTCTGTTGACACACCAGCAAACGCCGACGTGTTCCAAACACTGGACTGGCTCCCACATGCCATTATCCGGGTCGCATCTAGGTAGGAAGGTCGGTTGTTTCAGTCTCTGAGATGTTTTTAAGTTCTTTTCTCGGAGCCTCTCGCATTGCGACAATACAGGGCAGACGGTGTCGCAGACCAGACGACTGGAGAAGTCATTGTGACCCAGAGTGCACTCTGTTTGCCTTCTGCATTCGTTGCGTTCTGGGTCGAAGTACCATCTCTCTGTCTCGTTCGTACTTATCCCTAGACTACACGATACTTTTCTTGGTGGTTCAAAGCAGACTTCGCGAGGTTTTGGACAGCACACAGCGTATTCATTTAAGGGAGACAATTCGCATTTGTGCGTGGAAGGGCAGTGTTGACCATGCGGGCCACAGGTTGCAGGTAATCCATCCGGGTTCAGTAGCGGAGACCCGTTAGGACATGGATTGTCCTTCTTAGGGAGACACACAGGCACGGGAGGACAGGGTGGTATGCTGCAGGCTACCTCCACCATTCTGCAAGCCTCGTTTTCACCCCTACACGTTACACTCTTGCAGGGATCTCTACAGGAACACGTCGGGCAACCTGTGTCTGGGTCCAGTTCGAATCCTTCAGGACAGTCCAACTTGCAGTCAATTTCTGGACATCGCAGTGGCGTGTTACATTTTGGCACTACGCCTTCGAGGACACGAGTGCCAGCTGCCTCTCTACCCTCCTTATCTACACACCAGCACATTCCGTTGTGACACTGGACTGGCTCGAAGGCTCCACTGGCGTCGCATCTGGGAATGTAGGTCCTCCTCGCCGGTTCTCCAGACTCCCTAGCTGCGTGTTCCGCCACTGCGCGCGCGTGTTGACACGCAGTAGCCATCACTGGAGCAACGCACTGCGTGCCACAGCCGGTGGAGCAGCACTTTTCGGACGCTGAACATTCCTGATCGTTATTGCATTGTAATTCGCAACTGGACGAGCTGGGAACCAAATACGGACACTGTCCAGGCTTCGTAGCTAAACAGGCTGGAACTGCTGGACAGTGTTGTCCAGAACCACAATTCACATCCACCATCGTACAGGTCTCTTGAGGGCCACAGCTGACGTCTTTGCAAGGATCGTGACAGCGACATTGCTCGCAGCCTGTTGGGTCGACCTCGTAACCGTAAGGACAAGCTAAATCACAAGACAGAGATCCGCATAGTTTCAAAAGGTCCTTTATCTCCTTGCAGTCGGTACTGCGATTTACTCCTGTCTTTAATATCACTCCTCTGTCATTCACGCAGGAACAGGTGCTGTTGTGACATTGAAGAGGTTTGTAGCTGCCATCCTTTTCACACTGAGGAGGTGGTATTGCCAAGGACATGTCATCCCTTGTCCCTTCCATGCGGTCGTTGAATTCTCGCAGGTACTCGCACACTAAAATTAAATTATCATCAGTGATTTTCAATCATACATATATGGTTTATTAATTTCTGTGAGATTAGGACCTTCGCGGCCCATAATCTCTATTTCTACGCTTCTGAAATGAAAGGCATCTTACTAGTCTGTGGCTTGGTCGAATTAGCCGAGGTCATACAGCACACCGACTGTCCAGCTTCCGGTACAGCGGTGCATTTATAACCCATTGGACAGGTATCATTTGCTGAGCATGTCACCGCGTTACGTTCTTCATCGATTAAAGGAGTTCCATAGACGCAGGGGCTCTTGTAAGTTTTCTTCGCTTTGCATTCTGGCCTCGTTGGACAAAGAAAGTCTGGACAACCATCTTCGCGATTTAGTACACATTCTTCTCCTACTGGACAAGGAAACCTGAGGAACGATGACATTCAGACTGGTGAAACGATGTTACCGAACGCTTTACTCGAATAATTGACAGTTTCAAGTTTACCCTTCGCAAGGATTATCGCATTCGCAAGTTGGACAGCCGGAAGCATCGGTTTTAAAGCCGTACTGGCAAACTTGTGCGCACTGCTGGGAAACGCAGGATGCCGGAAGGGACCTCCCCTTCGTTATCGACTTGCAATCGACTTTCTCCGCCGGTCCCATGCTGCCGGTTATCTTCCGACCGTTGTTATCCACGCACCAACAAACCAGTCCGTTCCTCGAACATTGTCTGGTCTCGTAACTTCCATCTGAAATATTAATTAGAACGTTAATGAGGATGAAGCTTATTATTATTATTATTATTATTATTATTATTATTATTATTATTATACGGGCATTTGCCCATTCATACACATACGTAATATATACATAAATATAGTACTTGCACAAGTACAACATTTGATTATGTTCCTGATTAAGAATTGGGCCTGACTGATAGCCCCAACCCCGCAGAGTGCATACGTGACGACAATTACTCAGTAATTACATACCAATGCTACAATGATACCCCGAAATGTTCAAGGTTAATGCTGAAATAATCTGCAGATTTTAGTCTTATTGTTAGTGCTGCTGGTAAAGTTGTTAAAGATGTCGATCATCGCTTGATATAAATGGACTGTTTTGCATGATCTACATATAGGATCAGTATGTCCAAACCTTAAGGAGTATCGAGGTGGTAGGAATAACTTAGAGGGCCTGACAGCATGCTGAGGCAGGTGAAAGTTAATCTGCTCGAGTAGGGTGCAGCAGTTGATGATACGCTGAATGAAGAGTACCTCAGCTATGCTTCTTCTATTCTCAAGAGTCAGTATATTGAAACGATTCATGATTTCTTCATAATTATGGTCAACTCATTATACTCTACAGATCATTGGATGATCTGTCCTAGTGGAGAGGAACCACAAAGATCTGTGTTGCACCCTTTCGAGAGTGCAAGCTAGGAGCCCATATGACAGAGGCATATTCAGAATAATTCAATTCAGAAGCATATTCAAAAATAACTAGAAGTGGAAAAGAAATGGTCACCCAATTACCGTCGCAAGAGTCAACTTAAAAAGGTACACTGCTCCCAACCAGAATATCCTTATAGCCATCAACCAAAGCAGTAACTTAGCCAAGATTTAAAGGGATCAGTAATCCCTGAATTTCTCTCACCTTCGGTACACTGTGGGACGTATCCGCGACCCTGTCTCTCGGATATGCTGAGCATCTCGGCCAGCACTCTGTCCCTATGGCAGGCGCTAAGACCTTGAGGTATAGAACAAACACCTCCGCCGCATTTCTCGCTGGTACAGCATTTCTGTGGATCAGGACATTCTAAATCATGCTGACACGAGTTGCCGCATATAGCCGGTTCCTCTAACGGGCATGTTCCCGCTCGTTTCAGATTGATGCTCGAAGGGCAACAGACTCCGTACTCTTGTTTCGGCTCCACCAAGCAGCTGTACATCGGCGGGCAGGTCGGTTTGCCGGGTGAGTCGCCGCAGAGAAATGGCCTCGGTGAATCTGTGATTTGCAACGGTTCACCAGCCGGGCATATAGTCGACAGGGATTTCGCTTTACGACAGCTGGGAATTGGCGGACACGGTGGACGAGCGCACGTTACATCAATCAACTCGCACGTTTGACTGGTCCCTGGACAGATGATGCCGCGGCAAGGATCCCGGCATTCGCATTTCGGGCAGCCAGTTTTAGCCTCAATCTGTCGATTCAAATGAGAAATCGCTCGAATGTAGTGTCGTGTTAACAGACCGTTAACAAAATTGGTAAAATTTTTTTTTTTTTATCAAAAATGTGGTGAAATTTTTAAGCGACCTAGTATAATTAAATCTTTTATGAATTTTTCCCCGCTAGAGAGAGAAAATCACCATTCTTCGACGTCGCGTCGTTCGGTTATTTCTGCAAACGGTAAAAGCAACGGTAACGAGATTACAGAGTGGTCATTTGCGACATCATTCACTGCCGCAATACGTGGCCTCGGTTGACTAATTGATTGCCAGCAAAACTATAGAGTATAGCCTGTCGATCAATTATCGCCTACACAATTTTCTGACGTTACTTCAATCATGCATTCGTTACCATAATGGATGAGAATTTAATCGTCATTTTAATCGGAGAATTACCTCGAAACCTAACGGACACAACATTCGACAGCTATGAGCTGGACATTTTCTAGGATTGTCGCAGTCGATAACATCTTTGCTGGACCCTCTGGTTCCAGGAACTTCAGCGCCGATTTTGTCGACGCACCAGCACCTGTTCTCACGGGGATGGCATTGTATCCTTTCGAATTCGCCAGTTTCGTTGTTACACTTTGGTATGAATTGGGATAGTCCACGAGGGCCCAGGGCACGGGATCTTCTTATGGCTGCTTGGGCCAATTGCTCGCATCCTGTCAGCTCGCCGAGGACACATTTCTTACCGCAGGATGTCTTACAGCAACGTTCACCCCCAGCTTGACATTGGAAGTCATTTTCGCAGGATGGCGCTCGCGATGGGCACACGTTCTGCTCCTCGAAGGATGGGCATCGACCTACCGTCTTCAACGGTGGTTCTGGAAAATCAAACGGGAGGTCTTTAAGCGAGTTACCCAGCGTAACTGGTGGGAATGATAATGCTGGTTAGAGTTACCGTTTTTCATGGGAAATATGCCATGCTGGAAATAGCTATTTCAAGGCTTTAATTATTCAGGATAGAAATTTGCAAATTTTATTATTTGAAAATTCAGCTACCCTTCATTTCGAAAAGCGGATACTAACTGGGAATTCGAACTCGATTCGAATACTCGAAACTCTGAATTATCAAATTAAAAAATTCTTATTTCTACTTCTGAAATCCTGAAATTCCCATTTCTAAATAATTTTCACCTCGAAGCACTAAATTTCTTAATTTTTAAAATTCACACCTTCACCATTGACCATCGTTAGAAACTTGATTTCTTTTAAGAGATACAGAATTAAGTATCCCTGGCGAATGACGCAGCCAAGCATGGCGCCACTCCGTTTATTAATTAAGGAACCTCCGAAAAATATTCGTCTGGCTCGCAAAGTGTCGGAACGGCTCGGTAAAAAGCGGCACACCTTGACACAAATTTATTCAAGAGCACATTCGGCTGGTTTTGAAGAAGCGAGCCTGTGGTTTATGGGTCTCGGTTACAAGGAATACACCTTTATTGGTCAAGCATCATCACGATCCTCGTGTATCCCAGCTTGCCTTTGTTCGATGAATCAAAGTGTAGCGCAACGACGACGGGAAATAATAATAAAAATAGCCGGGGAGTCGAGGTAACGGTTCTTCGCATCCTACTGCCACACTTACTACGCTTACCTAACGTGATACGAGCACATTTCCAGAACAAACTCGGCTGAGTCAGACGTTGCGGACTGCCTGATGGGTCGTAGCCATAGGCGAGAAGGAAATAAAGGAATGCAACTGTGACGATTGATTCGATTAACAGCAACTGCCTCTGGTCACGCGAAACTTTGACGAACGAGTTTCTTCTGGATCCTCTTACTGATCACCGCTGGCGTTAAATAATCCGGGTCGATGATTATGTTTAGCGAGAACGGAATAGAAGAGGCTCGGGTCAAGTGCACTCGGGTCTTATGAACGTTCAGGGACGTTTAATGGTAAGGCACACTTTTATTAACACGTTCAGGGGTCATTTGAAATTTACCTTTGTCAACGCGACATGCTTCCAAGGATTCGTCCGGAGAGTCGGCGACGCATGGTACTATGTGTATACACTACTTAAATCACATGTTGAATATACATATAGGATAGATATAAATCCATGTGTCGCATTTCAATCGAATTTTTACTTTGACTCTCTATACCAGGCCCACTGTATTCTCTCATCGTTAAAGATTTCATAAAAGTCCAGTGAAACTTCCAGCACATCCGATTACCCGAATTTCCGGTTCGTTGACCATCGCCCTCTTTCTCTCCTGCCTTTCTACCTCTATTATAGCCGTTTCGTGTTAATCCTCGTGCGAGTTTCCCTGTTACGACATCCTTTATCTTGCGATGGAATTATATTGCACCGTGCAATATGACTTTTTCTTCAAATTAACACCGAACGTAGTTTCGTCAAAATTTAATTAGCAAATTATATTGCTATAATATATTAAATAAGTGTTAAAAAATGATTAGAGTGATTAGGATTATAATTAGATTCACAGTCCTTTCCACTATATGCATTTTACATAGGTGCAACCAGGGCATTGTAAAACTGTGAAACTTTATACTTTCACAATTTTCATTGATTGTTCGTGACAGATAAATCGAAACCTTCGATTTTCTACTATATTCAAATTTTAGCTCTCAATTCTCTACACTATCAGAATCTAAGCATTCAATTTCCAACTATATCCAAATGAAATCATTTAATTTCCAACTGTCATCACGGGTAGTCAACATCTTAACGAAGAGCAAAGCATCTGTGTATCCTCTCGGTGTAGTACGATAGTCATGAACAAAAGCATCCGTGGAATGCGTGTAACGGCAACGGCACAGCGGTAGATGGATCAAAAAAGAGACGAGAGACGTAGGAATGGTAAAATGGCAAGAATGTGAAAGAGCGAAGAGAAAACGTAAAGAGGAAAGATGTACTCGCGGGTCGAGACGAAGGAATGCGGAGGAATGTACTTTAACGGTGCGAGAGAAATTCAATTTGTTATTGCCTCTAGCATGCAAATCGTTCTGGCCCTGATATTTATCGAGAACGCCGGGATATCCTGCTGTAACACATTGCCAATCGATTGAACTTGAGCGTCGTTCGGTCCACACCATCGGCGATTTAACCTCGTAATTAACGTATCTCGTTAAGTGCGATCGTTCATCCGCCTGCAGGATGTAGCCTGGTTCACCGCTGTATAATCCACGGCAAATAATTAACTCGTTGATTAGGGAGACTCGTGGGTCTCCTGGGTATATCTACTCATATCAATTGATACAGGCATACTTGGTACTTTGTATTTAATATTTGCTATATTTTGTTTGGTACTTGACACTCGGCAATTGGTATTAGGAAATTGGTACTTGATATTTGGTATTTCGTACTCGATGCTCGGTACTCTTCATTCGGTACTCTTCCTTCGATACTCGATTCTAGGTACTTTTCATTCCATACTCGGTACTCGATACCCGGCACTCTTCATTTGATACTTTGTACTCGATAATCTTCATTCGATACTTGGTACTCGGTACTCTGTATTCGATACTTTTCGTTCGATACTCGATTCTAGGTACTTTCCATTCCATACTCGGTACTCGACACTCTTCATTCGATACTTTGTACTCGGTAATCTTCATTCCATATTTGGTACTCGGTACTCTGTACTGTGCACTTTTCATTCAATTCTCAGTACTCGGTACTCTTCATTCGATACTCTGTACTCAGTCCTCTGTATTCGATACTCTTCGTTCGATACTCGATTCTAGGTACTTTTCATTCCATACTCGGTATTCGATATTCAGTACTCGGTACTCTTCATTCGATATTCGGTACTTGGTACTCGATAGCGATAATACCATTAAAGTTTATCTACTCCGCTATAACACTTACATTCGAGTGAAAGAAATTTCCTTTTACCACTTACATAATTACGTACTTATTCTGTACTTGCATAATTAGGTATTTACATAAGTAAATTCTATTTCTCCACTGGCTACTGTTTACCATAATAGAGAATCAAGTAAAAGTTTTCCTTTTTCAATTTCACAATAAACTTGAACGAGCAAACTTTACCGTGAGAGGTGTCTTTGAACGGGCTAAAAGGGAGGATTAGAGGCAACCATTGGTTTGCCTTCTCCCAGGAGAGTTGTTGGTCTTTCGCAACATCACAAGGACGAATCTCTGTCCGACGAACGATTCTCGAAATCCGATCACGTTTCTGTTCGTTGCATTATATGCAGATACACGCCCGTTTCGAGAGCTTGCTTTCCATTTTTTTTTTCTCTCTCTCTCCTTCCCCTACACACACTTCGTCCCTCGTCGAACGTGAACACGACGAGGCTCTATTGTTTGCTAATGGCCGCTCTTTCAATAATTCGGGACCAATCATTACGGACGAACGAAGCTGGCGGCCAGGAACTAGGGATGAGGGAAATCGGTGGGAAAAAAAAAAATGGAATAATGTCGATGGAAAAAGGTAGACGTACCTGCTGTGACCGATGATGACAAAGATAATAGCAGACAGGTCGATGACACCCACACAACGGCGCAGGCAAGCCCACCGTTGCAGAAATCACGGCGCATCCTCAGCGCATCAAGTGATTTTTTAATCGGCCTCTATATCTATAATCAGAAGAAGAAAAAAGAATCGAAATTAATAGCGCTGTTAAATAATCGATTAAACAGAATGTTCATTTAACAGAATGAATTGTTCACTTTTTTAAAATTTCTTCATTTATTTTCAATTTTGACCTTCAATTTGAATATTGGCAATTTCGCGGGTACCCGAGAAGTCGATTAAATCTGCATTGGATTTAGATTGAATCTTGATTGAGAACCTCTGCAAGAAATTACTAGAGCATATTTGGATTGAATTAGAAAGCGAGTTAGAATTGAACTAGGTCTGGGTTAAATTCCTAACGTACCAAGAATTATTAATAAAATGGCCTGACATAAATAATAGGATAAATGCAAAGAATATTTTGTTCGTTCAATTAAAGATTAATCGACGAAATAATTAATATAGAAAGAATATTGGCACGCTTAAGGGCAGATCAGATCCCGTTTTCCCGTAGAATTTGTTAAACTTCTTTCAAACTTGCGTCTCGCGTTTTGAGGCCAATAAAAGCCAAGATTATAGATCCAGTAATGGAAAAACTTTCCGGCCGAGAAATCAAAACTCGTCGACGCGAATGCAAGGAGCACTCTTTTCATTTCTACCTTCAAAACGAACTCGTCGAAATGGAAAAAAAAGGGTAACAACACGGTTCAATTGAAATGAAATCTATCTCGTACGTTGAAACGTTTTCAACAATAATAATAGAAAAAAATTCTCTTTGGTTATTTTGTGGACAGACCAGAGAATTGATTTTGCAATTCAAGATACGAATCAATAATTAGTTTAACGAGTAATGCTTTTAGTAAAATCATGGACGATAGACAATTTAAAGATTGTCAGGTTTGAAATAAAGGAAAATAACAAGGAAAGTTATGTCTCCTTATTCGTTATACCGCAGTGAATATTCTAATGCATTCCTCTCCGTTATTCATGAGCCGTGGTTGGCTTCGGGATCTACGAATTGTCAGGTCGTTTTCGTTTCTTTTCACCTCCCTTTGTTCCTCGTTACAAGTTCGACGAGGACGTTGCCTTTCTTTTCGTTTGCCAGCTCGTGGATATTTTCATTGTGACCATCGTTCCTTGGGTAAAAAGATGATTAAAAGAAAAAACAGAGGTGTTTTTCTTTCAATAGCCGATTGGTTGCTGCTGCAATTCTTTCTCTTCTCTTCTTATCAATATTTCATTCGTGTTTCTCTAACTACATTAATCTTTTTTCTTTTAATCTTATTTCTATGGTGAATGCAGGGTGAATCGCGACTCAGATCTATAGTAACAGATTTTTAAAATAACCCTTTCATGCACGAATCTTTCTATGTAAACAGTTTTTTAAATTTTACTTGCATAAGGGGTTTACGGGGTCGCTGATTACGAATCTGGGATCAGATTTTCAAAATTCATGATGGCGAATTCACAGCGACAGCAATATTTTCAATTCCTGATCAGCCATATTGAATTTCGAAAATCTGAATCCAGATTTGTAATCAGCGTTCCGGAAAACCCTTATATTCAAAATTTCACAACATCAGCGATATTTTCTATTTTTTTGGTCTGCCATATTGGATCCGCCATCTTGGATTTTAAAAGTCTGATTCCAGTTCCGTAATCAGTGACTCCAAAAATATAAATCAGCATCAAAATATCAATATGTTCACATTCGAATTTTATCAGAATCGATTTAAAAAAAAAAAAAACGAAAGAAAAATTTGTTTATAATGAAATTCAATAAACAAAGGGAAATTTCCAATATCAACAAATTGTTAGATTCACATCTTAGTATCACATAAGAAAAGTTTCCGTACAAAAATAACCGGGATGTGAGATAAAAAGCTAGAGCTAAAAAGCAGAAAAGCAAAAGGTGACACATATAATGTGTTACCGTGTAGCAAAGGGTTAAATTGAGATAGGTCTCTCTCCATGGTCCGCCATCCCAAGGTTAAATAAAAGAATATTATAAATCGTCAATTTCTGTTTAATTTAGAAGTTGAAAATAAAATCATTTCGTCGAAGTGAAATTATTACGGAGTTATCCAAAGTGTACGAACGATTTTTCTACATAAGAATTATTCTGATAAAATTTTTGGTCTAATAACGGTGTAACGATCGTCGAACGTAATCTGAACGTGATCATCGGTGTAATTACCGTGACGTTAGGGTCCTGACCACGGTTCGTACACTCTTTCTCGATGCATTATTCATACGACAGGATACACCCTAAATTTAAAGGCTTCCCAAAGGATGTAACGTGGGTAATTTCAGCGTACATAAAAGCTACCTTTACTTTTCTACCTACATGACTGGCATTATGTTAGGCCCAGACGAAACGAAATTGTCGAGGCAACGAAATGAAAGAAAAAAAGAAATAGCATTTCTTTATTAAATAGTAATAGTAATTGGGAAAGCATAGTATCGAAGGCAGGGAATTTTCTAAAAAAAAAAAAAAAAAAAAAAAAAAAATTCCATTGTAATATGCCTGGAAAAATAAAAGTTCGCCAGTATATTCTGCAAAGATCAAAAGATGGTTCGTAGCGCGGGAAGATTGGTCGCTCTTTCAAGGCTAATACAGACACATGCTCAGGATGTGGGTCAGTTCGTCATCATCGGAGGTCCCTTCCGGGTCGAGCCGGCTCTGCTCTCTCGTCTTAACTTTCTATTGTCAAACACGAATACACACACGGCAACCTTGTCTGCGTCATCGATGGAACACTTTCATGGAAAGGTTGCTTTAAAATGAGTTCCACGAGGTCTACCTCCGCCCGATGGGGTCATCGACCGATGGGAAAACGTGAATGAGCTTCTCGCGAGAACGAAAACCGGAATTGACTCATGATGGACCACTTTGAATGAAAAGAACGATCGGCTGCATCCTTCTTTTTCACCGCCGATAAGTAGCTCACTGGTACAAACGTGGATCCGACGAAAATAGAAAGTACCCACGCGTTTATATCATCGACTGGGTTAACACTTCGCGTTATGGATCACAGCTTTACACCAGCAGTTTGGTTTCAAACTTCCTAGATTCTTTTTCTTCCGTTAGAAAGCGATTCGGTTCTCCACGTTCCAACGAGCCCGCACAGGTAGACGATAATGGAGATAATACCAGGTGCTAACGAAAACGATACAGCAGTTATGGGTTAGTAAAATGCGTACTTGGTGAATATATGATGATAATTGAATGTCTTAGAACGGTGAGAAATTCTTCTTATAGGAGAAAAGTATTTTTGTTCAATGCAAAGTATTTCACGTATCCTTGGGCATTAACGATGATAGCCTCTCTAAAGGAAACTAGTGCACCTGCAGTATGCATAACAACGATATTGTACGCCATTAGAAAGACTCCTGTACCTTGAAGAACAGAACCTTTTCCAACCACTCCGCTGGCAACAACTTTCGTTCCACTCAAGCGTACATTCTGAAACGTTTGTTCGTCGAATGTCGAACTCTTACACAACGTGTTACCGTTTTCGTTGTTCTTGAAGAACAACGGCTAACGAGACTGCATTTTCTCATCGCGTGTACATTATCACCACATATTCTTTCATTGTTCCCTTTATTCCCGACTGAAAGTCGGTAAAAGCCGATCCGGGCATTAACCGAGGGTTTGTTGTTCGCTTGCTTGCGAACTCCCCCTGGTACATTTATAAGGACGCTTAAAAACAGAGGGGAGATAAAACTGGGATTCGCGTTTAATGGATTTGTTCCACAAATAATTGGAACAAAATGTTTCGTGAGCTAATTGAACGTTACTGGCTTTCAGAAAGTCTTAGGCATATTTAAAATCAACACTTTCTACACTTTCTATGGAAATTTTGCATTTAAATTTATTTTTAATTTACATATTCACTGGGTGGGAATCGATAATTTATTAACTAACAAAACAGGCATATTTCATAATGACCAAGCTTGGTACATTACTAAATAAGCAAAATTTTGCTTTTAAATTTATTTTTAATTTACATATTTACCGAGTGGTGGTCGATAATTTATTAATTAATAAAACTATGCTTTGAAATGAAACCTGCAGTGAATTCAAACTTGTATCATCACAACATTAATCGATTTATTGCGATATTTCATACCCAAAAGCATCAGATCTTTATAAGGTATTCAGATACCGTGCTGAATTTATAATAATGAACACCCTTGATCATTTTGCAATTCTATCATTTTTATTTCTTAATTATTTGACCCATTCCGCCCTCAAGCAGACTCGGAAAAGTGTGGTTGGGCTCGGACGGCTTCGCGATCTATGCGAATCCAATACTTCCGGTCTCGCTCGAAAGAAGTCCAACAGATTCGGTCGGGTATCCTAGTACCCAGTTACTCTACCGACTTGCTACATCGTCCAGGCTACGATCAAAGTTGTCTAGCTTCTAGTACTAGTTGGTATAATCCCATTCGCACGACACTTTCACGAAAAGGCAACCACCATTGCAACATTCACCAGTCAGTTTTCCCTTCGTCCTCGTTTCATGGTGTTCACCAACAATGGCACACGGACAGAATTCAGCACGGAGACGGACGTTACGTCACACGAGTTCCAGAAAATGTTTCAAAGCATTTCCACCTCTGTTATTCTCACTTCTTTCCTTCGCTTCCGTTCGTCTTTTCTCTAGGCGACAATTTGAAAATGCTCTCTTTTCAATGGGGTAGAGCGGATAAAAGGAACGCGGTATCATTAGTAGCGCGTAGAAAATATACGTTGGAAAAAGGTATTTAGTAGGCAACTTTCTACCGTATACGGACGTCTATTCAGAAATGATCTGGAACACGTGATATCCGTGCTACGTTTCCGCGTTCGACTGCATCGGAAGTTGCCATATGAGAAACACAGACGCGCTAATCAGATCGGAACACTGCGAGGACTATTTGTTATGGTGTTCTTCAGTACAGAATTTCACTATCCGATTTAAAATTTAAGAGGCTTTCCAAAAAATTTATCCGTCAAAGAAGAAAGATGAATGTGCAAGTGGAAAGTTGCAAAATAAAAAAGCAGTATTCATGTTCCTGGCAAAGTTCTAAAAGGAGGACTATTTGTTATAGTGTTCTTTAGTACAGAATTTCACTATTCAATTTAGAATTTAAGAGGCTGTCCAAAAAATTTATTCATCAAGGAAGAAGGGTACATATGTAGGTGGAAAGTTGCAAAATAAAAAACCAGTATTCATGTTCCTGGAAAAAGTTCGAAAACGAGGACGTCCCAATTTTTCCAAAGCCAGCGGAATTTTACGAAGCCGTAACCCTCGTATCGATAGAGAAATGTGAGCCGTAATATCGAAGAATACTCGGCGAGCGAAAAGGTACAGACATCCTGGACCAATCGAATGGACGAGGATTCCGGAATGACAGAAGATATTCGACAAGATGAATCCGCCGGAAAATTTGATACAATTAAAGTGCGATATTTCACGGGCAGGATCCAATCTCCAGGGAAAAAGCTCGTTTAATGATCTCAGGACTGTTTCGCAAAGAAGGATAAGCGGTTTCTTTGAGGAGAGCCACGATGCACAAGGCCGCTTTCTTTGCGAAATGCTATTGGAAACTCTTTGTGTCGTCGCAGAGGATGAACGAAGTCGGCGTGCATGGAACGGTTGATTCAGGAATACGGGTTGCACGGTCAGAAGACTCGGTAAAAATTCCGTGGTAGGTGTGGTGTAAAATCCGGATAGCATTCGATAACGATCCATGGGAATATGGCTCATCGAAGGGAAAGCTTTTGAAAAGATGAGTTTTCGGTTGAAGACAGTAGCTTTAACTTTTTAGTTACAAACATGTAAGGCTACCCTTTCAACCTTTGATATCCGACATTTTAATTTTCGAGTATTCTGAGTAGTATACAGTAATTAATTACTCGGCGTGATATCATTTCTGATCCTAGTTTCAAGCATTGCCCGCAAAGCAGAAATTTCAGCGAGCAGGAAATGCGTGTTGGAGGAAGGAAGTCGAAGTTGGTACATTTGCGTGGAACCGCGGCTCGTAAAAGGGAAAATAAACGTTGATAAAAGTGTAGGTACACAGGACGGAAAAGTAACTCGATTAAATGAACGTTCCTTGTTCCTACTCGGTATAGGAAGTATCGATTGTGATAATTAGAATTCATGGAGATACTGTACCAGGTAGGGCCGAAATAAATTACAGCATCGAATTTTCGATAATTCCGCTGAAAATGAAATTTTCATCGCTTCCGGAGATATGTATGTGATCGACGTTTTAACCGACGTAGCGTAATATGTATATTGAAAGTTGATGAGTTGCGAAACGATGTTTCGCTGTACGATTTCAGATCATCTACCAATTAATTTCAGCGGCTTAATTACAGTACCTAACGTTCGGAAAATCAGGCAGATACTAAAAATGGAGAATCATATTGCGATTCAAATGACTTTAGAAATTTTATGCAGCTTTTTCATTCATGTAGTACGATTAGTTTTTTAAATTTTCTTTTATCGAGGGATTATTATTTTAACTCGTGATTTTTATTTATTACTGGTACTGCAATTAAAGTTAAAGACAAACATTATATTCAAAAGAATACTATAGGTATAATTTAACTTGAACGAAGCACAAAATACTTTGCAAAGAATTCTCAAGGTGCTAACAAAAGAATGCGCGTGAAACGAGACGAAAGAGGCGTGCAAAGAAAGTTGGCGCGATTAATACCCAGAGCACATCGGCGAGAAAACGCGTATGTACACTCGCGATCAAATCAGGCTTCCCCAGGAATAATGGTGATGTCCCGGCTTTTCACCGTTCCCCGTCAGCATCCCCAGGGAAAATGACAATGTAGGGAAAAAGGGTCCCATATCAGTTATATACCAAATTTTATAATATGTAATAACTAGAAACTATATTATTCTTGCTTGATTTGAAAGAATCATTTATTCAAAACGTTCTCAATTATTTATCGGATAAGTTTCCAAATGGCCTTACCAAAACTGAGAGTAACCGATTAAAATTGGTTTCAGAGCCGGATGTCTTACCGTTTTTTAGAATATCGTGGTAAGAAATTTGTGTATAATTTTGGGACTACGTATGCGCTATTCAATACTGCGCATACACAGAACCTAACCTAATCTAACCTAACCTTACTACGATATCTCGAAAACGGTAAGACATCCAGCTCTGAAACCAACTTTAATCGGTTTTTTGTAATCAATTTAGGTTATATACCGAACTTGAGTTCTCAATTTTGATGGGGCCATTCGGAAACACAGCGTATTTATCTGTTGAACACCTCGTATACGTACATGGAAACGTGGAAAATCACGGGAAGTCCATGAGAACAGCGCTCGGTTTTAGGAAAAACGTGCACCTGCTAGAAATTGCATTCCTGTTGCAGTTTAGAAAGTGCACGCACAAGTGGACACGGATTTCACGGGAATTAATTGACTCGCGCGCGGATTTACGTGGCCACGATCGCCGATGAATTCCACGCTCGAGTCGAAAGCGAATTCGTGCCGAAACGTCGATGTAATTTCACTGAATAATTGCAATTAAAAAATGAAAAAAAATATCTAGCATCTTTGTTGAAAAAATGTGCACGTGACTGGTTTATATTCGAGGTTTTTTTGGCCACAAGAAACGAGGTAATTGCAATGTCGCTGGGTAACGAATGAAAATAGCCGAGAGTTAATTTCATTTTTCTCTGAAACCAGAGAGAAAATGCTTCTTCGTGTTATTGGTGGTATAAATCAAAAAATTCCAATCTTTCGCCTCCCTTATTTCAGGCCAATTAAATTCTTGTATTTTTTAACCCATGGATCGTTGAAACGGCTCTAATTACAATTTATTCAATTCTAATTTTGGAATACATTCTGCTGTAATTATTTGAAATTTTAAATATCATTTTCTAAAATTTTGCAACATTTGACTGACAATGAAATGTAGAGAAACGTCTCTGATATCCATTTGTACTCAACAATTCCTCTTTTTTTTAAATTTTATTTTTGATACCAGATTACTGCGCCCGAGGGTAACTTCTGTCATCGTGAAAAAGCATTTGATAAGTTGACGCGTGGAAAGGAGAGAAACATTTCCGATTGATGTTTCATTCGTTCACTGAAAGATCCTGTATGCATAAAATTGGAATATAACAGATCATTATACAAGAGATAGGATCTCCACACATGCTCGCGAGGAAGTTATTCAATTGCTAATGTAATTAAAAAAAAATCTTAAACCCGGATGCGAAAAGAAATTCCGCTCGGGGATATAACGTCGCGTAAGAAAAGCTCGGTATTTTCAGCAAAATGTAAGAAGAAAAAAAAATTCATCTCGCGTGGCATTTTTAATCAGCCGGAATAAAAGAATGAATTAAACACACGTGTACTTGAGTTTTAAAAGCGTTCTTCGAGCATCCACGACCCAGAAAGAAATTCAACTCTCATAAATAAAACATCGAATATAACCTGTCGCTAAGATATCTTCGTTAAAACTGAAGGAAAAATTCATCGTCTATAAAGTCCCTTGCTGGAACAATTTTAACAGAAAATTTTCAAAGTACACGAAAAAGGCGATCGGAAAGTTTCTCAACTTTCATCGAACGTACGTCGATTTCGCGATGAATGAAAGCTGAAAGATGAAAAATAAAAAAAAAAAATAAAGACTCACTTTGATTTGCTGTAATCCACACGCGAAGAAACGCGCAGACAATTATAATCCTGGTTCTCCTTGAATGAATTTCCTCGCACTATGATTTCTCTCACTGCGCCGCTTCGATTGTTCCTGACAATTTAATCGTGAATTGCACTAAATGTTTGCAATGTAAAATTATAATGAAAGAGATGCAGAAGGAATTGTTTGAAATGACGGTACCGCTCGGAAGTAACGCGCCTTTAGCCGCTCAGTCCGCGCCGAATGACGTTCGTACACTGTCCTGGCTCGGTGCGTTCGACGGTGCCGGCCTCGTATGATGACCCCCTTCTAGAATTCTACGGCCCTGTCGACGTACGCCAACTTCTGGACAACCGCGTAACACCGGCGATCCTGCTGGATTCGATCCACCAAATTTTTATTTCCATTTAGATTGTTTCATTCAATTCCGATACGTATCAAGTTTCATAAGAATCGATGACACAAAACTATCATGAAATATAATGAAGCTTAGACATTTTAATTTCATTTTCTACGAATAATCTACAATTTTTGATTCTGGAAAATATGAATAATTGAATAATTGAACAATAGAAAACAGAAGACAGACTTTGAATAGTATTAATATTAATAATTGATTGATCTCCAATTAGAAAATTAATCAATTCCCAGTGTGTCAGTCGTGTTAAATACGTCCATCTCAAGCATAAAACATGAAACGTTCTATTACGCTATAACGTATCTATAAAATTGTACCCCTATCAATCTAGAGAACCATGAATACTCGATTACCCTTAACTCGTTCTACCCTCCTGTTACTCGTAAAAATTGCTGATGTAACTCATTTGTTGCTTACATTTCAATGATAGATGAAACGGGTCATCGATCGACCCAGGTGACCCAAAACCATTCGGAATTACGCTCCCGTAGTCAACGGCCTATGATCGAGACACGGTCTACCTATTGGAACAATGAATACATACATTATTGGGTCTATTGCCTCTGGTAGTAGTCTATTGTTTTGAAATTTCCTGATATTGCTCGTAGAGGTGTGAAAAATAATCAGGATGAATCTTATTGTCAATTTCAACGATTAGTTGGTTGTACGCTGCAAAATACGCCAGTCTCCGTCTCATCAATTCGCTCGCACTATAAATATTTATAAATATCTATAAATTCAAAAAACTGAAGTCATAGAAAATGTCTACAATTTTATTTCTCTTATGCCAGAGGAAAATATCATCTTCCTTGTAAGGGTGTGATATAACTTGACCCAATTGCATGGCTCATCTTGTACCTCCAAAGAGAATCGGATGGAGAAACGGGAACTCGGAGAAAAATTCATGCGGCTCGTACAGGCACGTCCGGAATTCGATTCAGGAACGTACTACTCCTGCAACTTTACGGTATCTACCCGTCGTATTGGCCGTAGACACGAAAAAGTGCGGTTCCAGCAGCTCTGTATCCGCAAAGGAAACGAGCCAATAGGCATCCTGCAGAAAAGCCTTGCACACGCCCATCTTTCTTCTTATCTTCCATTTTTCCGTTGCCGAAAGGATTCGGTGTAATTCTAGCGGAGCAAGCTGAAAATTAATGTGGGTACGCGAGGAATTCGTTCCACCAACCCAGACCCGTTTCTGCACCTTTACGGTACTCACGTTATCCTGACTGTAGGTATGGAAATACACCGTAAAACCGCGCCCCGTTCACCTCGACGTTTTGATTCTACGTTCCTCGCTTGCCAGTTCACCGCAGACCTACCAGGAAACAGAAAGGAGAACGGTATTGTTCAGCAAACGGAAAACGTTTCTTCAACTTTTTGCGAAGCGGGGGGGCAGCTGAAAATTAACTATGTGTATAGCCCCGTGCGTCGCCGACTCTCCAGAAGAATCCTTGCAACGTACAACGAAGCATTCCTTGTTAATTCTATACGCAATAATTAGGAAAAGAGATTTATCTATTCTATTAAGTTTGTCTTATCAAATGAAACAGTTCTCGTATGAAATATTTTTTCGTATTTTGAATAATTAAAGAAAAATATATACAATTGAACCGGGCATACTATATTATTTTCTGAGTAAACTTACTTTGATTTTGTCAGCTTGGAAACTACGGAGATAAGCTAGTTCAGTGCAGTGACTCCGCCTAAGTTAAATACACGGCTTTAACTGTTACTTCGTTTTATGTAACCCACGAAGAAGCGTAACACCTGCACAACGTGGTAAACGTCGAGTTGCAAGAGAGATGCTTTGAAGTTGGTCGGAATTAAAAAGGTGCCTCTTTGAACGTGCGTTTCAGCTTTTTGGAGTATCAAAGCATACGAACGTTGAAGTGTTTAAAGCACTAACTTTTATTTAATTAAAAAGTACCATCTGAATTTTATCAAGCGTTAAATGTTTAAACGCTTTTTAGTATATTAGTCCAATGTGCTAATTCTAATTTATTATTATTTATGAAAGATAATTTCGATAGACAAACACGCGGTCATGATTTACGTTCGAGTTTGTATCGTACTTTGTGCATGAAATTTATTTCGCAGGCGCGTGAACCAGATAGACGCGGTAGACACGAGCGTTACCAATTTAGTGAAGTAGAAGGGAAGAAGAGAGACACTTTGAGTTGTGCTGTTCCAACATTCCTAGATGGCCCGAAGGCGCTAAACGAAGTACCGTCATTGCGAGGAAAGGCCCAGTGACCGACATTCCCCTTTCCATTCTTCCTGATATTCCTTTGCCCGGATCTTGCCGCGATACTAGCTCGTACACGCTGACCTGTAGACGAGTATCGTAACCGGAACCACTGGAACCTTCGGCCCAAATTTCCGTATGAATCAACTGTTTTCTCGAGCACGTGGACAAGTCTCTTTTTGACACTAAATTGAAAACTTCATCGCGTCATTTATATTAAAATCCTTACATTTGAAAATTTCATTGAGAAATGAATTTTATTGACACTTTTAAATTCACCGATTTCGAATTGGACGAGTTAATGCTGATTGTTTAATATCTTTTGGAAAATACAACATGTATACAATATTCTTGTAGTGTAGTAGTTATTTGAAAAGGTAACTTTAGAAGAACTTACAAAACCGGCGGTTTTTATAAAAATAGATTTATCCCATCAAATCGATCCCCAAAAAGATTCTACCGACACCATCTAGCCATAAAGCATTAAACTATGATTAAAATGCTGCACGATATCGGTAGAGTCTCAGTACATAAATGGGTGAAATGCAGCGAATAAATGATCTCGGATTATTTATCGAAATTCCACGAATGTGGAATGTGGAATGATGTGTTAATTTATATACATAGTTATATATGTTGAAATCAATTCTTTTTTAAAACGCCGCTACATTTGGGCGCGAGTTGCACAAAGCAACTGTCACTGACCGTTAGTACGCACATGCTTCCACCAGTGTACTACATATGTATGTAAGTACGTCACTTTTCGCATACATCTAAAGGCGAAGTTTCCAAAAACCTATCAAACCCGATTTGGCTGAGATTTTTCAAATAGCTTCATTTTGCATAAAACCAATATTTGCGAGAAGGATTTTTGGCGACTCAAAGGCTAAGATTCAAAATTTTGTGAAAAATGTTTTACCATGTCACCGACGAGATACTGTTAAAGACTGCCATCCCCTGTGTTAAAGTGCGGCACGCCAAGATTTAAGTAAAGTTGGCGGGGAATATTAATATTTCTTAACAATTTATATCTTAAAAAATTGCTCCCCATTTGGTCCCTCGGAATCTAAAATTGCTCCAGTCGCAAACATTATATTTAATGAGATATTCGCAAATAAAAAAGCAGAAATTTGTTATCTTCCAAATAGATAGTAAATAATCTTTTCACAAAGATATTATGGCACCATAAAATTGCTCCTGATTTGTTTTATAATATTCAATGGTCAAATATTTTAATAGCAAATTATTAACAAGGTGCAATTGAAATTCATGTTGTTGCATACATGTCATACATGACAGTCGGGTTGGTTCCACCTATTGGTAAGTATACATAGCTTTGAAAATACATTTATTTAAAAATCATGATACAATACAGTGAGTATGTTAAATATAATGTAATGTAATGTATTATAAGATTGTTTGGTCATTTTTAGGGAGTGCGACTCCCCAGTATGAAGAGAGGTTTCCACAATCGGCATAACAGTCGTGCCTGTTTTGCCAGTTCTTCTGTTAAGGTGATAGACACGGCCATCGACGAGATACTCAGTATCTCGTCGGTGCCTCTCCGATTCGGGACGTCGGTATTACAGCAGTTTTTTCGTTGGGCCTGGTGGAGCCACTTGCGTGGTCTGATACGAACTTGAAAGGTTTAATTCTCAGCTAGCGTGCGCGCAACACGATCTAGGAAGGTAACAGCGCCTCAAGTATTTTTACAAACACATTCAAACGTTCATCTCGCCAGAGGCATCGCGACGATACGCCTGAAGAACGAAAGGGAAACATTGGCGCGTGTTTAGAATGAGATGTACGGTGATCGTGCTATCCTTCTTTCAACCCAAATGATAGAATTGTCCCGCTCCGATAAATTCTGACTGACTGAATGCGTAGATTTTATATAGCGCACCGTAGCACCCCTCGCTGCTGAAAAATATATGCCTACTCTGAAGAACCGAAGGAACGTGCAATCTGAGAATTTTTTTAGAAAAAGTTATTAACTTCTTTAAATAAATGTTTTTTAATTAATAAAAGTATACAGGATACGTCATGCAATTGGGACGGGTTACATCTTGAATTTGGTAAGAGATAGCAAAAAGCTGTTTATGTAAAAGTTCAATGGTACGATAATGTCTATTTTTCTGTGATTTCATTTTCTCCGTGAATGCAACGATGCACTCAAAAAATGCAAATCCACCTTTTATTTAAATGGAATTGCATTTTTTTTTTACTTGTGTCAACTCCTTGAAACATTCTGCATAAAAAAGTACTATCGAATTATTAGAACCACAGCCGACTCTAGTACTAGCCGTGCTGAAGTAAAAATGGCAACACCGCGGGAGTCCGGTCTGAATATATCAACACCTACCCTACTCTATCTGCCTCCCGGACTCCCAGACTCTCAGCCAATCAACGTCGTCAGACTCCCGACTACTCTCTGGACTTCACATAACCTCTTTAGTTTCGTTCCAATAATTTCGCTTGTTTCAAGGTTTTTATTAACTTATATACACGTTTATCAATTCTTAAATGTTTCAATTTGATCCAAAGATGGTTTCATTTTGCTTCATACCTAAATTTTCTTGAAACCACTGTAAATATTTCAAATATCATGCTTCACAACACCAAACTACTTTGAGAGTACACAAAATATATATCACATTTATAACCTTTTTATACTACCACATCACTTCTATTTGCCATAGTTGCAACGTTTATATATTGTTTATACATAATTAACACAAAATAGTGTATATTACTACAGCTTTTAATTAAAAAAGACGTTAATTACAATTCCGAGCACAGGACTCTGTTTTTGAAAATAGGACTCCCGATTGTCACGTGAGCGGTGTTGCCACGTTGTTCAGCATGGCTAGTACTAGAGTCGGCTGTGGTTAGAACTAATAAATGGAGGGACCTCGCGTCTGCATATACAGTAAAAGCTGAATATATGCAACAGAGATTGGGAACCAGACCACAGGATAGGAAAGAACAGTAGGCTCACTCCGTGTCGGCACCTTTGATCTCATGACCAATAGATCGCCATACTGCTGGTTGTGCGCGGGCTCTAATTTGAAAAGCACTCGGTATATGTATATGCACTAAAACGGACCCTGCACCGTGTGTAGAGTTATACAGGGTGTCCCACGACTACGTCAACAATCGAAGAGGGATGATTGACAAGGTGATTCTAAACAACCTTTTCCTTTACCAAAATGTTGATTAAGGCTTCGTTTTCGAATTATTAACAAAAAACACTGGTC